AGAAAGAAAGAAAATCAATTTTAGTTGCAAGCCACTTTCTCACTGTTGCTTTCGTGATTATGCTCAATGAGTTATCCATTAAACTTTAAAATGATATAAATGGCGTTAACAATATTGTAAAATAAAAATTTCCCTGCGTTATACTTAAGTCTTCTTTAGCCTTTTGAAATTATATGTTTTCAGAGATATATATGCGGCATTATGGCTTTTTCATTTGAATTGTATATTTCCAAATAGTTTTAGTTTTCCTTTTGTTTTTCTTCCAACACAACACATATCTATCAGCTAACAAAATAAGAGGTGTAGAGACAAAAGGAGTTTGATATTATTCTCGAGGAAAATAAATTAAAGATGTTAGATGCATGCACCTACAAGGGACAAAGGCAGATTGTTCTTTACAGAAAAATATGCAATACAAGTGGGAACACAAGGGAGAGAGAGAGAGGGTTTGATTTTGACTCTTATATATTTGGGTTATAAATCTGTATGCATATTTGTGATACTTTGGAACAATTGTCAAGTTACGTCGCCAATTTCATAATATTTGATCTTCATAACCAAAGTTGTTGCACCATTTTCACCATGTACATCAATCTGTCTACACTTGAATTTGAAATCCGAAAACAAGAACGTGTAAATAAGACTTCTATACAATGATTCTTATTCCGACTGTATCAACTATCAAGCAATGTATTTTATTTTTAAATATGCTTTAACGACATAGAAAGGTCAAAGCGACAACAGATTGCTTTACCATAACCATCAAAACAAAAATTATTTATCTTTTTGTAGAAAACAATAATCAAAAATTTCATGCAAATATATAATATAATCTTGACATGATTTGTTTATAGTTTTTATATTTGTTCTTCATTCATAATTTATAATTTTGTATAGATCCGTATAATCATAGAGTTTCTTTGAAAACGTGGGAACATTTTTATGAAATGATATGTACATTCTGATAACCACACACAAAACATGTGTATACATACAACTCACACAAATGTTTACATACAATACATGTAATCATGTAAATGTAGTAATACATATGTCTATATATAATAACACACATTCACTTTTTTTTTTGTTAAAGTAATAACACACATTCACATACATATATATTTTGGATTAAACTAAATTGTTTGTGGATATAGCTTATCATGGTTTCGTCAGTATTTTAATATATGTAGTTACAATCTACGGAAACTTTTAGTATCTAATTACTCAAAATAATACCCAACACATTTTCTTATCAATTACATGATCAGATATTGTAATATATTATAACCAGCGATCCATTGTTCAGAAAGAATGCATTGCAGCATATCTTCAAATAGATAACTTAACTTGCATTGAAAAGAAAAGTTTAAATTACATAGCCAATGAGATAACAACTGGATCTGATTACCCTCAGTTAAACATATTTCAGTAAACTTTCTAATTTAAAAGGTAAGGTGGTAAACAGTATGTGGGATGATCAACATTATATTTATTTCAAAACCAATATATAGAGAAAGAACAAATAATAGTGACGCTAAAAGATTTGGTTGTGTTGAGAGATGATGTATCGAATAAAGAAGTCCGTGACGGCAAAAAAAAAAAGAACAAAGAAGTCTTCGCAATGATATACACTGTTATTTCACCAATACAACAGTATATATTTTTGTAAAATATTTCAAATGAGCTTATAATAATTCTGACACAATGGATATATATACCACACAGGGCCGGTTTACTGGCGGACGATCGGTGCAATCGTCCCAAGTTCACTTCTCAAATCAAGCAAAATTAGGATAATAATGAAGCCTAAATTTGTGTGTTTCATCAATTATTAAGAACCCAAATTTGTGTTTTTATTAATGAAAGTGTTCTAAATTTTTTTTTTTGTCCAGAAACCATTAAAAGTATTGAGCCGGTTCTGATACCATAATAAGAGTGGATGTATGCACAGGTAAAAGTGGATACATGTACCCGTACTTACCAGTTACCATATTCGAAAAATTAAGATTTTTGCGTCTCACAATAGTACATATTACATGCAACTATGGTTGAGGTTTCTCCAAATAATGCAAGTTGTTTTAGATGCAATACTCACAATCTTTTTATCAAAATAATAGTACCCATAATACACAATCCATGATCGTTTTTTTTAAGACATGTAATATTACTTTGTGATTAACCAGAAGACGGTAAGAACATAACAAGACTTGCATTATCTTTTTGTCGAAACGGGTTTTTTTAGTTTGTTCATCAAATACATAATGACGTCTGTAGATCTTGTTTATTTTTGTGTAGGTAATTTTAAAATTCTACCATATTCACTATTCATTAATCACGAGTCACACAAATCAAACACCCACTCGAGAACCTAAAAAAAAAATTAAATATGAATTATCTATTTTAAGATACCTGCCCATAACATACAACAAAGGGTCATTCTATCTAAAATGAAATAAAAAACAGAAAAAAAAAGGAGAGAGCAGAGGAATGTCAGCATCACGTGGCTCTCTCTCCTCCCAACACAAATCTCTTCTTCTTCTTCTTCGTCCTCTTCCCTACTAAATCTTGATCCCACAAAGCCTCTCCCCCAAGATTTGCTTCCCCTCCATGGCTTTCTCCACCACCACTCTCTCCGACCTCCCTGACGTCATCTTATCCAACATTTGCGCCCTCGTCTCCGACTCCAGAGCTCGCAACTCTCTCTCCCTCGTCTCCCGCAAATTCCTCGCCCTCGAGAGATCCACTCGCTCTCACCTCACTCTCCGCGGCAACGCTCGTGATCTCCACCTCCTCCCTGACTGTTTCCGATCTGTTTCTCATCTCGATCTCTCTTTCCTCTCCCCATGGGGTCACTCCCTTCTCGCCTCCCTCCCCGTCGATCACCAGAACCTCCTCGCTCGCCGTCTCCAGCTCTGTTTCCTTTCCGTCGACAGCCTCCGTGTCTACTCTCGATCCCCGACTTCACTCGAGCTCTTACTCCCTCAATGGCCCAGAATCCGCCACATCAAGCCCGTCCGGTGGCACCAACGCGCTTCTCAGATCCCCTTGGGCGGCGATTTCGTCCCTATCTTCGAGCACTGCGGTTTGCTCGAGTCTCTCGATCTCTCCGCCTTCTACCACTGGACCGAGGACCTGCCTCCGGTTCTCCTCCGTTACGCTGACGTGGCGGCGAGGCTCACTCGCTTGGATCTCTTGACGGCTTCCTTCACCGAGGGATACAAATCTAGCGAAATCGTCGACATCACCAAATCGTGCCCTAATTTGAGGGACTTCCGTGTAGCCTGCACGTTCGATCCCAGATACTTCGAATTCGTCGGAGACGAGACTCTCTCCGCCGTATCCACCAATTGCCCTAAACTAACGCTCCTCCACATGGTGGACACGGCGTCGCTGGCGAGCCCCAGGGCGATTCCAGGTAACGAATCCGGCGATTCCGCTGTCACGGCGGCGACGCTGATTGAGGTTTTCTCAGCTCTACCGCATCTAGAGGAGCTTCTCCTCGACGTAGGGAAGAACGTGAAGCACAGTGGTGTGGCTTTCGAGGCACTGAACTCGAAATGCAAGAAGCTAAGAACGCTGAAGCTAGGACAGTTCCAAGGGGTTTGCTCCGCCACGGACTGGCGGCTCGACGGCGTGGCGTTATGCGGAGGATTGCAGTCGCTGTCGATAAAAAACTCCGGCGATCTGACTGATATGGGTCTGGTGGCTATAGGGAGAGGATGTTGTAAGCTGACCAAGTTTGAGATTCAAGGGTGTGAGAATGTAACAGTGAAGGGACTAAGAACGATGGTTACTCTCCTGAGGAAGACTCTCACCGATGTGAGAATATCCTGCTGCAAGAACCTTGACGCAACCGCTTCGTTAAAGGCGATTGAGCCGATCTGTGATCGGATCAAGAAACTGCATATAGATTGCTTGTGGTCTAGTTCAGAGGAGGAAGGAGGACAAAGGGTGGAAACAAGCGAGACTAACCACGAGGATGATGATGATGATGGTGATGATTACGAGAGGAGCAAGAAGAGGTTGAAGTATTCATCTGAGGAAGAACACTGCTTACTATTCCCAGGCAGTGATGGGAATGGTTTCTGTTCTGAAGACAGAGTGTGGAAGAAACTCGAGTATCTGTCTCTATGGATCAGCGTGGGAGAATTTCTGACACCATTACCTATGACAGGACTTGATGACTGTCCGAATCTGGAAGAGGTCAGGATCAAGATTGAAGGAGACTGCAGAGGTAAACGCAAGCCAGCTGAGCCGGAGCTAGGGCTAAGCTGCCTCGCTCTCTATCCGAAGCTCTCGAAGATGCAATTAGATTGCGGCGACACAATCGGTTACGCGCTGACCGCACCGCCGATGCAGATGGATTTGAGCCTGTGGGAGAGATTCTTCTTGACCGGAATCGGAAACTTGAGCTTGAGCGAGCTCGATTATTGGCCGCCACAGGACAGAGACGTTAACCAGAGGAGTCTCTCGCTTCCTGGTGCAGGTCTGTTGCAAGAGTGCTTAACTCTGAGGAAGCTTTTCATCCATGGAACAGCTCATGAGCATTTCATGAATTTTTTGTTGAGAATCCCAAACTTGAGGGACGTGCAGCTAAGAGAAGACTATTATCCAGCGCCTGAGAACGATATGAGCACAGAGATGAGAGTTGGTTCGTGTAGTCGATTCGAGGACCAATTGAACAGCCGCAACATCATTGACTGAAAACTTTAAACCGTGAGTTTACTCACTCCACACTATAAATACATGTATTTAACTTTTTGTTTACTTGAATGTTATATATGTTTGTAAAAGGAAAGAGCAAAGATAATAGTTTATAGTAGTAATTTGCAATGATCAATGTATACAGAAGTTACAAAAGCCAATTTCTTATATTACTTGAAAGATGCCGGAGAGGATACAAGTTCTTCACACAGACGCAAAAGTTACACCTGACCTAATAATGACTCAAAAAAGAGATTTTATTCAGAGAAAGAAGATAAAACAATTTCACAGAATCAGCAGAGCGAATCTTCACAGGTCGCTAGATAGGTCAGTATGTCTTCACAGCTCGGTCTTTGCTCTGGTTCCAACCAACAATCTACAAGACAAAAGATTCCATAAGCATAAAGCATCTGTTTACTGAAATACACAGTAAGTGTTGTAAGAGAAACAACACTTAATAGTTTTTTGAGGAGTCACACAAACCTGCAATAAGCTTGCCTAATGGTCCTTCAGGTATTTTGAGCCGGGCTCCGTCGTTTGCAACAGCATGAATGACCTGAAAAGACAAAAAAAAAAAAACCTGATGTGAGTGAGGTTCGATGTTTTTGTTTTAGTTACTAAGTGTGTTGTTCTTGTTCAAAGAACATACTCTGTCTTTTGGGACTCCTTGCCAGGGTTTGGATAGAGTGCAGAGCTCCCATATTATAACACCAAAGCTAAAGATATCGCATTTTTCAGTCAAGGGCTCATTGCGGATAACTTCAGGAGCAATCCACTCGGGAGTTCCTGCAGGTACAGTTTCATCCATCTTCGCGCCTTCCATGATTCTCGAGAGCCCAAAGTCACAGATCTTCACCGTCCATTCATCGCTCAACAAGCAGTTCGAACTCTTTATGTCACGGTGGACTATTCCCATCTCGTGTATGCACATCAAACCCCTTTGAAACACACACATAGAGAGAGAGATTCAAAATGTTTACAAAATCTACTGATTTCTGTTTTTAAGCTTTACTATTGTAAGTAAATGAAATACCTGCAAATGTCACGCAGAATATTTAGTTTCGTCTTCCAGCTTAACTTCTTTATTTTGTCAGTCGCATGGAGCAAATGATACAAATTTCCTTTTTCCACATACTCTGTAACGAGTGATAAGTGAGGAGGCTTTGTACATGCTCCAAGAAACGTAACAACTACAAGAATTTGAGATATATGCATCTGTTAGTTAGATATTATCTGACAAAGTAACCGAAAAGAAAAGAAATGTAGATGATCATTACCATTCGGATGTTGAAGACGGCTGCACAGAAAGAGAAGACATGAAGATAGGTCAGAAGAAAATTTAAAGAAAGTATTTCGCTACAAACTAAATAAACACGTAAAAGATTAAAAGACATATATATATATATATATATATACCTATGAATTAGTATTTCATTGGAGAAATCTTTGATGTTCTCAACCGTAGCATCTTGATCACTAAACACTTTGATGGCAACATTTTTTCCATTCCAAATGCCACGGAAGACTTGTGCAAAACATCCTTGATGAACAAAGAAGAGCGAGTTAGTTGGATTTCTAAGTGCCAAAACAGATCCATATCCAAGCTTATTCAGTGAGATAAAACAAATCTTACCATTTCCAACACAAGTCCCAACTTCCAACTCGGAGAAATCTATGTTCCATTCCTCATTTGGTAACAAAGGCTTACCCTGGAACATTGAAGATCCCAGCACTTCATTCCAGATCTGGCTTATGCTTTGATCTAATGGCTCACTCTTTTCAGGTGATTGGCTTTGATCCTTTTAGGGAGTTGATATTGCATGAACTTCATGAAATTAGACTTTTAAACTTAGGCAAAAAAGAGAAAAGACACAGAAAGTGTTTTATAGTTTAAGGCTATACCAACATGGACGACCCCTCACCAGCTCTCACGTTAAGATCCTGAGGACTGAAGAGTCAACAAAAATTTACAATCACATAAATTATAGAAACGGCATTATAAATGTATCAATAATTCTCATGAAAATAGCGGACATAGAACAAGAATAACCTGGATTTTGGTGAATGACAAGAGACATCCCTTGAAGTTGAGGTATGAGCCATATAAACTGCATAGCTTGACGACATTTGTATAAGCTGACCATTAGATCGTGTAAGGTCGACCATCATTTCCACAGTATTTAGCGTAACCACAACAGACATATGCTTATATGACTCGACGCTTTCAGAAATTTCCAGATCATTAGGTAAACCCTGATCAAGAAAATTAACGATAAAATACCAATCAAATGATATATGCAAATACATGTAACGATCACATTTCTACAGAGTACTTACCACGACAAGCTTACTTTCAAGACCAACTGTATCAGCTAGAACTTTAAACAAGATGGCCCGAGCACGGCAAGAATCAGTTTTGATCGGTCCTAGCAGTGGAAAACCACTACTTCCTAATGATGGTGTAGCTTTTGTCCGACTCTTCAGATTATAAAATTCTACGATCTGCCATAAGATGGAAAACTTTAATTAAGATCTCCCTATATATAACATAACCTAGCTAGTACATTGACGTTGTTAAAATGTTGTCATATGCATAAATGAGATAAAAGTTTATTTGTTTTCTAAAAAAAAGGAACTGAACCAAAATTCATCAAATCTAAACCCGAACCTATTTAGAACCAAATCTTTATTGCATGTAGCGATACGATAAAGTAACAAAAATGATTTGTAGTGTAGCAAAGGAGATGATAAATAATGCTCGCCATTTCTTACCAGTCCAACAATTTCCTTAATAACTTTAACCGGATCTAATCCTCCGGCAAGGTTGACGATCAACCGCTTTAGATGATGAAGCCATTTATCTTTCTCGAAATCTACAAGAATCACATCAGCCTCTTGACCTTCCTCACACAGCGCACGAAGTTCAACTAGTGTAGGAATGGTTTCAGAAAGCTTTAATCTATTATCCTGTTGATATTCCAACATGTGTAATCATATAAGAAAATTGATTCTTGACAAACAAGTTACTATCAACCTAAAGATAGCTTACCGGTACCACAGAGTAAAAACCATCTGGTATCGGGTCAGAAAACGACCCAGTACTCCAAAGAATATTTGATGCTCTATATGATGCACACATCCCATCATCTTGACCAAGATCTCTTGGTGATTCTCTAGTATTAGAGGTTTCTTCTTGCGATTCCATAGTCTCTAAAACTTCTGAAGGCCTCAAAGATGGACTTTGAGGTTCTGGTTCCAATGGCACATCGACGTCTCTTGTCTCTTCCATTGCCATGAGGTCTAAAAATCACATGAACGGCTTTCTCAAGAAAAGACAAAAAAAAAAACAAATACCAAAAATGTTGAGAATCAAACTTCTTTTACCTGTAGCTTCGTCCGGGAGGTCAGGTAACCTGCATGCATAGGCAAAAAACAGAAGGGTTAAGTAATAAAGAAAAATATGATGATTAAGGAAACATCAAAAATCAAATAAAAAATATGCATTTTCTTTAATGCTTTCACTTTGATATCCACAAATTCCAGTAACAAACTAGTTGCATTTCTATTTCTCTTATTAAAGCTGTTACTAGTATATGAACATTTTGAATATTGCGAAATTCTCAAGACTAGCTTCAAACTATTCACTTAATTTGATGGACTTTCGATATGAAATTCAAAACGAATAGCAGACAAAATAAATTTTAAAGAGAAGGAAATCATCAGCATATGTAAGTCAGTCTTACGTTTCGACGGAATGTTGATCGAATCCTCCGCGACAACAAGAACATTTAGATCCCATTTAAGCCTTTGGTGACCAAATTTCAGAAACCTGCATAGATTTTCAACTTATATGAACAATTCATATAAGCCATCCCCTTCAATGTACCCAAGTGTAAGCTACAACTCAGTATCAATACTAACGCAAAACCCCATCACATTTAAACTAGTAGAAAATAATTTTTGACCATCAAGAATCTTACAAGAAACCATAAACGAAATGGTCGAAATTCCAAAATAAAGAAAATGACCTTGTAAAGGCTAAAGAGAATAGAAGAATATGATAAACTCACGGCAAGCAGATCAACAAGAACGAAGAACTCCTCCTAATTCAATTTCTAGCAACGCAACAATCTGCATTAGAGAAAACAAAACAGCTTGATCATCACAGAGAGAACAAGACATGGAAAGAATTGAAGATTGTATGATCAAGCAAAAAAGAACTATACGTACACACATACAAAAAAATAATTTTACTCTTAAACAGCAACAGAAATTTATGCATGGCATTGGATTTTTTTTTTTTTTTTTTTTTTTTTTTGGGGGGGGGGGGGGGGGAGGGGGGTGTTTATAGTTTTCATTTTTATGACAGAGTAAGAAAACTCTGTTATGGGATTTTGTTTAGATGATAATAGTTATTTTTTCAAGATCACTTTTATGATCTATATAAATGTAACTTACTTTTAGTGTTTTACTTTTCCATTTAAAAATCTTTAACATATACAGAAGAGGTTGATCGGAACAATTTGTAGATTTTGGATTAGTGTTTAAATTATTCTATAGATCACTTGATTAATTTTCAACAATAAAAGGGGATTTGCAGTTAATTGAACTCACTTAGAAATAAAGTAAAAGAATTAAACAACTTTAAAAATCTTGCAATCAGCTACATATACATGACTTTTTGTTGTCATTGGAATTTACTACAAATTTTTAAAACAATTAAATATATAATTTTATAACGGATGTCTGACTTTTACATAATTTTAAATAATTTTAATTATTAGAAAAGATTCAAAATTTTAATATAATAATCAAAATTAGGATGACCTTACTATATAAAAAAATATTGTTATTATTATAGTATTGAAGAACATGTTGTACTAATTTTTTGCAAAATAACTAATTTGTTTTTAATTTACTTATAAAACTATAAAAAATTACTATTTTTTTGTAAGTATTATTTTTATTCTTGTAATAAATGGAAAAAATGGGACTAGATCCTTGAGAAAAAAATAATTTATAGATTATTCTTTTAAGCTATTTTTATTATATAAATAATATATTTTATTTAATATTATTTTAAAATTATCAGATATTATTGTAGGTAGATAAAGAAAATTTTAAAATAAAAACCAAGATCTATAAACGATTATAACCATTGAATTTTAGAAGCAGAACTTCGAAATATTAAATATGGTATGAGTCTTAGGTGACAAAATTGTACAAAATTTTAATCTTTTATGCAAAGATTAACATTGGATGAAGCTAAAAATTTTATCAGACCTTTTATGAGATACTTTTTCTTTAAGCTGAAAATTTATTACCATATAATTTCATTTATCTAGAACTAAAAATCTTTTTTGAGAAATTTTTATCTATATAATGAGAAATTCAATTAATGTTATCATTCTAAGATTAATTATGGTATGAGTCTTACAAAATGTGGTAACAAAACTGTATAATTTTTTAATTTCTTATGCAGAGATTAACATTGGATTAAGCTGAAATTTTATCATTCAATTTTTCATTAAGCTGAAGTTTTCTTAGACATTATGATTTCATTTATATAGTGCTATGCATATAAAAATCTTGTTTGAGATATTTTTATCTATAAAATGAGACATCAAAATCAATTATATAATTGAGTACATTGCATATAAAATTATTGATGCTAAAGTTAACAACATATTTATCAGGTAAATTGGATATATTACACAACTACACATCATGATTTTGATGAAGATAAAAGAGAATCAAAAATTTACTAATAGTTGATTTATCAGATATATAAAACCCATTATACAACAACAGAACGAGGCCCATTAATAAATTTACGGGCCTTACGAAACCTTAAAACTCGTTAGATAGTTTTTTTTCGTCTCCCTAGAACCCTGAATCTTCTTCTTCACTGAGCACTAACTTTCTAATCTCCCGACCTATCCGATGACCACCGTATCTCGGCCGTCACCGCCGGCACCGGAGACATTAGCCACTCAGTTTCAGACGTCAAGAGTGAGTCCAAAGACGGTGGAAGATGCAATTAAGGCCTTGCTCAACTGGAGAAACGAAAAATCAAAGACGGAGAAGCCGCAGCTTCTAGAGCAGGACGAGTTCGTTTACCTAATCGTAACCCTCAAGAAGATTCCGCAGACGAGCCGTACGAATGCTCACCGTATCGGTCTCCCGCATCCGCTTATCAACACCGCCGAAGATTCGCCGGAGCTCTGTCTCATCATCGACGACAGACAGAAAAGTGGCCTCACCAAGGACGGCGCGATGAAGAAGATCAAATCCGAGAACATACCCATCACTAAGGTTCTCAAGCTCTCAAAGCTGAAAACGGATTATCGACCATTCGAAGCGAAACGGAAGCTCTGCGATTCGTACGACAGGTTTTTCTCCGACCGGAGGGTGATTCCTCTGTTGCCGAGATTGATTGGGAAGAAATTCTTCGCGAGCAAGAAGATTCCTGTGGCGATCGATTTGAAGCATAGAAACTGGAAAGAGCAGGTCGAGAGAGCTTGTGGAGCTGCTCTGTTCTTCATGAGGACAGGGACTTGCAGCGTCATCAAAGTTGGGAAATTGTCGATGGAAAGCGTTGAAATCTCAGAGAATGTGATGGCGACTCTGAACGGAGTTGTTGATGTTCTGCATGGTAAGTGGAAATACGTTAGATCGTTGCATTTGAAGCTATCCGAGAGTTTGGCTCTGCCGATATATCAGACAGTGCCTGATTTGAAGCTAAAAATCGATCCTTTTGGTGTTAAAGAAGCCAAGAGTGGTGGAGAATTGGTTAAGAGTGATGTTGATGATAGTGAGAGTGTTGTCTCGGTGAAGAAGAAAGGAAGGATTCATGAGGTTAGGTATATGGATAGTAATGTATCTGAGACGCTTGGAGAGGATGAAATCGGAATGAGTGTTGAAGATGAGGTTGCTGGTGATCTCAACGGTTCTGGAGATAAGAAGAAGAGCAAGAATGGGTTAAAGTCGAAAAGGCTAAAGAATGAGATTGATGAATTTGGTGGCAGATTGAAAACGAAGACTAAAGAGGAGGAAGAGTGTTTCTTAGATAAGTGATCCAAGGAAAGAAGATGGATCGATAAGTGTCTGTATAACTAAGTACATTCTCTTCTCTCTGCTTGAGTGATTTTTGGTACTGATTATGATTTTTTCTTTATCCTCATGGTTCTGATACATTTTTAGGCTTTCTGCTTCTCATGTAGTTTGGTTTGGTGGTTTTGAAGAGGAAACATTATTATTATTACATGTGTTTTTGTTTGCATTCCACAATTTGTGTTATATCGAATACAAACTCAAGAATCTACCCGAAAGAAAAGTACTTACAGGATCTGAATCAAGCCTCTGACCCAGATCCTGACTAAGTACTCATCCCAAGAAATGGCTCTACCTTTGAATCCCTTTAAAGTTTTAACCTTTATGTCTCTACTACGTCAGATGATGAGCTGCGTTCTCCTGATGATGTCGGGAACAGAGAGAGCGAGAGCATCGTGTTGATACCATCTGTTGGTTTTTGCCTCCAATTTCCAAACTCAGGCAACTGATTTTCACCTCCGGGCACTAGTTTTGATCGTTTGAATGATGATACTTCTCTCGCCTGTTCTTCTCTGACTCTTTTCTCATGGGTCGTCCTCTTAATCTGCATAAGATTTCATCAAAGATTTTACCATAATGTTTCATCAGTAACGTTCAAAACCTAAAAGAGGGTACATTTACTACCTCGAGCAGAGGCAGTGTCTTGCTCTCGATGATGTCTCGGTCAAGTCCTCCATGCCATTCATTTCCACTTAACCCGTTACACCAGCTCGAAGGTCGCATAACATAGTTACCTCCAAGATTTGTAAAGACTGAGCCTTGATCGTGCACCCTGCAGAAAGCAATGCATCTTTTGACTTCCTGATCGCGAAAGGTCAACAAATACATCTGAAACCTTTTAAGAAATGGAGTTTGTGTGACCTTGAAGGAACTGTTTTAGAGTTGTAGACATGTCTTAAATCTCCATAAGGGAAATCGATCATGTTTAACAGATAGCTTCTTTGTCCACCCATCATAGCTCCAACCTCTGCTCAAAAGTCATTTAAAAAAAAAAAAAGCCATCAATATCTCATCAAAGCAGGAATCGATTCCAATGAACTGAAAATTGAACTGCAAATCAGAATGAACAACATACCATGGAAAGACGATGCCTCGAGCTTTTTACTCCGATACATCTACAAATCAGAAACATCAAAACGTTGAAAAATAGAAGCGGCGACAAAACTGAGATAATCTTAGAGAAGACAGAGATAAATACAAGAAGGTTATAGTATTAACCTGCAAGTGACTCTTGACATGTGCAATACTCAATCCTTTCATATTCATCATCTGAAGAACCAGTTTCGGTGTCGCTCCTGTAAAGACATACAAAAGTACAATCATTACAAATCGCTAATTAGAGAGAAAGAGCGAGAGTTGGAGAGAGAAAGGATCGTACTGTGTGGACCGCCTAGTCGTTGGACTGCACGGACGAAGGAAAGATGAAGATCAGGCGTCCAACGAAGCCGAGGCATGTTGGATCGAACATACTGTCTCACGTTATTACTACTCGTCGCTTGTTGGTCTTCGTCTTCAACTGATGACTCTTCTTCATTAATGTTCTTCTCCACCGTCTCTTCTCTGTTTAAGTCAAGCCACGTGGAGCATATCTCCGGCGAAGATGTCCCGGTCATTTCTCTCCGCGAGGGTGGTTTCTCTAGCTAGCTTCTCTCGATCACTAATAATCAATTACTCAAAAGAATAAAACCATGAGAAAGGTTAAATATATCTCAAGTTGTGACTTGTGTGTATAGTCTCTCTCTATGATCATTTCGACGTTATAACTTAGCTTCAATAATACATATATATTATAAACTCTATATGCATTATTATATAGTCCTCTTGTTTGCCATAAACTATAATATATATGGACATTTATATTCTGATCTATGTCATGCATGTTTACGTGTGTGTGTATGTGTTTTTTGTGGAAAAGTGTGTTGGAATCTTCCGTTTGGTGAAATCACATTAGTTATTAGTTTTTGCTTTATTTTTGTTAACATACCAGAAAAATATCCGTTTGTTCTTTTAATGACAAAGACATATAACTTATCACCTTTATTTCTAAAAATAAATAAATAAATTCTCTCTTTTAAAGAACTCTGAATCTATGGTGAATGTTGAATACGAATTATCAACATCATGTAGAGTTAAGCAAATGTTCAAAAAAAAAACACTATGTAGAGTTTTGCTAATTCTTCTATTTACGAAATATGCATTTCATATATATAATATGATATTAGCTAGGCTGTTTAAATTGGTTAATTAATCACAAATAACGCATCTTTCAGATGAGCAAGTCTATATGTATATAGAATTAGCAGTCGAATATTTCGTGTCATTAAAATTGTAGTTTTGTGAATGATTAAACATTTCTATCCGACCAAACCACTCTTGTCTTTATAAACCTATTTTCTCTTTCATAATCTCCAGTAAAGTTGACCTTTGCCGGAGACTACGCTTAACCATTTTGTCATATTGTACCATTTTTTTTTTCGAAACCACTTTCAAACGTAAAATATAATAAAACTAGCATATCCAAATAATCTAGTATATACCAATTTATTCTCTTATATCGAGAAAACCAAATCGGATATGACAACCATCGATCTAAGCCGATAATTGGAAGTATTCATCTGTATTATTGGAAGTGATCATCTGTATTTCGAACTAAAGTTTTTGCTATTTATGGGGGGAAAATCACCCAATATTCCTCTAAGACATCTAAGTATACGGTCCTGATTTATTCTCAATTTCTCATGACATATATATACGTTACATGACGCTTTTCAATCCCAACGTTTACAAACAAAACTTAAAAAGTAAAGAGAAGGGAGTTTTGTCAAATAGTTAAGGATGTGATTCCCAAAGATTCTTGGGTTCACGTTTGTACAAAATCAGAAGTTGTCTTTATCTTTTTGGTTTTATTATCCATGACCCCTTTTAACATGGCATTGGGTCACACACCTGCTTATATTTGATTTCTCTTTCAGATTAGGGCTTGCTCGACTTGTGACTAACTATATAATTTATATATGACTTAGCATTGATACCAAACATCCATATATAATTCGACAGAGGAAGTTGTACTTAGCTAAAGGAATTATTAAGTTTATAATGGCTTAGCATTATAACTAAAACATCCATGTTCAATTGCCATTTTGATTTTTGATGCTTCAAAAGCAACACAATATCACTGTCTTTAGTATCATTTGTGAAAAACTTGAACTGGAATTTCTAAAATGGTTAAAATTCAAATTAAGAGACACTAAAAACAACCATAAACTTTTATATTAAAATTTAACATCTACCCGTTCGAAGTATAATATATATATCACGATTCTATCACAAAGTAATTCAAGAAAACAAAGGTATAAAGTACAAACACTTTTTACATTTACTAAATTATATGTGAAGTAAAAACCCCAAACCCTATACCAAACTTAATTATAAACCGCCCCGATGCACGATTTCGACACTCTATGCAACACACATATCTATACAATTTTTTTTGGAACATATAAAACGCGATAGGATCAAATTTCAACGCTCTCGATCTTCAAAAATTTAGGGTTTTAGATATAGAGAGAGAGAGGAGAGAAGAGAGGACAAATATTCGAAGTAATTAATTAGGAGACCCATTGATGTGAGAGAAGGAATCGTAAGAGACTCATGTGGGCACTAAGAAAGATGAGGAAACTATGTTTTGTCTTAACCTATACGTACCGACAATCCATTCACAATTCCTCCATTTCCCATGCTCTCTTTTATGGAATATATTTCAATTTGTCTTTTTATAATTCTTGTAATCGACATTAATTTACTTGGCTAAGAGAATCTTGTCTATGCGTTTCCAAAAATGTTATTTCCCTCCATTTAAAAAAAAAAGAAAAATTAAATCATGATTGTTTCAAGTTTCAACATCAATTGGATTATAATCCAATTTGAAAGATAAATTATACTCCATCCATTCCATATTATTTGATGCTTTAGTTTTTGGTTTTGTTCCTAATATATTGATTTTCTAGATTATATTTACTACATTTCATTTTACAAGAAACTTTTTACAGCTTTTTCTGCTTATTATTCATTTTCTCTTTTTAAAAACCAAATGATTTAAGAAATAAATAATTAATAAAGAACCATTAAATGAAAAAGCAAAGAAAAAATATCTGATAAGTTAAATCATAATTGTTCCTTAATATCTGTAAAACATCTAAAACATCAAACAATAGGAACGGATGAAGAACATACTTTTTCAAAAAAAATACAGAAACTGTTGCCAACATTTAATCAGAATCCAACTATATACTTATATAGAGCTTTGATTTCGCGAATACGAAATTATTTGAAACTTTTATAGACCGTTCCATCGTGTAGTAGACAACTAGAATTTTGTACGTTTATACATGCGCAAAGAGAGAGATACCTATAGAATATAAATACAGTATGAGATCTCTAGAAAATATTGGAAATAAAAAAGGACGTTGATCCAGTTTATATATACTATTTTATAGACATGCAAGAAGCTAAACAATTCTGCATGTTGCCCTAAAGAATCGCCGCAAAATAAGGCACCGTCTTCGAATTCTTTCTCACCACATGCCTACGTATCTTTGCCCATGACCAGCATACGTAGCTTCAATTTTCTTTTCTTGATTTTTATAAATTGTCTTGTAATACTCATAAGATGACAAAAAAACTACAAAATAAGAATTTCTATATCAAACTAACAAATAACAATGTCGTCTCTTCTAAGTTGTTCTTTTATTTAGTTATCAAGCTTGATTATAATTTGAAGTTTGGAAAACATTCGTCTTTAGCCAAAGCAGAAATCAATTTAGGAGCTCAAAACGCACAATCTTAAAAAAGTCCGAGAACTCGCCACTAATCCAAGATTCATCTATTTCTAAACGTTTCCATACTTACTTTGATCGCTTAAAAAGGCGGTTGGGGTCAAGATCAACCGGTACGTATATCCACAACTCAATGACCAAGTTAACGTTTTAGACCAACAATCTAGTCCCCTAACCATTACTATTATTACCTAACGTGACAACAGTTTCCACCATTTTTTGTTAGTTTGTATATGACTGTGATAGGTAAACTTTTATACACTTTATTAATCAAGGACTCATTTATTTCAACCATGATTCCCCAAAAATGCTTTTTGTTTTTGCTTCTTGTCGTTGGGTCTAAGCTTAGGGACCATATCATCACCGTTGGTTGTTAAAATCTTCTTTTAATTCTTCATCACCACCATAATCGATAGAAAGACAATTTATTTCCGATGACAGAAAAGCCCCCAAGGAATTAAAATTTCAGTGAAATGAGAGGCTTGAATTCGAGATGGAAAATGGTCTTCGTACGGAGGAATCGGAATTTGATTATTTTGGGGTCTATTTTGTATTCAGAACACACCCCATGAGAGCTTATCACAGAAACGTGCCTCTACTACCTGAAGAGAAAGGCTATCAGAAATACTATTTTGCAATATATAATGAAACCGGACGCTTTATCACAAATCAGTATGTACAATCCCGTTTGCAATATACAAAAAAAAAGACCCCAATTTTTTATAGATTATTATTTTCCCAAACGAATAGTTTGATATAAATAAATACTAAAAACCCGAACCAGCCAAGAATTATGTGACAAGTAAATAATATAAAATATAGAGATACCCGTAAAATCAAGTTCTAATGACAGGACCCCTGTAAGGAACTCGTCGTATCACAAAATCATCAGGCGGTTGAAATTCCTCAAGCCAAGTTACCTCTGACACCATTTCTCCATCCACTTCCATTTCACCTGCTCCGATTCCACATTGCAAAGCACAAAGCAAAATCATCAAAGCAAGTTCTTCACAGTGAATGGTGAATGGTGAATTGTATTCCATACTTTTTTTTTGGGTTTCATTAACTTTTTCTAACTGAGAATCGTATATTCCTTTAAGAGCTTAGTGTATTACCAGGTAAGTCTTCTCTTCTGGATTTCCGGAAGTAAGTGCAGTGCCGATCATGATCTGAAGAATAAGGTGGAGATAAGATATCAATAATCGCGCAATGGGTGATGGCTTTGAAACAATGAATGTTGCCACCACTTGTCGGATATAACGTGGTCGCTGGGGTTGGAGCCGTCATCTCAGTATCCTTCACCAGTTTAGCGGGTCTTGCTGCTTATGGAATTAAGAGTTTACAATTAGACCAGAAAAGTGATCGTTTTAAAAAAATTAAGAGCTAAAGAAGGTCGCTGGTTGTACCTTGTGATGGATCTTCTGGTTCGGTCAGGTCAGGCTCTAGCCAATCATATGACTTCACATGCATTGAACCATAAATGAGCTTGCTTAGCACAGTCATGCCCGGATGATTATGAAGTGGTATCATAGAGGAAGGTGGCATACAGAAAATCCCTATCTGTTTTCACAGAGAAAATGAAACCAAATGAGAGATAGTGATAGTGGCAGTACAATGAAGCCAAAAACCCAACTATGAGACGACTCCGGAATATGACTCGAACTTTGGTTACTCATACTTTCTAGATCATTTGTCATAGGCTCATGGCTTGAATGGTTGGTTCCTGAGATTCTCTCAAGGATCATGTTTGGATCCACCCCCTATTCCCCTAATTTTGATATGCGGAAAAGGAGAATATTAAATATCAACTAAATCATCTCAGGATTTGGCTATTGAGGCGTTTCAACTTATTATCTATACAGAGAGTTCGGGTTTCTGGATATTAATCCAAGCAGAAGCAATCCTATCTAAATGGGACTCTTATGCAATGATTTTCTAAGACAGCTTAAATTGGATCACTAAAAGATGCACCCTTTCTTAGTAGACATCCGTAAGCTATAACAACAGTCAAGACTAATCAGCCAAAGATTTGTCAAATTAGTAATGCTTACGGAAAAACTGTCACACTCATGCAAATGAAGATACTTTATTGCCGCGGGTGACTGATGACTTCCGTTGCGTTCATTGAGAGGACCCGACCTGGTCCGTGCCAATTGAGCTTCCTGCTCAATTCCAACATCAGATGGCTTGATTTTCTCTGCAACATAAATTACAACAAAATAGGCTGTAAGTGCAATAGGGGACCACTGCATTTAAGGAAACAAAACGCAGACTAAGATATAAGATTACTACCACCACAAACCTTAACTAATACAATCATTAAAGGTAACTGCAGAATGATCAGATAAAACTGTTTCACATGCTGTGGGCCACAAAAGTCATTAAAAGGTAATTTTCACAAGCAGAACATTATCAAGAACCTAAAAAGAATAACAGGTGCGAGTGACTGAAACACGAAAGATGAAAACTAAGAACAAATCACTGAACAAAGAATAAACACGTAATGTCGCAAACGTACCCAACACATTGCGAACTTTCTCCAGGGCCTCGTCTGATATTGGTCCGCCTGAAGAGAATGACGACTTGCAAGTATTGTAAAGCCTCTGAGCAAAGTAAGGCATGATGTGAATCCAATTCCAAATCCTCAGGGATCACCAGTTATGTCCCCCTTTCTGAGAAAAAAAAGGACTTTAAGCCTGTGAATGATAACAGAGGCAAAGAGCTTCTTCACCCAGATTTCTAAACACAAGCGGTAGTATCTATAACTTCATGGCAGATATCATTTCCTTCTTCTACATCATTCATACAAGCATTTATCCCTGAAACAAGGTCGGAAAACAAAAACAGTCTCAAAATGAATAACAGCTTACAGAAATGTAAAATTTTCGATACGTTATTGCTTAATACATTGGAAAATTAAATCACAAGTATGAAGTATCTCAATAAGAAAACAGGTTTAATATGAACATCACACACAGTGTTCAAAAGCAATTTTCTCAGGTTAATCACATGATCACATTGTTTCCGTCATCGAAACTGAATCAAATCATCATTAACGCTCATAATCTCGGCATATAATCGAATTGAACTATATCATCAGCAAATTACTTTTGAGCATTTATCATTTCATTAGGCTTAGAATCACAATCAGGAAGATATGTAAACTGATTCAATACAGATTGATTAAGACACCAAATCGGAGATTCGTTTTCTCAGATAAACCATAAACAACCGATGCATCAGAGTTAAAAACAGCAGCCAAATAGCAAAAACTTAACGAGATAATATTCAGAAACGGGAGAACATTTTGAAGAAAACCTTGAACTGAGCCGTCGCGTAAGATCCGGACGGATAGAATCAATCGGTAGAAGTTGGAGACGAAGAAGGTAGAGAGAAGTCAGAGTAATAATAATTTTAGCCTTTAAGAGTAAAAAAGAATAAAAGAGGAATCCAATATTTTTAATATTGTTGCCATATGCCCAGATATTTCTTCTCAAGTGGGATCCATATACATAAATTTACGAAAGTAGCCCTTGAATCCACACTGTATATTTTTTAAAGCATTTATCGGACGAAGAAAAGAAATATTTTAAATAAAACAAATAGCGTGAAGCTCACGCACGGCATTTTTTTTCCTCTCTCTCTATATTATCCCAGCTTTCTCTCATTTTCATTATTTTTTAATCTGTTTTTCTACGAAGAAAGAAACCCTAGATTTTGTGAAAAGGCGGTTTGCAGAAGAAAAAAGCTCGAGACGAAACCATGGCAGGAGTTGGACCGATGACTCAGGATTGGGAGCCGGTGGTGATCCGTAAGAAAGCCGCGAACTCAGCCGCCAAGCGCGACGAGAAAACTGTCAACGCCGCTCGCCGATCCGGCGCCGATATCGAGACCGTCCGAAAATGTTTGTTCTTTCTTTTCGATCTCCTTTGTTTTCTTCTTTTCCCTAGTTCCTGAATGATTCGGTATCGTAGTTATAATCCGATTGAAGTAATCTGGCTTAGGGGTCTCTGGAATATTTCATAGATTTAGCTATTGGAGCTTGTGTATGGTTTTTAGTGCGATTTTGTATATAGCGCCTCGGGGTTATTGCAATTTCTTGGAATCGATGGTATTTAGGATTGATGTTCGTTGTCAATTGAAATTTCCGCCTGAGCAGTAAATTATTCGCGAGAAATCGATGCATTGGTATTGGTGATTGATGATTTTTCTTGTTTTAGAAAAAAAAAATGTCTGCTTTGGTTTGTTTAAGGCTTGAATCTATGCTCTTGAATTTTGTTGTTTCAGTGTGCAATATAGATTTCATCTAACACGTCCTTGTGTGTGGTGTGTTTAGACAATGCTGGAACCAATAAGGCGGCATCAAGCGGCACATCTCTCAACACCAAAAGGCTTGATGATGACACTGAGAATCTCACTCGTAAGTCTCATCTCTAATCATTTGTTTTTACTGATGGTGAAATGATTTTCTCTATTGGCTTGGTAAAATGATTAGTCCCTTTGCTCTGTTTTCTCGGTTAATTGGTTTTTCAATTCCACATTGGTCTATGAATGGAACTATCCTTGCATGAGTAGGAGAGTTCCAGAGTTTTTCTATCTTTTTGGCCTTTGTTGGTCTTAGCGAGATAAACTTTTCATTTGTTGATGTATGTATTGATTGATCCAAATTGTGTTTCCAGATGAGCGTGTGCCTACTGAGTTAAAGAAGGCCATTATGCAAGCCCGAACAGATAAGAAGCTAACCCAGTCCCAACTTGCTCAAGTAACTTATCCTTCTCTCTAATCTATATATATATCTCTCTCTTATTATGATTACCCGTTGTTTGTGAGTCAATACATGACCAACACACACTCGTTTGCTTCTTTATGTAGATCATCAATGAGAAGCCACAAGTGATCCAAGAGTATGAGTCTGGTAAAGCAATCCCAAACCAGCAGATCCTTTCTAAGCTGGAGAGAGCTCTCGGAGCTAAACTTCGTGGTAAGAAGTGAAGCAAGTCCTGAAGATAAAGAACAAAACTTAAATCGCAGTTTCACTTTTCTTTATGTAGTATCAACATTCAGTATGCTTTCATCTCAATGTCGTTGTTCTTTCAAGAAGAATCTTTTCTGATGTGAGAAAGATGAACCGTTTGACTATGTTTGGTTGATGAAATCACTCTCATAAACTTATAAATCAATACAAATAACACACAAGAGTTGCTTTTATTGTTTTTGATTGACATGAAAACATAGAGAAATCCAATTTAGAACTCAGGTTCAGGTTCTTCGTCTGGTGGAGAAATGACCCATTCACCATCTCCGTTCTTGATCAGTCCTTTGTTCTTCTCCACCCACCAAGATCCTGGCACTAAACATTCATCTTTCAAGAACTCACATGACTTGTTCACTAATGCAATACTTCTCTTCACCATCAGCTTAAACTCTCCTTTCTTCCCATTCCATCCCGCAACGACATGGAGCATTGCCTGCATCAATATGAAAATGAAAAAAAAATGCTTAAGTTTCTACTCTATTGCCATCGTAGAAACTTAAAAAGATTACCTGAAGATTGTGCCAATCCCCTGGATTCCTTGAATCCTTAAGGTAAGGTGACTTCTTTGTATCGATCACAAAGTTGGTTCCTATATCCACATACCCCAAGAGTCCTCCTGGATATCGAGTTAAGAGATCAATCGTGTTCCTTACATGCAGGATCTTTAAGTTCTTGTGACGCGTTACCTCGTCCTTGAACTCCTTGTTTCCTACCTGTGGACAACCAAACACAATCGCAGTGACTGGAACATCATCGTTGGCACCGTTCTCAGCTATGTCAAAGGCGGCGATAACAGCCTCTGTAGCTCCCAAGCTATGTCCGGTCAACACAATGCTCGGATTCTCGTCCTTATACTTCAACAGGAGCTCCTTGATCTTAGCTAGCAACTGTAACCTTAGACTCAGCTTTGTGAACTTCGACTCCGGGTGATCAGAAGTATAGATTGTGAGCCACCCGAGCATCACTTTACACCCCTCTTCGTCTTCACTGTCACTGCTATAAGTACTACCAGCTCCAACCGCACCAGAGTCAGAACCAAAACCGCTCTGTTTCGGTCCGTGAAGCAACGGGTCAGCTGAAGTAGGCCTAGCCCCCAAAACATTGATCCACTCATAGTTCCTACTCGTCCCTCTCAAAGCCACGTAGATCTCACGGCGTCCCAAGGCCTTAGTCCGTTCATCAGACGTAACAGCAATGTAACCGAACCAGTTAGACTCGCGGTCCCAAGAATCTCGTGATTGTGAGTGGAGAAGCAAACCTTGAGGGAGAGCGACACGAGCTGTGGCGTAGAGAAAGCTCGTGACCTCGTAGTCAGATGCGGATTCGAGCATGACCTTGTCGAAGAAGGAAGATTTGCCGTAACGGCTTGCTCCACAGTACTTGGAGTTTTCGTCGTTGACGAAAGCATCGTAAGTGGCTTGACAAAAGTCGCCGCAACGGAGAATGAGTTGGCGAAGAGATTGGTCAAATGGGTCTAAGAGAGTGTCCCAATTCTTTGAGCCTAAGAGCTCTTCCCATGGTGGTGTTGTAGCCATTGGAGAGAAATGGTGTGTGTTAGGAGATAAGTAAGTGACTCTTGGCTCTTGTGTATATAACAAAATATTTGTTTTTTTCTAATCAATTATTTTCTCACTTTATTTTAAGTGGTTGTGGTGATGATGGTGTGTGACCCACTTTTACATCCATAGCGATTAAGGTTATCAATGGTATTGGAATATTATGGCATATTCATTTCTCAACCATACAATTTAAAAGCAATGCAATCAATAGAGAAGAAAATTCTACCCAAACCAAAAGAGACAAACAAAAAAGTGACATTTTTTTGTATTTAATGGTTTTCTAATCAAACTCGACGACGGGCATGTCTTCGTCGTCGGGAGTGGCCATGACCCAATGACCATCCTCGGTCTTGAGCATGCCTTTGTTCTTCTCGACCCACCAACACTCGGGAACCAAACATTCATCTTTCAATAGTGCACACGATTTGTTAACCAATGCTATGTTCCGGTTCACTTTCATCTCGTACTTCCCATTCTTCCCGTTCCATCCCGCTACTACATGTAACATCGCCTACATTCACTCAAACCATAACCATTATAAGTTATAACCAACGTTTGTTTCGAACGCCATTTTTTGTGTTTGCGTTAAATGTACGAAAAAATGTCAAAAGAAACGCCAAACGCAAATTAAAGGGTTTCTTCATTTTGTTGTGTTTGGCGTTCACGTTTACAATTAACAAATAAATTTGCTTTATGCCTAAAGTTGTGGGTTCATTTAGAAAATTACACACTAAATATTATAGACACAAACCAAACAACAAAAGCCTAAACTAATGTTGATTCTAATGACATGAAAAACTATTCTATCTAGCATTGTCGTACATAAGGACAGATTCATTTACCTACCAATTTTATCATTTACGAATTAAGTATGGAATCTTATTCAAGATCTTATATATATATATGCAAATAGTTAAAGCAAAATAGAATGACTTGCCTGTAGGTTATGCCAATCACCAGGATGATGAGTTTCCTTAAGAAAAGGTGAAACTCTTGTATCGATCTTGAGTTTGGTCCCAATGTTGACGTACCCCATTATCTTAGCTGGATAACGAGTGATAAGATCAGTTTCGTTTTTCACGTGAAGTATCCTCACATTATTATGTCCGTTGATTCTGTCGGAAAATTCTTTGTTGCCCACTCTCGGAGAACCAATCACAATCGCCGTCACCGGCGGCACGTCAGTGTAGCCGTTTGTAACGTTTTCCGCCATGTCGAATGCTGCGAGAGTCGCGATAGTTGCACCAAGGCTGTGTCCAGTGAGCACTATGCTAGGTTTCTCGTCCTTGTATATCTCTAGCAGTTCTTTTATCTACCGTACGTAACAAGTTAGCATTTACTCATATCAAACAAATTGAATCAAAATGTCGAAACTAGTTTAAATATACTGAATAAAAGAAACAAATTCAAATTTTTCTCCGTCTTATAAATATTTGTTTTATATAGAAAGAAATATTTTGTTTGACCGTTTTTTTTTTAGTAAAAGAAACTCTGATATTACATTTTCATTGGTTTATTGGTGTTTTGTTTCAAAAAAATATTTCAATGTATGTAACATGTTTTAATTTCATTAATCGCATTTATTTTTCATTACCTTGGTGAGAAGCTGCGAGCGTGCACTCATCTTGGTGAAGGGTGAGTTTGGATTAGCCGTAGTATAAATAGTGAACCATCCAAGCATAACCTCAGGACCATCTCCACCGTCCATCAACAGTTCCTTCACCGGAGTCAACTTCGCTCCCATCACATTAACCCACTCGTAATTCCTCGTCGTCCCACGAAACACCACATAGATCTCTCTCCTCCCAATCTCAGCCGTCCGTTCATCAGACGTGACCGCGATGTAACCGATCCAGTTAGTCTCACGGTCCCAAGATTCTCTTGACATGGAGTTTAGGAAGAAGGCTTCGTGGTCGCTGACACGAGCCGTGGCGTAAAGGAATGAAACGACGTTGTAATGTCTCGCATCGTCGAGCATGACTTTGTGGAAGAACGATGGTTTGCCGTAACGGCTGGCTCCACAGTAGGTGGAGTTTTGGTCGTTGATGAAAGTGTCGTAAGTGGCTTGACAAAAGTCGCCGGCTCGAAGGATGAGCCGGCGAAGTGAGTGGTCAAGTGGTTCCAATAGGTTTTGCCAATTGTCTTGGCCAAGAAGCTCTTCCCATGTTGGCTCGACCATGATTTGGTTATTTGATTTTTTTTTTTTTTTGTGTATGGTGTGTTTAATTTAAGCATTTGAGATTTTATTTATTCATATGTAATCGTGAGAACCACTTTTAAATTTATTTGGATATATTGTTGATCTTGTCTATATATGCTTTAGATTTGGAATATGCTAGTGTTCATTGTTAAACTAGTTGTTATCCAAATTAACTTTTGATTTTGAAATATGATTAGGACAAATGGACAATTGATCCTTGATTTTATGCCAATTGTATAAAGTTACTGACTGAGTATAAAAAATTACTCTTTTGTTAAAAAATTTAAGTATATTTATTATTATTTTTTTTTGTAGATTTTATTTGAGACATTGAGTTTTTAATTAGGTCAACAGGCCCATTTTAAATCAGAGATGACTTAGAGCCCACCATAAGATAAAAAAGCCCAATAAAGTGGTACGAATACGATCAAGACGAACGATACGAAGCTAACTCGTCGTCGGTGAGATTTCCCGGCGAAGCAAAATTGGTGTTTCTCCGGTGATCAGGCGTTAGTCTAATTCAGACCACATCTCATCGGTATTTGCTTCTGCTGGTGATCTCAGTCTAAAACGACCGACTGTGACGCAGCTACAGAGCTATGGCTCTGATCGATGTCGCGATATCTTGTCTCAATTCGATCCGCGAAGTAAGTGTAGATTTCCCTTTTTTCCTTTTGTCTCATTTCGTTTTCCGTTTTGATCTGCTGCTCCTAAAATCTTGACCTTCTCCGAATCATTAGTATTTCTCAGACAATCTTATTTAAGCTCTTTTGTGTTTCCTGGGAAGAAGCTAAGTACCTTTGATGAGCGTTAATGGGAAATCTCAAGTTTTTTTGACCGTTTTGTTTTGCAGATAGAAGAGGATATCAAAGATGCCATTGTGTATATTGATGCTGGTTGCACAGAAAGTTTTCAGTTTGCAGGAGCATTCCCTTTGCTCTTGGAACTTGGTGCTCGTGCTGTGTGCAGCCTTGAAAATATGACTCCCCTCGATGCGGTAAGTCAATATTCTTCTTTTTCTTGTTTGATTCCATACTCTTGGTATCAAAAAAGTAGTTATCTTCTGATCTGATCTATAACATGTGATGTGACTTTCGATGTGTTTTATTGGCTCTAGGTGGCTGATTGGAATTCGAAGCTTGATTGTGCAAAGAGAATTGTGATTATGACATCTCGGCTTCTCAATGATGCTCATCGTTATATGCTACGGTGTCTAAGCACCCATGAAGGTGTTCACAGCTGCACAGTGTTCACATCTATCTCAGAGGTGCGTATCATTATCGTATTTGAAATGACATTAATGTAGCAGTTTTGGTTCTCATTGATTCCTCTGTAAGAGATGTTTTCATATATAATACTCTTCAGAATAGGTTTATGTTCTCCTGAGTCAATTGATATTTCTCATCTAATTACCCTATTAATTTGAGCTTGTGTAACGGACAGGGATCTCACTCAGCTTGTCCTGATTCACCACTTGGTCCTGACGCATATCGAGAGTACGAAATCTTACTAGTTCAGGATTACAATGAACATTCCAAGAAAAGCGACGAAATATCTAAAGACAAAGGGGTTTCTAAGTTCTCCTCTGCACTTGAGTCACTTACTATGGAGCCTATTATAAGTGAAAATGCAGATACTTCATCAGGTGATGCAGAAGGCTTGGTGGTCTCGGTGCACCACTTCCCCTTAATTATTTGTCCTTTTACTCCTAGAGCCTTTGTCTTACCTTCCCAAGGATCAGTCGCAGAAGCGTCCTTGTCCCGTCAACATGAGGATTCCCTTAGTTTCGGTCTGCCTCCCATAAGTACTGGATCTATGTCTGATACTGATGATGTTCCTCCTGGTGCAACTCTTACCGCACATTTTCTTTACCAGCTGGCTCTTAAGGTAAATTGTCGTATGTGAGCTACAGCACTACAAGATATCTGTTGCACTTGTTTGTCAAAATTTTAATGTCTTATGTTACTTTTATGAAGTTTGTGACCATATTATTGCTTTGAAAAAAACTGTAGATGGAGTTGAAGTTGGAAATATTTTCGCTTGGTGATCTATCAAAGAATGTCGGGAAGATTCTTACAGACATGTCAAGTCTTTATGACGTAGGGCGGCGCAAACGATCTGCTGGCTTGTTACTTGTTGACCGTACTCTTGATCTTATCACTCCATGCTGTCATGGGGATTCACTTTTCGATCGTATCTTTTCATCTTTGCCTCGAGCTGAAAGATTTTCTTCACAAGCACAGCTTAAACAAGGGGTTCCAAGCATCGATCGTCCTTCTCTTGATGTGCAAGTGCCGCTTGGGGAACTGTTAAATGAAGAACCAAGCAAGATTAGGGATTCTGGTCTTCCTGAAGGCGTTGAAGCTTTTCTACGTGGCTGGGATTCATATACTTCTGATCCAGAAAGTGTAGATTTGCTTAATGAATCTGACAGTAAATCTAGCACCAACTTGAGTGAGCTACTAAATGGATCTCTTGTCGTCACGGAATGTTTCAGAGGAACGCCTTACTTAGAGGCCGTGATTGATAGGAGAACAAAGGATGGAAGTGTGCTGGTGAAGAAATGGCTTCAAGAGGCTCTGCGTCGTGAAAATATCTCAGTCAACGTGAGGGGTCGTCCTGGTTACGCTACAAAGGCAGAGCTACATGCCATGATAAAGGCACTGTCGCAAAGCCAGTCGTCTCTGTTGAAAAACAAAGGGATCATTCAGTTAGCGGCAGCTACAGCCGCTGCACTTGATGAACCACAAAGTGCCAGATGGGATGCTTTTAGCAGTGCGGAGATGATGTTAAACGTAAGTGCGGGTGATACGAGTCAGGGTTTGGCTGCTCAAATTAGCGACCTGATCAATAAAAGCGCTCTCGCAGAGCTTCAAGCGAAGAAGAATGAGAAACCAGATTCGTCATCACGAGGGCTTCTGTCTTTCCGAGATGCCCTGCTTTTTACGATAGTTGGTTACATTCTTGCTGGCGAGAACTTCCCTACATCTGGCTCAGGCGGGCCTTTCTCTTGGCAAGAAGAGCATTTCCTAAAAGAAGCCATTGTCGATGCTGTTCTCGAGAATCCATCAGCAGGAAATCTCAAGTTTCTTAATGGGTTGACAGAAGAGCTTGAAGGCAGATTGAATCGCCTCAAGTCCGAGGAAGCCAAAGAGACTCCCGCTGATGATCAGTTAGACATCGATGCTCTTGATGATGATCCATGGGGAAAATGGGGCGAGGAGGAAGAAGAAGAAGAAGACAATGAAAATAGTAAAGCAAACGAGTCCTATGACGATATGCAGCTGAAACTTGATTTGCGTGATAGAGTAGACAGCTTGTTTAGGTTTCTCCACAAGTTATCGAGCCTGCGAACAAGTAACCTACCATTAAGAGAAGGCTCGTTGGCTTCAGAGAGCAGTTTTCCCGGAGATCCTTCTGGAAACAAAGGGCTACTCTACAGGCTTATAACAAAGGTGTTGAGCAAAGACGAGATTCCCGGTTTAGAATACCATTCCTCAACTGTAGGAAGGCTTTTCAAAAGCGGTTTTGGAAGGTTTGGTCTTGGTCAGGTTAGTTACCTCTTTCTCCCTCTCTCTGTCTCTCTCTCTCTATTACTTCATTTTTCCCTCGTCCCCCACGAGATACACATTGATGTTTTGCAACACTATTGCAGGCAAAACCGAGCCTCGCAGACCAGAGTGTCATTCTTGTCTTTGTCATTGGAGGAATCAATGGTCGAGAGGTGAGTTTCTTCCCCACTAAAGTCAGTTTTAGGCTTAATCTTTGTAATAACTGACTCTGTTTCCTCCATTGTCCAAAGGTTTTGGAAGCTCAAGAGGCTGTGTCGGAGAGCGGTAGACCGGACATTGGTCTGGTTATTGGAGGAACGACTCTTTTAAATCCTGACGACATGTTCGAGTTATTGTTGGGACAGTTCAGCCATTTTTGATCTCTTTTAGCAAAAACTCAGTCTCATTGTCTCTGTTGTTTAACTTGTTAGCTTGTAAAAGCTCTGTATTAGAAAAAAAAACCATGAATAGCAGCAAATGATTAATTTTACGAAGTATACTTCCATTTTCGAGAGAAGACAAGATAATTGGGTTGGAAATTGGAATTCCGAAATCTTCTTAAACTCCAAAAATATTTATGTATTTGGCCCCTCAGGTTTTATAATTGTTATAGAAAAACCCTTTAATTAAGCTGGAAATCTAAAATCCTCTTAAACCCCAAAATCGGTCTTCACACGGAAAAAACCTGCTAGTGAAAGAAGTGAAAACAATGGCAGCAATGAAGCTTCTACTCTCTCAAGCTCGCCGCCAAGGTCTTATCAAACCCTTTTCGTCTCCATTTCCACAAATCCCTAGGCTCTTCTCTTCCTCCCCATCATCTGATTCGAATCCTTCTCCCGATTCGAATCTAAACCCGTCTCTGAATGAATTCCGCAAAAAACTCGAGCCAGTGTCGTACGCCGCCAAACCCAAGGATCAGAAATCCGAAACCTCCGATGGCGCCTCTCCTCCGTTATCATCTTCTACGCCGCTTCAGGGCGAATCGGCGAACCAGGAAGACCGTTCGAGCTTGACGCGAGAGGAAATCCGATACGTGAAAGACGCTCCTTCAGTCACTCCGGTCTCTTACGCTCAGAGTGTGGCTCCGCTTCCGGAGGATCGCGTCGCCCGTGAGGGAGACATAGAGAGAACTCCGGAGGAGATGGAGAGGGAGAGGAAGAGGATTGAATTAGAGAATCGGGCTAGAAGAAGGTTTCTGAGAGCAACCGCTGTGGAAGAGGACACTTCTTCACTTCCTTTGCCAACATTGCTTAAACCTGACTTGAAACATGGAAAGAAACCTATTTTCGATCTCATGGAGGCCATTAGAGAGATTAAGGTCAGTATTAGTCACCCACATGATGCTTAACTCAATTTATTTTTCTGTGTATGATGTCAAAGGATTCAACTTTTGCTTGTTTCGTTGTTCGGGTACTGCAAATGAGTATTTGAAAGAAGCTAGAAATATTGGGATTATATGATATTCGATTTTGGTTAGTTCGACTATGTTATATGAACAAGAAAAGGTCTCAAAGAGGGCACTTCAAATGATGAATAGATCAGGGAAGTTTTATTCGATGATGTTACTGTGAGAGTTGTGGATTCCTATAAATTTGTCATAGACGTTGTTGTGTCGACTTTCAAGAGCACAGCGTGAATAAGAACTCAGCCATTTGTGCATCCATCACATTCGTCTTTATATATCCTTCTTATGCTGTTTACTTCTACACTGGTTCAGGGCAATGCGAAGGCGAAGTTTGATGAAACTCTTGAGGCGCATGTGAGGTTGGGCATTGAAAAGGGCCGATCTGAGCTGGTATTCGTTTCTCTCCAAATCTTTGGTTTATGTTTCACTATAAAAATTCTCATTCTTATCTAGCATTTTCCTATCTCTAGACTGAGTGCTGTTACTGTTTAAACTGCAGATAGTTCGTGGTACTTTAGCTCTACCACATTCTGTTAAAAAGGTACGAGAAATGCCTCTCTTAATCCCTGATGGTAATTGATGTATATAAGCTGTTTATGTGATACGAAAGAAATGATCTTTCCTTGTTTCAGGATGTGAAAGTGGCTTTCTTTGCCGAGGGTGCTGATGCAGAGGATGCAAAGGCTGCAGGAGCTGATGTCGTCGGTGGTCTTGAGCTTATTGAGGAAATTTTGAGTAATGAACCAACCCATGTTACTTCATTCTCCTTCTATATAGTTTACTTCTGATAACTAATTGCACAAGCTTGCCTTTGGCTCTGTCATGAATTATGTTCCAGTTGTAGATTTATTTAATCGTTACTTTAATACTCTATCTGCAGAAAGTGGCAAGATCGACTTTGACAGATGTCTTGCAACTCCGAAAATGATGCCCCGTGTTTACAAGGTTCTTTGGATTGAAGCACTTATCCAATTTCTTTTAAAACTTATTTAAGATTCCCAAATGTCTCTTTCTCACTAGATATTCAAATGCTTATTTGTTTGCTTCTTTGTAGATATCAAGGATTCTTAACAATCATGGTTTGATGCCAAACCCCAAAGTGAGTTGTTGCATTCTTCACTCAACAACAACTTACCTGTTGTATGGTGCTTAGATTAAAAGAACCAAATTTATTATTTATCGTTGTTGTAGCAAGGTAGTGTGACCAAGGATGTTGCGAAAGCAGTGAAAGACGCAAAAGCTGGACATACCAAATTCAGAATGGATAAAACTTCTATTCTTCATGTGCCTCTTGGAAAGGTGAACATCCCTTTCCCAAAGAGTTGAAAAGTTTATCCGAATGAATCATTAGGCTTTCTTCATAAAAAAAAAAAGAACACTTTCGTAACATTGCAGATGAGCTTTGCTGAGGATGCTTTGCGAGAGAATGTTGGTGCATTTATGAACGCCCTTTTGCTGGCCAAGCCTGCCGGATTGAAAAAGAGTAATAACTCATACCAAGCTTACTACACTTTTGTTTAAAGATCTTTTGTTTGGTTGATTTACGTGCTTACTCTTTTTTTGCTTTTTGTGCAGCTTCAAAGTATGCTGGTTATGTGAATGCATTCCACTTATGCAGTACGGTGAGCATTTGAATCAGAATAAATGTCTCCTTTTTAGATGCAATTTTTAGATTCCATTGAGCGTAGAATAAAAGAGACTGCTTTTAACGGTTGGTTTGCAGATGGGAAAGGGTTATCCGGTATCGATACAGTCGTTATCTAGAGCAGCGGATCTCTATACCAAATTGCAGCTCAAGTGATCAAAGCTTGTCGCAGTGTTTTCATTTCCCCGGGAAAGTGTTTTTTTCAACTGTTTCTGAATCTTTGAGACATTATTATGATTTGTTGTTTCCTAGGTTTAGTCTCTTCTTAATAGCTCAATGAAATCGATTTGGCTTTTTGTTTTGGGTTGTAGTAAAACAAAGGTAGTGCTCCCACAATGGTTGAATAAGAAAACTTGTACTCAAATTTAAAGATGAAAATGATTATGATTATGATTATTTTTTGAGTCCAACGGATATATAAAAATCAAAAGAGCTGGGTTTTCCGGTTTGGTTTGGGTTTATACGGAAATCAAATTCAATCCATTCAGTTTGGTATAAGACTTAACTAAACACCTTATAATGTCACCAATCAAAGTATACTAAATGTCACCAAACAATATTGATTAATCATTAATATCAATCAAGCACATAATCATCTATTGATATTTTACATACAGTGGCTCCATTTTTCCTCTTCAAGCAGAGAGTAAAGTAGAAAGAGTGCTGAAGAACAAAAGGATTTGGTCACGTGAGAGTAACGTGGGCCTGTTTTCAAAGGTAAAGTTGTCAATTTTAAACGACCACAAGAGATATGGCCCATTATTAGTCTGTGAATGAATACATAAAGTTAGGGTTTTTATATTTCGTGCCCTCATCTTCTTCTTTCCCGTCGCCGGAGCTAATTTTGCAACCTTAATCCCAAATGGTACCTATCAGTAATTTTTGATTCGATTGTATTCTTTCCCGTACTTGGATTCGTTTTTTTCCTGCTCACATTTTTCTGATTTGTGGTGATTGAGATGTGTTATTTGGTTTTTGAAATCAGGCGTCGGAGAAGAAGCTATCGAACCCAATGAGGGACATTAAAGTGCAGAAGCTGGTTCTCAACATCTCCGTTGGTGAGAGTGGCGATCGTCTCACCAGAGCTTCCAAGGTTCTTGTTCCCCGCGTGTGTCTTTTCTTTACCGATTCTCTGAGTGTCGCATTTCTGTTCTAACTTCTTAATCGATTGAATTCGTCTTAAATTTTGCAGGTTTTGGAACAATTGAGTGGCCAAACTCCTGTTTTCTCCAAAGGTTAGATTTTTTTCTCCTTGCTTAATTGTTAATCTCAGATTAGTAATCTAAAAGACAAATGAATGGTTGGTTTCATGATTGATGATTAGTTTTAGGATGTGGAAGACGATTAATAATCTCTAATTTTGGCAATTCTGTTCATTTGTTGTTTTGTGCAGCTAGATACACTGTTCGTTCTTTTGGAATCAGACGTAACGAGAAGATCGCATGCTATGTAACCGTGAGAGGTGATAAAGCAATGCAACTTCTTGAGAGTGGACTCAAAGTCAAAGAATACGAACTCCTCAGAAGAAACTTCAGCGACACCGGCTGCTTCGGTTTCGGCATTCAAGAACACATTGATCTCGGTATCAAGTAAGTCCCTCCCTTTCTGAATCCTATCGAACAATACACTAGAGAGTTGTGCTTCTTGTTCTCACATTCTTGATTAATTGACTTGGCCTTTTTAAGGTATGATCCATCGACTGGAATCTACGGTATGGACTTCTATGTTGTCCTGGAGCGACCTGGTTACCGTGTGGCACGTCGCAGAAGGTGTAAGGCTCGTGTCGGTATCCAACACAGAGTAACCAAAGACGATGCGATGAAATGGTTCCAGGTGAAATACGAAGGAGTCATTCTCAACAAGTCTCAGAACATCACTGGCTAAAAATTCGCTCTTTCTTCTTCGGTTTTGAATCTCTTTGTCTCAAGTTTTGTTTAACTTCTCTGAATCTTTTGTGTCGACTTTTATCTATCTATATGAAATTACAATTAATGAAAATCAAGAATTCATATTTCTGTGTTTTTCGAGTTTATACAAATATCTGATTTCGTGTGAGATGAAGTAAACAAAGAGAGAGATAATAAACTTGGCGGGTAGTTGAAGCGTGAAGAGACACCTTACTCCACTAGCTGACACGTGCCACCTTCGGTTAAGCACGCTTTCGCCGGTCGCCGCTAGATTCATCTCAGATTCCAGATAAGCTTCCGTGGTTCTTATACTGACACGTCAGCACTCCACCCTCGTACGCCTTAACTTCTTCCTCCTTCCCTTCACAAAAAAAAAAAAGAAAAACATTTAAATATTATAATTCAAAATATCGACTTCCTGCGAATAAAATTGAAATTACATTGACGAGATTGTGTCTCCTCTTTGGCCTAGTAGTGACCGGAACGGATCAGATCGGATCGGATCGGAGCTTTTGGGGTTCTTCTTCAATGGCGCAGCTACTTTCCCCTGTTTGTACGGATCTTCTGAAGTTCCAGAGCTCGGTTCTTAGCTCCAGATCATGCCCGTCGCGTTTCTCGGCGAAGACTAGCGGTGCTTCGTCTTGGTGCTTACCTGGGTACGCCGGAAAGAAGCGAAGTCGCTCCATCGGAAGGTTGAGAGTTGCAACTGAGGATGGTTCTTCTCTTTCCACCGATGATGTCGCCGACGATTACTATTCCGTTCTCGGACTGGTAATTTTCCGCCCTTCTCTTTCCCATTTCGCAACCAAATCTATTCCAATCCGATTTGATAATCGCATTATTGGTTTTGAAGTTCGAGTTTTATTTGGATTTTGTTATTTGCTTTCGATTGAAAAGAACCCCACTTGTTGTTGTTCATCATGCAAAAATACTCTGCCTTTCAAATTCTAAGTACATCTTCAGCTAGATTCATCTTTGTCGAAATTGTAAAGCTCTCATGGGATTTATACAGTCCTTTAAAAGATCCAAAATTTGTGAGTTAAATCACTCTCCTCTGCTATGTCAATAGCTCCCAGATGCAACACAGGAGGAGATTAAGAAAGCATACTACAACTGTATGAAATCTTGCCATCCAGACTTGAGTGGCAATGACCCAGAAACCACAAATTTCTGCATGTTCATAAACGATGTCTATGAGGTGAGTATTACTTGAAACTTCGTGTAACATTATGTAAGCGTTAGTAAGGTCACATGTGGTTTTAGTTTAGAGTTTTTTTAACCGTTTGCATTGCAGATTCTGAGTGACCCTGTACAGCGTATGGTTTACGATGAAATCCATGGGTATGCAGTGACTGCCATCAATCCTTTTCTTGATGACTCCACCCCAAAGGATCATGTTTTCGTTGATGAGTTTGCTTGTATAGGTATATGTCTTAAGATGATGCATTTCAAATGAGGCCGAGTTCAAACCTTTTGGTAGCAATTATTGAAAAAGTGACTACATCTGCGTTTGGTGTTGGTGTTGAACAGGATGCAAGAATTGTGCCAATGTGGCTCCTGATATATTCAAAATCGAGGAAGATTTTGGAAGAGCAAGGGCCTGTAACCAGCGTGGGAATCCAGATTTACTTCAACAAGCAGTTGAAACATGGTAAAGCTAAATACATTCTGTAGATGCTGCGTAAGTGATTGTTAAATTTGTTTCAGGAGAATTAAATCCTCCTTTTTTTTTTATTTTCAGTCCCGTTGATTGTATCTATAAGACATCGGCTGCACAGTTGTCATTGCTTGAAGACGAGATGCGACGTGTTGAAAGAGTGAATGTAAAGACTAGCAATTTTCTCTTGTAGCTTATCTTATAACTCACTTGAGATGAAACACAAAGCATTGCAAAAGGTTTCTTTGTTACGAAACTCGTGCATTGATCTCTTGGGCACTGTCATTCATGGTTCAGGTTGCTCTGATGCTTTCTGGAATGGGGTCAGGAGCAGTTGATGTTTTCAGAATGGTAAGAAGAATAGCTGAAAACGTTCATTCTACTCTTTAGTCTTGTTATAAGGTAGCCTATCCTTATGAATCTTTCATTTAAGTGATGATGAATCTTGGAATCCATTTACAGGCGAGATCACGATGGGAAAAGAGGCAAGCAAAAGTTTTGGTATGAAACTATTATCATCACCTTCGAAATCTTTTTTCCGAACCGTAAACATCACCTCGTGCTTACTACCTATGTTTCAGAATCAAGCTAGAAGTAGAATGATGAAGCGGAAAGGCACAGACGAAACACCTTCCTATTGGGATAACCTCTGGGGCGAACAGAATCAGTACCAGAAAAGCGGTATAGATTTGATAGAGTGAAGAACTCTCTTCATCTTTTTGGCCAATGATCATATAACAATATTTACTCAGTTTTCATGTCTGTGGCAGAGGAAGAAGTACAAGAACGAGCACAGCGAGCTGCCGCAGCAGCGAGGAGATGGAGGGAATACTCACGAAGAGGCGTGGATAAGCGGCCCACCTTCAAACTCCCCGAGTCTGCTTCAAGAGGAGAGAACTGAAGTACCAGCCGAGACATGAACCATAGTGTACGTAGGTTTCTCATATTATATGTGTAATAACTTCATTTGGTACGGGTCGTGCTATATCTGTCCCGTTCTAGACTTGTATAGCTTTCTCTCTTCTCACATCTATCTATTTAAGGAAGAAGAAAAGAAAACAAGTGTATAAACGTTTTTAACTTTATGTATTTCTATGTATATAAGTTTCCATTGCCTAGATGGATAGAAGAACCATGATTACATTATACAGTAATCCAATAGTCTTCATTAAATTATACTAAGATTCTTTTAGTAACTAGATAATGAAGAATATAAAAGAATCTTAATCTTGAAAGGAGATAGATTAACATAATGATTTGATCCAATCAAGAATATATATATATATATGATCATAATAATTGTTGTTGTTCCAAAATTAATCAACATCGATGGAGCATCCAGCAGCAAAGGGGTCACTTGAATGGATCGACATAAGATTGATATTTGTGTTTTCAGCGATGATCTTCTTTCTCATTTGTGTGCTTCTCTCATTCTTCGGCTGCTTGTTTGTACTTCGATATGCCAAGACTTATAATGAACACGACGACAAGTTATACGTGGATTATATTCGAAGATCAAAGCTACGATCTACTACTACTACGGTCTAGAAGATGATCTTCCTTAATTAGTTTTTGGGATTTTCTTTTTTTTGTCAATTTGTTTTTGGGATTTAACAATTGTTATAATTCATTCATGTCACTTGGAAGAATTCTTGTTCTTCGACTTTGCGTTGCGTAGTTTTTTCAATATCTCAGTTTGTTCTTACCATTGAGATCGTGTGTCTATTATTTAGTTCCTTACAATCGGTTTTAATGAAGAGCGTATGAATGTGCACATGCATGCTTACGATTAGGTCTTTATCATATATATATATATATATATATATATATATATATATATTCCAATCACTTAAGTTTCTTCATCTAGTGAAAACTGGTTTGTAAAAAGTAAACCATACAATTATACGAGGAAAGAGAGAGGGAGAGATGATCCAAACATAATTAAGTAATCAATTCCATTGAAAGACGTATGACCGCGTTTATCACGTAGAATTAAATCTTATATATATTTATTTTTACAAAAAAAAAAACAGATTAAACCAAAAATCCCCATAAGTGTTCAAACCTGATGGACGAGGTTGGATCGTTGGTCCTCGTCTTGGTCAGCGATGAGAGTAGATGATGGTTTTTTAGAAAGAGATAGCCACTCTCGAAACATGTATAATCCAAACATTCCGAACATTACAAGGATGACAAATATTTCTCCGACCTCGAAAAAAATATAGTATAACGTTTCTTCACAGGAGAGTTCACCACAATCTCCCATGGTCAAGCAATCGACAAAGTGTCCAAACCAGCAAGTTTATCTCTGATATTATAGTTTAACTAAAGGTTTTCAATATATTCTTCTATAAAAGAGTTGAAGCACTAGCATATATATATATATATATATATATATATTCTGTCCTTAGTTCGACCTAGAAAAATCGTATGATTTTGATTCATTGTGAAATATTTTTCTTTTTCTATTGCATAATAATTTGTAAAGATAACATAATCACTTATGTATATCTGATAGTTTTTTTAAAAAAAAAAAAGATAGTAGTAACAACAATATAAAAACAATTAAGCAAATATTTTAAAATTTAAATCCAGTAATAATAAAAAAAATCCAACAAAAAAAAAACAACAAAAGTGACTATATTCGCTAATTAATTCCTGAACACTAATGAATGATGATCATCTTCGTTTGCAAACTTGGTAACTTGGCCTTGATCGTCCACCATTCATGCATGCATGCCCGTGGATTATAGATTCATGGGCTGAGATTCAGATTCACAGTCTTTTTCATATTTGGGATCAGAACAAATCGACGACGAGCAAACTTTAACACAAAGATAAGAGCCGAGAAGGATAACAATGACGGTCATCACCATCATTACCCGAAACAACACTATTACGGTTTCTTCATATCGTGATGTATCATCATCCATGGCGTTAGCGAGACTGGCCCCAAAATATTCAACCACTTATTGTTTAAACGATACCTATACGAGATATATATAAACGATACCTATAAGAGATATATATATATATTTACCCTACCTAATTACTAGGAGTTTTTCCAGATACATGCTTAGGAGATTTAGTTTGATAATCTTAGTATAATTTAAAATATCAATCACAAGATTTATATATATACTTTCATTATCTATTTAATAAGTTTAACAATTTAATGGGACTTATAAGCTTAAGAGAATAATATCCCATTAATATATGATATATATTACAAGTGTTATAGTTGCATATGCTCGATTGAACAACGAATGTTATCATCGATGGCACCTCCTCCGTTGTCATCGACTTCTGCAACGTTCGACCCACGGCGTGATGATATAATACACCGTGCGGACTTCATTATCACCTTATTCCTTCTCTTTTTCTGCATCTATGCAATGGTGTATATACTCATATTGGGTTTGTTGATTGTAAAGGAAACTCATAAAAAGGATTATTTTCGGTTACGCGATATCGAACTTGGAAGGTTGCAGCCGGCCGGAGATAGTTCAGACACAGAGGAAAGCGGAAGATCTACAACTACACGGTGTGGTTGATTTTCTCAGAAACTATTAGGTCTACAAGTTTGATTTACGTTTTTTCTCTGAATGTTCTAAATAGGTTTTCAGATAATTAGCATTCCAGCATTAATGTTTTACTACTATGTTACTGATGAGTATTTTTGTGCTAAATTTATTTACGTGTGATAATTATTGGGCCCACCACTTACAAATTATTGGGCCCGCCACTTACAAATTATTGGGCCCACCACTTAAAAACCCCATGATTAAATAAAAATTCGGACGCTTTTGTTCTTGGTCAATGGTCATGTTAGAGATTTGATTCTCACCTCAACGAAAATTCGATTTTTTTTTTTTTTTTTTTTTTGCTTTATTCACAAGGAAATTGAAAACTGGAATGATCAAAAAACTATAATAGATACAGAAATCATCAGTCACACATTTAGAATCCAATCTTTGTGTGATCATTCATCATCGAATAGTCGAAGCCACCGCATGAGCCCAAAGTTTGAGATTATCTTTCAAGTCAACTTCGTTCGCCGCCGGCGCCGGAACTCTCCACTTTATCTCCGGCGTGATTTGTCTCCTCCCATTTCTCCCTCCACAATGTTCCCACGCCTCCGATAAATACGGTTTCGCTACTCTGTTTCTATTGCTCTTGTCTTCTTCTTCCTCTGTTACTTGCAGTAGTACTCCATCCTCTTTCTTCACCAATCTCTGCAATCCAGGAAGAATCGAAACCAGATCTGAGTCTTTACGGTCTTCCTCGTAGAAGACAAAACCCAGATCCATAAACCCTTTAAGCTCCTCGTACTCCAAATCCGACATACTCTTTCCCCTTCTCCTTCTCACATTGCTCTGCTTCTTTTTCCTCTGTTCTTCCTTCTCTGAATATTTAGAAGTTACTCTCTCCCTTTCCCCAGACGACAACTCATTGGCTTCTTTACCTGAGAGAATCGTCTGAAGCTTCATCGGCGATCCTTTAACGGTTAAGACCGATCTAGGAGACGAGAACAAATCATCTGTTGAAGAAACAAACAAGCTCGTCTTGAAACTCGTCATCATCGTCGTCTCACTCATAGCCCTCTCCACAAGAAAGCTCACCGGAAAATTCTTCACTGCTTCTTCTTCTACTTTTGTTTCTCCAACTTTTTCATTGAGATTCAAAGAGTCTTTGTCTTTTTTGAAGATTAGTCTCTCCGACCAGTTTTGCTCGAACAATTTCAACAACTTCTCTTCAGCCATTTTGTAAAAGTTCAATTCTTCTTTCTTTTTTTTTTGGTGTTTTTGGATGATGAATGAAGGAGATAATGGGGTATTTAAACTTTGTAATTAGGTATGTATCTAATTACCATAAATACCTTTAGCTTTTGGATGATCACAGTATCAACTCAACAGTGCACCTGAGACACATTAACAATTATCTTTGGTAATTAATTTAGTTCGTCTTTATCCGTTACAAAAAATCAATTTGGTCATAAATAATAAATTTTCATCTGATGTACACAGTAAAGTCTATGATATATTCAATAGATTTTCATCTGATGTACAACAGTAAAGTCTATGATATATTCAAATTATGTTATGCATTTCATTTATCATACATAATATAGTATGCTTATTTTGGCTCCTCGAAGGTTCGAATCTCTTTAGACGCGTCGTGTGACGCGGAAGGGAGCGTCACAAAAAGGAGTTGTGAATGAAAAACAAACAAAAAAACACATCAGATTACTTATTATGATAATTGGCAATTTTTATTCATATTTAACATGTGGTAAGGCATTTCCATCTTATACCTAAAAGTGACCAACCAACCTCTATGACCTAAATTTTAAATCTCAACTCTGAAACCAAACAAAATCATGAGTTGTTGAATAGTCGTATATGTAAGACTCGGCTCATAGTGGATATACTAAAAATAAAAAATATCCATCGTCCATTTCAGAATATTAAAATATCTAAATTTATTATCCACTCCACTCCAAAAAAATGAACTTCATATATATCTTAAAAAGTTGCATACCATCCATTCATACATGCAGTTTAAAAAAGAAACCTGAAAAACATAATTATCTTTTATCAAATAGAAATGTCATTCAATACGCAACAAATGAAAAGAGTGTAGCCATGTTTTGGCGTGGGAAAAAGGTTCTATTTCATCATTCAATACACATATCAACACTTTTACAAGCTATCGTTAACCACACTCTATTCGGCAAAGTTTATTATAACTTCGATTTGCTATTCAATAAACAGATATCAAAAGGACAAAACTCATCCCTCACATTTTATATTGTAAATTCAATAATAATAAATTTAATGTTAAAGCAACAACCATTTAAACAAAACACAAACACAAACACCTAAGAGAAACGAAAAGCCCTAATTAGTCTTGCACATCAATATCTATCAAAATAAATAACTCAGTTAGAACATCCAACACCTTTCTGAAAAGACTTTCTCGAAAAAGAAGGGTATAGAATGCAAAACCCTAATTTCCCAATAACCTTTCTTCTCCTTGAAGCAAGACCAGCGCAAGACATAGCTTTTGCTGTGACCTAAAGGACCAAAGCTGCAACTTATTACCTTCTCTAAGACTATTAGCTTTGACCACATGGTTCCACTTATACGCCAACAAATACAGCGAGCTCGTCTTCCCTCTCTTCCCATTCTTCGTCTTCTTCTTCTTCTCCATATCACATCTTCTCATCTTCAGCTCCCATACTTCTAACCTCGGATCGATCACTTCCACGGTTAAACCTCCTTCTCTGTCCCCTTTTATTCGGTTTTCTATCTTTTCCTTCTCATCAGACGTCAGAAAATCGAGACTCAAGAGGCTACTCAGTGGAATGGATAAATGCGACTGACCTTTATCAACATCGGTCTTAGTCAATTCCCTTTTGAATATTAGCGTCTCTTCCGTGCCTCCCATCTCCATTATCTTCTTCTTAAACCTTTCGGGCAGCTCTTCTACTTGTTCTTCTTCTTGTTGTTGTTCTTGCGGCACCACAACGTCAACGTATTCGTCAACTATCTCGAGACGAAGAGACTGTCGTTTTCTTAAAGGCATAAGCTCTTCCACATCAATCTCTCCATTCGCCATTGTTGAAATTCGTTCATACAGAGATATTATAGAGTTTTAAAGGTTATGTATATGCTTTATAATCACAAAAGAATGATTAATATGGATTTCAAGTCTCTTTGATATATATATCCGATAATTTTTTTTAAAAAATATATATAAATCTTACAAGTGCTTAATTATCGTTACACTTTTTAAAGAAAAAAAATCTAATATTACGACAAAAGACATATTTTTTTCCCAAGAATCTTTACTGTATTTCTCTAAAATACCATAGAAACATGAAAGATATTTAGAATTGCTTTCTTGATGAGTTTTGCGCTTCACCTGCTACCTAAGTTCAAGAAGGATCATATGAAGACTGTTAAAAATTACGATCGAAATTAAAACCATAGAGAAAGAGAGCCGAGGGAATTGGCTTACTTTAGCATTTAAAACTTTCAGAATGACATCAGTCAGTGAGGTCGAAGCTAAGTGTTTGCGTCTACTTGCTCATAGCTGAAGATAAGTAGAAGTTCCAAAACACAGAACCCATAGACATGAAAGCTACACGAGCTTGAAGTGGGACTACCCTGTAAATTTTACACCTTTCATCAGACCTCTAATGTAGAATGCATTAATGATAGAGAAAGAGAGAGAGAGAGAGAGAGAGAGAGAGAGAGAGTCGTACCAAAAGTTAAGTATGCTAACGGGAACCCAGAAGCGAAACCCTGCAGTAATCCCAAGAACTGTAAATATAAGAACAAAGAAAGCTATGCAAGGGTAAAAAGTTCAACTCTGTTTCATTGGTATCTTACCGTAGAGAAGCGTTGGGAGAGCATCTTTCTGATACTTGTTTCCAAGCTCAGAGATCTTTCCCAGCCATAAGTTGTTCCACGCAAATATAACAGCGATCACAGATGGACCGAGGATTACTTGGTTTAGCAGAACCTAACAAAGGGATCGGTATATGCGAATCAAAACTCAAGGACACACAACATGTTCTAAGTAAGGTTTAAGACAAGGCTAGAGAGATAATAATAGTAACCTTAAGCACTAGATTCGTCGCGGTTGGTTTTGGCAAAGAATGGTCAAGGTATTGATACCAAGCATAAGAACCAGGTCCGTACAAGAGAAACCCGTAAGAACTCATACGCAGCGCACGAACCCAGTCATGTTCTGAGAAAATGTTCCACAGTTCTCCCTACGTGTGAAAAATTCAGTCAAGCAATGTTTAAAGACTCTTCTTTTCGATAAGATCAGATATAAATTATCCCAACAAGAACTTAGAAATCAAACAAAACTTAATAAGATACTGTCACTACTCACTAGTCACTAATCAAACACCACACGAACGTTTGGTTATGCAAATATTATTACTAAATCAAAGTAGAAACTTGATTCATGTATCGCAAACAATCAAATATTCACTAAGTCTATCAACTCGAAAATCACCAACAAATAAATATCTTCTGTTCGGACGAACCTCGTCTGGTTTATCAGAAGATGATTGTTTAAGAGCGGTTCTCTTTTTCCACCTCGCAGATAACTGAGCAATGGTGTCACCGGTGAAAGTGAGTGCGCCGGCCGTCACAGCTTGCTTCAAGGGAAACCGATAACCGCCGCCTCTGCTCACGTCGACGGAATCCGACGATCCAGACTTCCGTTGGTGACCTCTATCGCCGGAAGACTTCTTCTTCCTCCGATTATCGAAGCCATTCCATCCCCAGAAACCTCCAGCGCCGCCGCAACCACCCAATGCGTCCATTAAAAATGATTCCTTTACGCCGAAACAGAGTTTGCCCAAATCTTTAAAGCGCAAATGAGTCTCCTCCGCTCCTGGCCATTTGTTTTTCGGTTTGGTTTTCTCGTGGAAATTAACCATTTAGAATTGATGAATTTTGGTTCGGTTAGATTCGGTCTTAAGCAGAAGCTGTAAAACGGCGTCGTCACGAGAAACAAAAACGCGCGTTTTAAACTATCATCGTTTGTAGGTGAATTGATTAAACAAAAATAAACTCCGGCGTCTGCTTTTGCTATCGGGAAGAAGAGGAAAAGGTTTATTCGATCGCCGAGGAAATTCTTTGGACCTGTTTCCTTCGTGGGTCAATCTTCGATTCTCCTCCTTTAAATTTTACTGGTAAACTCTTGATGCGTCTACTGTTCTTCGATTTAGAGTCGGATTGTTTGAATTGTGAATTCGAATTTGGATATTTGATTGATTGGAATTGGATCATGTCGTTCTGATCAAATATTTTAGATTTGGATCGCAACTACCTCACTTTATGAAGATCTGCTGTTTTTCTTATTATGAAGAAAAGTTATGTTTTTTTATCCTTCATGAAGTTTCTCATAAACTCCTGGATTTTGTATCTACCTTAGTGATAAAGTATACTGCGTCGTCTCTTTGTGATTCCATAATTGGAAGTGTATATTTTGTTGTTGTAGGGCTTTTGGCTTCTTGAAAGAGAAGCTACTATGATGTTTGAAGGGCTTTCCAAGCAACCACCTTCGCTTGTTGATCTCTGCCTTAGGACAGCGATTGATAATGTACGCTACATCGGATATGTCGGTGGGGTTGATTTTCATCTCCTTGAGCAGATTATGCAACATTGTACACTAGAACAGCTGATGCATATAGAGGATTCTACTCAAGTAAGAAGAAGACTCTCACCATATTGCTCGATAGTAAATCTTTTGTATGTTTTGACGGTTTCTGATCTTTAACTTATAGTTTTTCTTTGTTTTGAAATTAGGACACAGATCTTAGTCCAGTCACCAATAAGTTTTGGAAGAGATTCTGTGAGAAGCAGTATGCTGCAGATGTAGAAGAACTGTACCTTGTCGTGGAGGATTTGAAGAAGAGGAAAATGAGTTTCAAGTGGAGGGAGTTGTATGAGGTTTGGTTTTGTTTTGTTTCTTCGCGTCTCTTGATGTAGAAGCGTTTATATACTTAAAAGGATATAAAGCATGTGGTTGCATGCAGGCAAAGTTGAAAGCCGTGCAAGAAGATGAGAAGGAGGCTATTAATAAACTGAAGCAACGTTACAAGGCGGAAGATGCAAGTACGGTTTTTTGCAAATCTATCTTTTTTTATTATAACCATTTGATTATAAAGCTGAATTTATTATTCTGAATCAGGGAAACAAAGTCGACAAACTAAGCTCTGCTCAAAAACTCCTCCTGCGAAAAAAGCGTTCTGGGGTAACTCTTTTTTTATATGATTCTTTTGCATCATCTGGTCAAGTCTTGCACTATCATTATGTCAAATGCTCCCTTCATGTAATGGATTTGTCCCTCTGGCTTTTGTGCTCAAATGGCTTTTATGGAACATGTATTTGCAGGTAATGGTGCATCAGGTTACAATGTATCGAATGTCAAGAGCAACATCATGAAGAAGGCAAAACTGGATCTTTTAAAGAGGTAAACGAGCATTCACCTTAAAAAATGTACAATCACAAGAGGTCACTCGAGGTTGCTTGTAAAATCACTAGTAAGTGGCAACAATCATCTAGATCCTTAATTCAAATTTTTCTGATTACAGTCAAGAAGTGAAAAATCTCACTGCGATTAAAAGGAACACGATTCAAAAGAGTTTCAGGTAACAAAATCTCCATCTACCGATTCACGTTCGTTACCCTCGAAACCATTGATCGGTTCTTTAACTCCGTTGACTATTGTCTAGTATTTCTGCTCCAAAGAGGAACGGCTTATCTGCGAACGCGCCTTCAACTTCAAGAAGCAGTTCTTATGGTGAAGTGAAAAATCTTACTCCAACTAAAAGGAACACGATTCAGAAGAGTTTCAGGTAACATAGTCTGACACCGGCTATCTCTATGACTCTTTACCTATCGATTCACATTCTTTATCCTCTCTAAGTTCTCTAACTCCGTTGACCAATGTTCATTCTTGTCTAGTATCTCTGCTCCAAGGAGGACCGGCCTATCCGCGAACGCTCCTTCAACTTCAAGAAGCAGTTCGTACGGTGAAGGAAATCTTCCTCCGAATAGGATCAACAGTCTTCATGGGACTGCTCCTTCAGCTTCAAGAAATGCAGCCACCAAACGAAAACATGTAATGTAATTTATAGCATTTTTTCAGATCATATGATCTTCAAATGTATCATTTTCATGTTTGCTTCAAGTTCTAAGAACTCTGCATTTTGTAACATTGAGTTATCAATGGCTTTCTACTCGTTGCTTTTCTCCAGAAATCTCTTACGACGGATGTCTTTGTAAAAACATTGTCTTTGGGATAATAATACATAAAACATAAAACATAAATCCTTTTATACGATAAACAATTTCTGATAAGAATACACAAACAAGGCTAATAAAAACCACTCAGGTGTAGTTGTTTATTGAAATAGCTCTTGCTCAACCATCAATCAATATAAGTGAATCATTCTTTTTTTTGTGAACACAAAAAGAAAAATCTTAATGTAGAGTATGATCTTATCAAGATTCGAGACCCTCTTTGCTCTTGGCTAGAGAACCCAATCTCTTCTTATTCTTTGCCCTGCAGTGTGGTGTGTGGTATGGACCTAAAAGGATCTACGGCTAAACAGAAGATCCAGCCAAACGTCTTCGTGATGCATTCGAAGTCGAGACTTGGCCCATTTTGTCTGACTCCTTTGACTCATCCGTCACCATTCTCTCTCTAACTGGTGTGTAATGCCTCAGCCACACGCCCGTATACACCTGCAACATGTGTTATCTCAATGAGAATCCAAGTTTCAAACTGATCCAAACAAACATCTTTCTCTGCGGAAAATGTGAACTTTACCTGTTGTGGTCTCATGATCTTGGTGTCAGGATCATCCAAGGACTCTTTCCAATGCGACAAATATCCAGCCATGCGAGGAATGGCAAATAAGACAGTGAAGAACTCTGGTGGAAATCCCATTGCCCTATTTCAATGGTCCAAGTTTGCACATTTAGATGAAACTCTATGAGTGGAAGTGATGAACACTGAAGATGAATTCGAACTTCTACCTGTATATTAATCCAGAGTAGAAATCAACATTCGGATAAAGCTTTCTCTTGACAAAGTAATCATCAGAAAGAGCTGCCTTCTCGAGAGCAACAGCTACCTGCAGACCATCAGAATTACATCTGTCAAGCATATTCGCTCAAAGGTGTGCGTGAATTTTTAGTATAAGCTTAAACTATGCGGACATAAGATAAAAGTACCTCAATAAGAGGATCCCTTCCAACAATGGAGAACACTTCATCTGCTAGCTTTTTTATGACTTTAGCTCGTGGGTCATAGTTTTTGTAGATACGGTGTCCAAAACCAGACATCTTCCTCTTCCTAACATGTCAAAGAGATGAGAGAGTATTGATGGGAAGGCTCCTCACAAGTTCAGAAAAACGGATATGCATATAGTTTCACGCACTGAGTTCTACCTGTTTTTCACACCCTCGATAAACTCCGGAATATTTCCGACAGTCCCAATCTCTGATAACATTTTAAGCACAGCCTAATAGAATCAAACACAAGAATCTCAGAGACCATGGAACATACAAGAACATATGAAGACAGCAGAATAAATTGCACACCTCGTTTGCACCACCATGAAGAGGACCATAAAGCGCCCCCACAGCTCCAGAAACAGCAGTGTAGACATCAACACCACTACAAGAAGACATTTCTTAGCCAATATACCTCTTATTAAGGTGAATAAGATTTTAAAAACCAAAGAGGTGTACCTAGAGGCAAGATGCCGAGCAGCAGAGGTAGAGCAGTTCATCTCATGCTCAGCATGCAGTATGAAGAGGATGTCCAACACCCGAGCCAGCCGAGGATTAGGTTTGTAGGATCTGTTTCCCCTGTGAGAAGAAGTAAATAAACGTGTTTATGAAACGCTACAAGCTATGAACAGTCTAAAACACCAATGTTCCCTTCCAGTGCATGGACTCTTTAAATGATCAACCAAAAATAGATCCAAAATTGAGTTTCTTAACTGATTCAAGAACAAAGATAGTAGTGACATACATGGAATCCAGCATATAGAGGAAATTTTCTGCATAAGAAAGGTTGGCTGAAGGAAGAACGGGAGGCCTCCCTGCCATCCTCAAATAAGCCGCCGCTGCAATAGTTGGTGCCTGCAAACACATTTAAAGCGTATATAACAGATTGGAAAGTCTTCTTCTTTTAAGCCTAGAGGAAATTAACATTCCAGAGATGATGTTACTGCATGTCTAAGATGAATCACAAAAAATGGGAAGGAGTAAAGTAACAAACGATAAAAGACACAGATACCTTTCCAATAATGCGAACAATTTGTTTATCTCTAACTTGTTTCGAGTTGTAAATATCCTGCCCCTGCACCCAATAGAGTATTAGTTAAACATGATTGTGTGGATAATTTCAAAGAAATTACAGTACTTTACAGTAGTGAGAACAAAAAGTCATGGCTTGTAATCTTAACTTACCCTAAGAGCAGGATTTGCATCAGGATGAAAGATAGACAGGGCGCTCATTGCACTTACAAGAACTCCCATTGGGTGCGCATCGTGAGGCATGGCCTGTATAATATCCTGCACGAAAGTCATCAAGTAACACTCAGGTTAAGATATGAGAAATAGTTTGCTTGATATCTTTTATCAATGCACACTCAGAACGACATGTATAGAACGTCTTCAGAATCATTAATGGACCAGAAAATCACAGATTACAAGCACAGAGAATTTTCGTCTAAGTTTATGTTTTGGTTTCGGAATGGCAATTTTATAACATCGTCTCGAAAATGAAATTCACATAGGCTCACCAATACTCCTTGTGGCACAGCTGAATGCTGAGAAACTGCAAACTCCCAATCAGATAGCTGACTTTCAGATGGCAGATTCCCATACACTGCCACAAAACGCTATTAGCAACGACAATAATCAAATCCAGCAAAGAAGCTGCAACACTATTTTCCAACGATAATAATCAAACTCAGCAAGAAACTGCTGCAACACGATCCAAATACTTACTGAGAAGATACGCGACCTCCAGAAAAGTGCTGCTCTCGGCCAATTCCTCTATTGGGTAGCCACGGTAACGAAGGATCCCTTCATCTCCGTCGATGTAAGAAATCGAGGATCGAACAGGGGCCGTGTTCAAGTACCCAGGATCGTATAATTTAAGACCCTTGTCTTCCTTCCCCGTCGTTATCTGCAGGCACACAGATCCAATTCTCAGCTCACAATCCCGCAAGAGATTATAATATACAGAAAATCACAAGTCTTGCATCATAAATCTTCTCATTTCTCTGGGAAAACACGTAACAGAGTAAACAGATTGAGTCTCAGTGAACAAAAATCAACTAAACAATCAACCACTTATCGATTACGCATATGCTCATCAAACCCAACAGGTAACAAAATTTTCCAATTTCCCAATCAGAATTCGAGATACCTTCTTGAGATCGACGGCTTTAACGGTGCCGTCCTTTGAGACCGGAATCTGATATTTCTTTCCGGTGCGTTCGTCGACGACCGTCAGCTCTCCCACCAAGGATCCAGGCGGTGCGGAGCCCATATCCGCCAACGTGCACCACCGCTCGATCGCCGGAGATCCCTGTCCCGACTCGACGGAATCACCTGACGCCAAATGCGCCGATAGAACAGCCAATCGAGCTCTAACTCTCTCCGGTATCTCCATTTTTCAACAAAAACAAAAACCAAAACTCAGAATTCAAAGAGTGGAGAAATGAAATTGTGACCATTGTAGATATATATGTACTCTTTCGTGACGTAGTACGTGTTTCTATCCCCTGCGGGCAGGAGTATTGGACTAATAGTGTCCACGTGTGTACAATCCAACTGGTATCCTCATATCAACGGTGGTTATTGTTTACATCTCAAGAAGCCTATCCAGACATTATTATCTGGGACCCACATATCCAATTTCCCGTCTCTTAACCTACTCTAGGTTATACGAAAATACAGTATACTCGCTATATAAATGTGCCACGTGTTTCTTGATTCCATGCACGTCGCATTCAGACGCTTTGACAGCGAGTAGAATTACCTCGATTTGCTAAATATATCCAAATGTGATTGCAAGCAACGTTTAATGGGCCGAGTTTACAATGTAGGCTTTCAGATATGCATCTTCCGACCCAATAGTGTATAGTTTCACTCTTGGACGGCCTTTTGTTGTTGATACGTTCGCTTCATTTTTCTTAGCTGCACTCGTTGCCATTGGAGCCGAACCAACATTTTTTGTTTCGAATTATTACGATTTATCTTATACTCTGATATATTATAGACTATGTTCGAAACTTATCGCAAAATTCGGAACTTTGTCAGCTTAAATGCGTATAATAGTCCGCCTGAATAGTCAACCATGATCAGTGACAGATTCAGATATTTTATTTCTCTTTTGACTTTGAGTACAAATACATGGGAATAACGTTTATAATTTTATGTTACTTTAATAGTCTTATGTTTTTTGATGTAGAATAGGTCTCTAATGACGTTTTAAGAGAGAAGGAGGATATGAGAGTGATAGGTCTAATAAATGAGATGTAAAAAAGCGACATGTCGTATAGTTTCACTCGTACCTAAAATTGGAATTCTAAGATCCCCACGTCCACGTGAGGCTCTGAATATGAGAGCGATAGATATTTCTTTCGTTTTCAACTAATGAATGATCTCTTTCTCCATACTAGATGCATGTCACTCTTTCATGCATATTTTTATTTGGTTACACGTCTAGAAAAATAAATTCGTATATTCTCAGACTAACACAATTTACGTCAAGCAAATCTCTAGTAATTGATAAAATAAACAGCAAGAAAGTACGTGAAAAAAATAGATTTTACAAACAAAATATAAAAAATAGATTTTACAAATATATAGTATAAAAGGGGGTTTTCATATTAATGGAACAATACAAGAAAACAAATAACGAAAAGAGAAATGTGTGAGAGCGGCAAAGGAAAGGCCATTTCTGCAGGAAGAAAAGCATGAGAAAGAGTAGTTGGATTTAGACAGATGACTGACAATTTATATTTTTTCTAGATTTCTCCTATTTATGGTGCTTTCGGTTATATCTTGTTTAAATATATTTAACCTATCATCATTAGTCACATCACATCCGCAAGATGTGTATGATAAAAAAATTAAAAACAAAAAAATAAGAAGATTACATATCAAATCAAATATATATACTCAATCATCCCTTTTTTTTGTTAGATACGATCATTTGAGGGAAATCCTCACGTTAAGAACCATGACAGCATGAAGCATACTCGCATATTGATCTCTGGTACTTACATGATACATTCATATAAATAGTTTTGAAAAACTTTGAAACTGTGCGATAATTCTATCTCATACGTACATTTACTTGACAAACCAAGATTGTAATCAAAGATATCTATTTATATAAACAAATTCACTTGTCGAAGAAACGTATGCAAAAAATTCGAGAAGTTGCCTTAAATATAAGCAAGTATTTTAGAATACTTGGTATAATTGTTGAAACAGGAAAAAACCGTTTATATATGTTAGTGACCAATGAACAAATTTGTGCACAAAAAACTTCATTTTATATAGAGGCTACTCTGGTAAGCACCATTTCTCCTGAATGTTTACATCTTTTTTCCATAAATCAATATTATGTAACTCTTCAATTTTATTGTATGGTCAGACTGAATCAGGTTGTGTCGTTTTGTCCAGATCACTGCACTCTCTTTGTCGAAACGGCTCCCTTATTTCTATTTGTTCATTACACTCCATCTATTAAATATTTATAACGAATTTTTTGAAATTTTAATTATTATTCAATAGAAAACAAAAACGTCGTTTCATCTGTTATTTTCCTTTTGTATACACACACACATTTATACACACGGTTGTGAAGTTGTTCAGGACCCATATTTACCTAAAACCATAATGACTCAAAAAAAATTATTACAATCGTATAATATAATCCGAAAAATACGAGTATTATTAAACTAAAAACAGCAGTAACTACATTAACGTTCATTGCTTTAAAAGGAAACTAATACACACCAAAATCGACTAATTAATTAATCTCCCTTGAAATCATCGTCTGCTTTGGGAACAAACACAAATCTTCTCTCTTTTTTAGGGATAAATATTTAATTTGTCTTTTTTTTTGTCTCCCTCTTAGAGAACCAATCGATGATGTAAACCCAGAAACAGAGCAAACTGAAACAGAGCATTGGAGAAGAAGCAGGATCCGTAACACCGAGAAGGAGAGGCTTGAGATCTCGACTTCGACTGATGATTAAACGGTCTAGATCCATCACCACCTGTAACATTCTTCCCGCAGACATCGACTCCGGTTTTCACGACACTGAACTCATCCTCCGGATTAAGACACAATCCTCTGTTCCCGCTCAAATCCAAATTCTTACCCAACCGTCTCAGGAAACTCGAGTCGAACGGCACGACGCCGATCAGTAAGTTCCTGCTGAGATTCAGATGGAAAACGTGAGGCAGCGAATCAAAATCGGAAGGGATTTCGCCGGTTAATCTGTTGTTCGCGAGAGACAGCGAGCTAAGGTTCATCAGCTTGGTGTAACTCCCCGGGATTACGCCGGAATATCCCGAATTCTCGAGCTGGAGCTCTTGAAGCTTAGGGAGAAACCCTAACTCAACGGGGAGGGGTACGAACATTGGGTTGTTGTCCATTATGAAGTACTGCAAGCTCTGTAGCTTCGAGATTCCTTTTGGAAAAGCTCCTTTTAGTTTGTTGTTGCTTAGCGCCATGAAAGATAAAAATCGAAGCTTTACAACGCCTTCAGGGATAACTCCGACGAGAGAATTTGAGCTCAGATCGAGTTTCTGAAGCATACCCAGTTGAGAAATCGTGGGAGGGATGTTGCCCGTTAGCGAATTGTAGCTCAAATCTAATCCCACGAGACTGTTGAGATTCCCTAATTGCGGAGGGATTTTACCTGTGAGCTTGTTGTAGCTGAGGTCGAGGTGTACCAGCCTTTTCAATGAGAAAACCTCCGGAGGGATCTCTCCGGTTAACCGGTTTTGTGAGAGAGTGAGGATCTGTAAAGATTTGAGAGATGAAATCCGAGGGGTGATTGGACCTGAGAGAGAAGGGTTTGATCTGAGGCTAAGCTGTTGAAGAGAGGAGTTAGGGAGGAGCTTTAAAGGGAAGACGATGGTGGTCGTGAAGTGAGTGAAGCAGTTAAAGAAGAAGACTGATTGGAGAAAAGGGAGAGAGAAGATTAGCTGAGGGAACAAAGCAGAGGATTTGCAAGAAGGGTTTGGAGCAGAGCCGAAATCGAGTCGAGAGACGTGAGGCAAGTGGTCTGGACCGGTTTTGCACTCAATGCCTGGCCAAGACGAGCCAGGTGCGCAAGGGTTTGGGTGGGACTGACGCCATGGTTGATCAGATGACATAGATTCCATGATTTTGAAGAGAGTCTCTGACTCAGATGGAGGCATTGAGACAGGGACTCTGTTTGCTTGACAGAGAAAGAGAGGAGTGATCAGGAGATGGAAGAGCAGTGAGGAAGGAAACGATAAAGCTCTCTTCATCGTCATAGATTTGGTGGTGTAAGAGAGAGAAAAAGGAAAGAGAGTCTGTTCTTTCTTCTTGATATTATACTGAGAATTCATAAAATTTTGAGAGGAAAATGTGACGTTAATTAGAATCTTTGAGAGGAAAGAGCATAAAAGTGGTATTAGATCATGATCGATGAGTAAAAAACCCAAAAGAAAAACTTAGGAAAAAGGTTTAAGCTTTTAAAGAGTTTAAGTGAAGGGTTTTAAGGATTTTGGGACAAGACAAGACAGAGACACGTGAACAATCAGAATCTAAACAAGGCATGATAAAAGAGTGAAGACTTAGAAGAAAAGCTAGTAAAGAATACGGGAATAGGTTTTTGAGTGTGTGTGTGTGTGTGAGATGCAATTATAAATGGAAGTGACTGAAAGTGACACGTGTGGGGTAGTGAGAGACAAAGAGGTAGGGACTCAAAAGACATGAGATTGGGAAGAGAAGGAGAAAACACAGTACTTGATTGTTTTGAAAGGCCATACACACATGTTTCTTCTTTATTCAAACACTTGTGTTTGAACCAATTTTGAAGGACTTGTCTTGTTGGTGTTAATCTCGTGAATACATTTGCTCCTCGAATCTCTCAGGTTATGTGTAGCGGCTTTCCTGTGTTATGTCTCTCTCTCTCTCTCTCTCTAAATGCATCTGTTACTTTCCACCCCATGTGATATTTGTAAATAGTCTCTAGACGAATGTGTAAAGAATATGATTTTGTATGATATTAAGTCTATCGTAAATCAAGAGTTTTGGGGGTTTTGTTAGAAACCAAACGTTGAAAATTAGATAAGACTAAAAGTAATATTTGAGAAACATTCGATCCATCCACTACCAATCGTTTTTTAAGTTAAAAAACACAAATTGTCATGATATTTACAATTACGAATTGATTTGATTTTAAAGATTTGGTCCGAATACTGATCGTGTAACACACCCACATGACAATCACGGTGTGTAGTTGGTCTTGGTCCAAACTGTTTCAAATATCACCCGCAATAGTTTCTTGACTGTTCACTCAATTTTATTTTTCAAATCATTTCTCCTCTTTAGATATACTTTTTTTAAGTGAAAACTAATGAGGAAAGGCTCTTGAAAAAGTGGTGGGCATAGTATGTCTCTCTATTTACTGTCTTCAATAATTCATGTCTTTTTTTTTCTAAATTTCTCTGAGATTTTATCATCCATACTTTGAATTGTGACTTTTTTTTTGACAAAAAAAAAATCATAATTACCCGTATCTTAATGCAACATATTGTGAACAACCTTTAACAACAGTCTTTGGTATTTCTGGATCTATGTTTACTCTACCTATTGATAAACAAATTTTTCTTATAATGCACATTACTTTATAAGAGAGAAAATATTGAATACAATGAAGTAATTTCTTTGTAACAAAAAAGAAAAGAAAAAGAATCAAGGTTACTTAATACTTACTATGAAAAAATGTCATTAAACATGCTAATTAAAATATAAAACAGAAGAAAACATTCAAATTTGTGAGAAGAAAAAAAAGTCAAAAATTTCAAACGTTAAGAGATTGTACTAGACTTGGCAATAATGCAGCAGATGATTTTTGTAAATAAGTACATGTATGTGTTATATATATGTAGTGAAGGATCTAATCTTAGCCTGGAGTCCTGGACTCACTGGAGTGGTAAATTCAGAACATCAACTATTTACCGTACGGATCGAAACATATTATGGCCCCTACAAAGAAATGATCCAACGGTCATAAAAGTTTACTGAATAGTAAAGAAGACTTTAAAATCTACCAACATCATATAATTAATCTTAAAACTTCTTACAATTTTACTTCTTCCTTTCTTAAACTTGTCAAATTTGTTAAGCACCAAAGAAAGTAAAAATAAAAATATCTTATTTTTTTCTTATAATTGTTTTTATTTTATCCATCCAAACAATGCTTTCTGGATCTCTCTCAGTCATCATCTCATCAGTGCATTTCGATTTGACACCACCTTCAAGTGTATCTCCTTTTGCTTTCTCCATATTTTTTCGTACATAGCATCTATGCATAGACATTCAATAATCAAATATAATACATATTATTATTTTAGACATTATAGCTACAGTATGCGCATTGGATGATTCCTCGGATCACCAGATGCTATGTTTATCTACAAATGAGGGCTTATAATTTTGTGATTCAGTAGCTGTATGATTGATAAACAATGCTAACATTTTTGTCAAATTCTCTGCAAAACTCATGGAGGAATCTTTATGAGAATCTGCAGGTATCTTCTTACAAAGCTATTTTTAATCTGAAACAGCTCATGTGAAGAAGGGGAAAACAATAGTACTAATAATAGCTTTCTCTTTAGACTATACTCTGTATCAAACAGCTCATTATTTGTTGTACAAACTCAAATAAGAGAAGTGAAAAAAACTGAATCTACATGAGAATAACTGTTTGAAGAACTATACACTATGACTTCTGTCATTATTTGTTGTATTTGTCCCCGAATCAAAATCCTATTTTCAAAAAGAATCTATAGGTTTGAAGAAGGCAGACAAGAAGAAGCTTTAAGAAACCACCCTTTTGATATTTCATTTCAAGAAAACATGTTTGAACATAAGAGTTTTGGGAGGGTCATTTGCTGTGTAATCACAAAAAAATTCATCTAAAAATAAGAATGATCCATTACCCTCTCTTACAAACATAAGACAAAAGAGACAAAAGTTACTGGATAAAGCTTTCGAGAGAAGAGGGAACATCTTTATCAAAAAGAAAGAAAAACCGATTAAATCCGGATACTGTACCTTTTTAATTATCATGGGCTCCCTTTTCTGGAACAACATGAAAAAAACTGCAGAAGATGAGGGGAGAAAAAACTTATATCATTATGTTTCTGAAACACTTTTGGTCTTTTGACTCTCGAGTCCTTAGCATAGCACTTGAGTTGAAGAAGCTTTTCTGCTTTGTTAGTTGAACATCCTGAGGAAATTGTTTGCATACGCCATTGGCTTCACATCCGGGTGAGGCTGTGAAATCACAATATCAGATAATCAGAAGAGTTTTTTCAAAATGAATCTAAATCAAACCATGGACCAGCTACACTACACTACACTCACCACTGCTGAGAATGTAACAATGTTTGGCTTCATGTCTGGAGCTTCAAAGCGAATGAAGGCTCCCTTGTTACCCATCTGCAACAATATTTTTCCATGTTAGGTATGAATTGAGTAATTAGATGCTGTTTCAAAAGTGAAGAGAAGAGTTTATGAGTTACCTGATCACAGTAATTTGGTGCAGAGAAGACGGTGATGAGTTTACCATCATGATCAACCTCATAGCCTTCATCTTTCACTTCATGTGATCGAACCACCAAATCTTCCAGATACAAAAAAAAAGATAGTCAATAGCCATTTAATGAATCAATCGAGCAAACCTCAGATCTAACAAGTCACTACACTAACCTAGATTATTGTCTTCCAAGAATCTCTTTGTTACATCACCACCAAACGATAGACCAACTCCTCGCTTGCTTGGGCCTCTTCCAGGGAGAGGTTGAGGATCACTCCACAAGAGTTCACACATCAAACCTGAAAGAAAAACCATTAACAAGATTAGATGTTTTTATAACAGAAGCAGTCTTACAAAAGGTGTGTATGTTGAAGCATACCTTCCTCGGGAGGCTCACAGAACCGGTCAATGGCTCTGATGTCTGAGAGTTTCACGCCGTCAACACTAAAGAGACCTCCATGCACCACGAATATCTTCCCATTTATAACATGAGCCAACGGTAGGTAGCAGAATACTTCCGCAAAGAGATCCACGAATTTTTCACTCAGCTTGGACCGAACTTCACCCTCGAAACCGTATATTTTGTTCATGCTCTTGCTTTCGTGATTCCCTCTCGCTAGATATATGGCTGCAAAGTTCCAAACAACAATATGGGTAAACGACGATTTGCAACTGTACTGGACATTTTAACATCAAAGAGCACTTGAAAGAACTTACATGATGGAGACATGCACTTGAAAGCAAACAAAGTGAGGATGATCTCAACAGAGAATGAGCCTCTGTCCACAAAGTCACCATTGAAAAGGTAGGGATTCTCTTCCGAAGGGAGACCGTTAAGCTCGAAAATGTTCATTAGATCATAAAACTGCAAGGCAAAAGTAACGTGTGGGTTTATTTTCAGTTTTCACATATCTCAATAAACAAGAGAAGTGAAGATTGCGAGAGCATACCTGACCATGAACGTCACCGCAGACAGTGAAATGCTTGCCATTGGGTACATTAATATCAACAAGAGAAGGCAATGCGAGCAAGATTTCCCTTGTCTGCAAGACTATTTGATATGCATACCTACAAATAATAACATGGCTTTAATGCACAAACAGAATGATCACCACAGTAATTAATGTTAACACCACCAAAAAATCTTACGCACCGTTTATGTAATGTTTTTTGGTCCTTGAAATCCTCCATCATCTTCTTCACAAAGTCCAAGGTAATTTCCTCTCCCTCGATTCTAGCACCAGAATACTGTGGCTCAACCTCTGCAATAAACATGAAAATATCAGTGATTAAGTCAATGAATGAATGTTTAAAATGTGGCAGAAGAGTTGTGCGACAAAAAGGACAAGGAAAATAAAGTATGTAAATCCATGTTCAGATGGTTTTGACATCATTATCATTGGACATTTTCATTCTCAACTGAGACTCCACAAGAGAGGAATTATATTCAGGCTTTGATATGCATTAAAACGATCTACATTGATCCTACGATGCAGATTTTAACCAGAGAAAAGACACTACTACCACTGAAGCCACCCCACCAAAACGTCCCTAACACCACCGAAACCAACACCATGAGTATCTCAATTGTGGCAAATCCTCGGACAGCCACCACCATTACTGCTGCAACAACTGCTGCTAAAGCCGTTTTGGTGGGCATGGACGATGATCTGGGTTTGTTCCCTATTATGTGACAATAGGTAGAAGAATGATTACTAGTCTAAAGCTACACTCAACCATTTGTCAACTACTGAATCAATTCAAAGTGCATGGCATAACAAGAGACGAAAGGCGTGACAGAACAAACTGCAGAGTGCAAGACAACAGAGAGATAACCAAAGTAGATGAAGGATACCTATGGTGTGGAAGTCTATGGACTCAGCAACTGATCGCCTTTCAGAAACAGGAACAGAGATTGCTTCTTCAAATTTCATCTTCATCACTGCTTTCTCACATTCTCTTAGCTTTCTTGTGGCATCAGGGTCATTAGGAGAAATCCTTTTTACCTGAAATATAAACAGCAGGACCATGTCAGCAATACCGTACACACAAATCTCTCTTAAACAGACAAAGAGAGTCCACAGCTAAACTAAAGTTAAACAGATTACTATCAAGCTTCCAGGATCTTAATCACTTGATCAGATCAAAACATCAAGTTATGACCTTTTAAGTTATATCACACCAAGAAAACAAACAAGAACTAAAACGGCACAAGGCTCGTGGTACAAACATAACCTGTTGGAAATCCTTTAAGGCGTCCTTAAACTTCCCCATGGCAAGATACGCAGCACCACGTCTGTAGTAGCCCTGAGATTCAGTATATAATCAGCAAACCAAACAAGGCTGAATGTACGTGAGAAGAAGATGATGCAACATGTATAGTCACAGAAAGATACCTTGGAGTATCTTGAATCAATTTCAATGGCCTTTGATGCATCCAGTATTGCACTGCCATACTCCTCCAGTTTTGTGTGAGCAAATGCACGGTTTGCCCAATACACAGCGTTATTGCCATTGAGTTCTATAGCTTGTGTATACAGATCAATAGCATGAGAGTATTTGTGACCTGTAAGAAACTTACAATATTCAGCCAGCTACTCCTAGATAAATCATATAGCTCCACAAGATTTGATGAAAAAGTACACACCTTTAAAAGCTTCGTTGGCCTGATTCTTCATCTCCTCGGCCCGTGAAACATCAGAGTTCTCATTCTTAGTCTCCATGTTTATCCCTTACTCAATTATGGCTTCTGAACTATCCAGTGAAGCCGGAACTGATTTGACAACAAAAGAAGGAAATCAAGTTTTTCATCTCGCAATGCCCCAACAATTTGCATAATGCAAAAAGAACAATAATCACAATCAGCTGGCTAATTCCATTAGCATTTTTCTCAAAATCAATAAGTTTTACTTAACAGGGAGCAATCACACTCGACCTATAATAAAGTTCCAATTTTTTCATAATACAGCCACTGACTTTAGTTAGACACATGTAACGAGATTCGTAGCAGGAAGACAACTCATTCACATAGAAAGTCATTCGTACACATCAAATTAAGCATTAAAACGCACAGAAAACTAAACCCAGATAAGGACACGGTGTATAGCAGATGCAAGCGAATTACTACAGAATTAAGCAGATAAGTAAGATGCGAGAAAGTTGCGAACTTTGAAACTGTGCATCGTTTTCTCAACAGCACAACAATCAAATTGGACATCAACTACGACGAATTCACGGGCGTGAGAAGTCGAAACTATCACTTACAGGTAAATCCCATCAAAGATCTGTTATAAAAAAACCCAGATACTAGAAAATCAAAACAGGACAGCAACAGAAGGAAGCCAACGTGTTTTGTCGGAAAATCGCAGAAACTAGAAGATAGAATTATACCTCAAATAGCTCAAACTTTGGCGACAGCGGAAGAGGAAGAGGTTGACAGGTTTAATAGAAGCTTCAAGTAACCAGAACCCTAGATTGGTCAATGGAGAGTATGCGCTTGAATCTATGAGTATGACAAGGGTTTTTGGAAAACTAGTAACTTTGCCCACTAATTATTTTGCAGTAAAAAATATAAAGCGACGAAGAGTTGTGTCGAATCTCAAAATTATATTATTTCTATTTCATATATGAAAGAATAATAAACATAACTCTTTATTTTTTGTACTTTTTCTTTATTTCTTCGTGTGATTTTGAGAAATCCTAGACAAACACAAAACAAAAACAAAAAAAAGTGCTTAAATTTGATTATATCTTGAATTAAAGCACACATTAATCAGCGTGTTGTATTCTGATTTTAATTGGAATCGTCTCGTGATGTTTGTTTAATCAAATTGTGAGCCATCCAAATTAAATCCGCTTTTGTGTTTTTTTGAAAGAGATGGCTTCTCTAAGAGTATCTTTGCACATAGAGAAGAATACAAATTTGTTCACCGTAAATCTTTTGGTCTATATACAATCTATACAATTACAAACACTTTCGAAATCAAGAAAGCAAATAGCAAATGTTTCTTGATTTATTAATCTTCCATCTCAATGCTTCTTTGTCTCTCTTTCAGCCTACAATTAAACACGAGGAACACGAATAAAGTTAATATCCAAAAATATATATATTGACTGAGAGAATAATTCGTTCTATACCGCTTTGATAGCTTTCTCAACCGAATCCCATCCAAACCGGTCAACATAATCTTGAACCGATTTTCTAGCATCAAGACTCATCATCTGTAAAACTCTTCTCTGCTCGTCTGTATAACTCGTTCCTCCTCCGATATTCATCCCAATTTTAACATATTTTCTCACAAAATTGGAGTAAATGTAAGCCGCACCACTGAACATTGGTAACACCAACCACATACAGAACAAAAGCTTCAAGTACGGCCAAAATGGTAACCTGAAAAATGCAAAAATACAATAAAATAGAACACTCTTTTTGAGTCTCTGTGACATAATTTTATATATGTATCGTGAGTATTACTGTTATTACCAAACAAGGATTCTCCAAACGGAGAGCTCGAATATTGTCATGAAGGAGTAAATGATCCAATATGTAAGCCATTGTTGATCATCTAACATCGTTGGACTCTCTATTGCTCGTAACGATGCATACCTAAATAATCAACCATTCCATTACTTTTAATTTACAAATATATATAAACCATGCACATAAGTAAAAGATTAAATTTGATTTCACTTACAGAGGATAGAGAAGCATAACTCCAGGCCTGCATGCACCAAGAATTGAAGTTTTAAAAAAATTAAAAGTCTTCTATTTTTATGATACTTATGAGACATCAACACTTACCCAATTAGAGCATCAAAACGTTTTGCGATCAGAATAATGGCGCCCATTTTTTTTGAGTCTTTATCCAGTCTTCTTTGAACAGAAACTTGAAACTTTCTTCTTCTTGATCTCTCTGAACAAACGTCTTTAGCACTATGGCGTTGGATATATACACATAGATTCATTTTCTTTAAGCAAGAATATTTGTGTAAGTTAAAGCAACAAGTCAGGTAAAGAATCTCCAACCCTTTGATACGTTACATGAACCTATTTCTTCTACGTTCTAAAAAAAAATCAAAGTAACTGTAGGAAAAATTCACATGTTGGGAAATCTAAAGTCTTGGGTTTAGTATAACTTCCTATGAATTATATTCGGAATATTCTTTTTTTAAAAAAAAAAACACAATTATTTTCTTATTTCACAAGAGTTAGTCATCAAGAACATACGCATTAACTAATTAATTAATGAATTTGGGCGTATTACACAATTTGATTGCGATATTTGGTCTGCCACTTTGTAAAAATTGGAGTCTTTATATATATATATATATATATAACTTCTCTTTCTTACCCATTTACTGATTTTCATTAAATTAAAGGTCCTCAGTGATGTTTTATTTGATAAATATTAATTTTTTTTTGTCACTGAGCTAGTAAAAGTAATATTTCTATATACTTATTTTCTTACATAATCTCTCTTTCTTACACAAAAGTTTCCATTGGTATTTTATTTGATAAAGATGTTTTTGTCACTGAGCTAGTAAATAAACACCCAATATTTATGATGGTATCTTATTTCATGCTAACTCTCAACAAGAGAACCAGATCTTCTTAACATTCAAATTTCAAAGCATATTAAGAAAATATACCGCGGAAGTAGATCAAAGCCTTACCAACTTTCAAGTTCCTTCTTGAAATGATTTTTGCACAATTTTAAGCTTAATTTGACATGAATCTGTATGTATATATGTGTATTGTTGCTCGTGAAGGAAATAAGTACAAGGAAAATGACGGGGTATGGGCAAAATTCAAAAGAGTTATATATATTTACTTTCGTAACTAAAATTAATTAATGCAAATCTATGAAAGGGTTTATGGATAATGACTATACATATACTTAGTTATCCTCCGTGGGCACACTGCTTTCATTTCCTTGATTAGTTTCATCTTTCCTAATTATATTGTCGACTATCTGATACAGTTTCTTGCTTAATTTATAAATATGATGTAATGATAAAAAGAATTAATCTATAATATTCAAGATGCCGTTGGACTAATTACCTAATGTCCAAGAATAAGGACTCGAACATAAGAATTTGGAAAGAAGAAACCAATGAAACTATATAATCTTAGTTTGTCAATTTTATCAAGCAATTTGTTTAAACACAAACGATTTGTTGTTTATTATTTTTTGCAGTGCGATTGCAATTTGTAGCTTTTAAAAAAAAATCAAATATTAAAAACATTTAAATCTGGAATGTTATTCATTGGCTCGTTTTGTACTTGATAAGTTATAAAACACCAATTTTTTTTTTATCATATCATGTCAGATGAATATTGGTTTAGCTGGAATATAATAAATATTTTTTTGAAAAAAATTCCAGGTTACTATTATAACGAGGATTACCAAAAATGTAAAATTTCCAAAAGTTGATTCTGATGAGAAACAGAGCCCATACCTCTCTTTTTTCCCCTAGACATGAAAGAAAAATTGGATGGTCCTCCTTCAATGCTCTCCTCCCCACCCAATCCAAACCCAACTCTCTTTTCTTCTTTTTCTATTTTGATATTTTCTATCACTTAATTCCCATCAATTTCAAATTTCAATCTAAATATACACATTTAGAGAATTAAAAAAATTAGGTATGAGATTTTTGGCAAAATGTTAGACTAATGCATGGTCTATTTTCTTCCTTTCTTTCTCCTTTATAACATTTGAGTTTTTTTTTTAAACTACCAAACCTTCTGTTTTCTGCAAGTGGGGTTTTATATAGTTTCAAAGAAATATTCCTCTAAAAGAAATTGTTAACCAAAACAGAAATCAAAACAAAATAAAGTAGGAAGCAGCAGTTAAGTGGTACTGATTTAATAAGAATAGTATCTTAAGGCAAGAAGGAATTAAATCTCTCAGATTTCATCTTCCCTTCTCACTTCTCCTTCTTTTCTTTTTATCACAATCTTGCAAACTCAGGTATAATTGTTGATGATATGCTCTTGAAATTATAACCCTAAAATCAGAAGTTTTTGTTATCAAATTTCTTACCTTTTTTTGTCTTCCTTCATTCAATCCATGAATCTTGGAGTGACCCATTTTAGGGTTTGATTTCATTAAATGTTGTAACCAAGGATTCTTCTTCTTTAATTTCTCTATTAATGAAATCTCGGAAACTCTGATAGTAGCTGTAGTAGCTTGAGTGCAAAAAGATTTGAATCAGCTGATCTCTCTAGCTCTTGTGTGTGAAGTGTTTGATTGTGTGTGTGGTTTATATAAAAGCTGTAGGGTATACTTAAATGGAGGGTGGTGCGAGTAATGAAGTAGCAGAGAGCAGCAAGAAGATAGGGAGAGGGAAGATAGAGATAAAGAGGATAGAGAATACTACGAATCGTCAAGTAACTTTCTGCAAACGACGCAATGGTTTGCTCAAGAAAGCTTACGAGCTCTCCGTCTTGTGTGATGCGGAGGTTGCTCTCGTCATATTCTCCACTCGAGGTCGTCTCTACGAGTACGCCAACAACAGGTAAGATCCATTAACTTCTTTAGATCTTGATTTTCTTGATTTCTTTTTTCTTTGGAATGAATTTTCAGATTTTTTTGGTGAATTTTCATAATTTTATATGGTTTTCTCTCTCGGTGTTCTTTTTTCTATTTTAAGTTTCTCTGAGTCTCAATATTCTCTATTGGAAAGCTCTGAATTATATCTGTGTACCAAAAATAGGGTTAGTTTATACTCGGAACCCTAGCTAGTTTTGTTTTGGGGAAAATTCTGATTTCTTTTCTTCTTCTTCTTCTTTCTCTCTCTCTCTCTCTCTCTCTCTCTCTGTGTGAAAAGCTGTGAGGTCTTTCTCTAGTAATTAATTAGCATCCAATACTTTGTTCCAGTCACTTTATTTTTCTTATACTAAATCCTTTAAAAAAACAGCATCTATATGCATCTATGTATGTCAGTTTCTAGAGGACACTTCGATAAATTTGATGACCCATCAGGTTATTTCTGCAGATTATTGATCATTAGGTTTCCAATATCCGATCAGTAATGAAAAAGTAGGGTTTTTGACAGCATATATAATATTATACTATGTTATATTAACTATAAAGCTATAGGTAGATTCCTTAAAAATTGATACACTAGCGGAAGACTAGGGTGTTTGTCTTCTGACACTACTCTAAGATCTTTCGGTGATTTGGTCTGTTTAATCAAGAAAAATATTTTGGGGACAAAGCTTCTTGTTCAGTCACTTAATTAATCACCCATCAATCAATAAAAAACAAACAAATTAAACGGAAAATTTGACTTTTGGTTTATTATTATTTCCCCCACTCCAAGTTGGGGACTTGTCATTTCCATTTCTATCAAAGTTTCCAGCTATTAATTACAGCTCATCTTCTTTTCAACATTTCTGTTGTTTTCGAAATATTATAGTGCTTTTTTTCGTTAATTATCAGAAGATTATGAGTTATGACTATAATCTTTTTTCTTAGTCAACTCTGATGTCATGGATCTAAGATCAAACCAGAAATTTGTAATTATTATGTGAATTTTCACAACGACTAAACATTCTTTTTTTTTTCACCAACGTCTAAAGATTAATCTATATTTAGTAACAGCGTGTGTGACATGCTTTATAATATTGCATTCTGATTAACAAAAGAGGAATGATGCATTAGGTCTGTAGAAAGTTGTAATTTATAGGTTTCTATTTTAAAATGTTTAGCACTTTTACAATTCTGTTTTTTTTTTGGAACATTAAACAAGAGTAGAATTCTTAGTTTTACAATTCTTAGCTCAAGCATCCTCATGCTTTAATGTATTTTGACATTTTTCAACCTCAACTTTCCATATATCATACAAACACAATGTGAGTTAAATTAATGGTGAAAATGAAAACATAACATATACAAAGATATCACACATCACACATGTTGTAATGAAATCTGTAAATTAATTTGTGAAATTGGGCGGTTTTTAATAGGCAATAGCAAACATATGCCAAAAAAAGAGAGGAGAGAACCAATCATATGGTACGTTACGTAGTTCACCGGTCCAGTCGCTCTTGTGTATGCTTTTCTGTTTCAAAACCTGTATATCCGCTAATTAATGTTTGAATCCAGCAGTAATAGTTTTGTGGGTTTTAAGTTTGGAAATTGATTTTCACTGGTTGTAGAAGGCTGATGATTAAAGTTTTAACTTTTTTTTTTTGTCTTTGTGTGGATGGTACGATGAAAAGTGTAAGAGGAACGATCGAAAGGTACAAGAAAGCTTGCTCCGACGCCGTGAATCCTCCTTCCGTCACCGAAGCTAATACTCAGGTAAGCTTTTTCATTATTTAATTTCTCTCACCAATTTACAACATTCCTCATCTTCTGACTTTAATTTGGTCTATTGTGTTAATCATGGATCAAAACTGAAGTATTATCAGCAAGAGTCGTCGAAGCTACGGAGACAGATTCGAGACATTCAGAATCTGAACAGACACATTCTTGGTGAGTCTCTTGGTTCCTTGAATCTCAAGGAACTAAAGAACCTCGAAGGTAGGCTTGAGAAAGGCATCAGTCGCGTCCGCTCCAAGAAGGTTGATTTATACAGTGTCCTTCAATCTCCTATCCTTGGATATATTGTGTTCTGTGTTCACGACTTTATCTGATTCTTGCCCGTTGCGTTTGATTTTGTTCCCCCAGCACGAGATGTTAGTTGCAGAGATAGAGTACATGCAAAAAAGGGTAAAACCTATCTTCCTCAGCAAGAAACTTCACTCATACCTTGTCAATTCTAATCCTCGCTCTTGTTTTTGTTGTGTTCATGTAGGAAATCGAGCTGCAAAACGATAACATGTATCTCCGATCCAAGGTCTTATAGACGTCTTTTTAGCATTTTGAAGTTAGTTAATTTCTTGGAACGCAATGTCTTGATGTGAAATATTTATTAGATTACGGAAAGGGCAGGAGTACAGCAGCAGGAATCGAGTGTGATACATCAAGGAACGGTTTACGAGTCGGGTGTATCGTCTTCTCATCAGACTGAGCAGTATAACCGGAGTTATATTCCGGTTAATCTGCTCGAACCAAATCCGAATTCCTCCGACCAAGACCAACCACCTCTCCAACTTGTCTAATTAACATACGCTCGTCTGAGATCGATCTTATGCAGATATGTTGATGCTACACTTACGGTTAAAAAAAAACTTGAGATGCAGACATGGTAACGATTTGAGAGGGACCCAATTTACATATATCTTGATTATTTATATGTATGTGAACATTCCAGCTAAATTATTAGTTGGACAATAGATATTTTAACCAAATAAACAGAATCTTGTCATTAAAATCTCTTTTGAGTAATTCATGTTGCTTTCCAAATCTATTTGCCTATTCAAAATCAAAATTGTGTTACTGTGTCCTCAAAATCATATGCAATTTCTACAACACTATTGATATGCAGAAGCTGCATACACATGGATCGATCCCAGGTTTTCATCTAATTAAGATCTTTCTAAATTCTAAAACTCAGGATTTTCAACTTTCTAATGAAGCTAATTCAGGAATTTACAACAGAGAGGTCGTAGATCGTACCTGATCAGAGTTACTGATCTCTAGACAGGGCTTAGCAGGGTCACTGAAATGCAAAGTGGTTTATGGATTTGAGAAGTTGATATAGTTTCTCTGCATCAACGACTACAAAAGCAACCTAAAAACACACATAAAGACCTGACTTTTACTGCAACAGAGCAACCAAACAAGCAACATGTCCACTCAGCAGTCGAAACTAAGTGAAGACTCTCATAGCTAAAATGTTGTTTGTCGCTACATGTGTTTTGGCATCTGTCTTAATCTGTGGAGAATTGTTTCCCACAGTGATTGTAGCTCACTCAAGTGCAGGATGAAGCAGATCACTTTTTTAATCAAGACGATAAGAAACACTTAGTGAGCTCTCTTCGAGCCTAATAATCTCAATCACTGCATCCAATTTATCAAGAACGAAAGGGAGAAACTTGTAGAAGAAAAAGTAATTGCAGAGCTAGAGTTATTATAGCAAATCCACCTAAACTCATCCTCTGTTCATATACATTGATTGTGACAAGGAAAGATCGAAACTTTACTCCTTCAAGAGGAAGCATTAATGTTTGTAAGTCAATCAGTTACAAGCTGTAGATTTCAGAACGATTCGAAGATTCGTATCCGAAACAACACGAAGCTTTTAGCTTATTCATTCATATCTAAATCGGAAGCCGGAGAGATTCAAGGCGATTTTTTTCGTAAATTTTGGAATGGTTAATCAATCAGGTTGAATGAGATTCGAAATCAGTTACGTTCTCAAATTTTGCAGAAGTTTTTTCTAATTGAAGAAGAAGAAGGAGAACCGCTTCGAGAAGGAGAAAGGAAGACGGCATGAAGTCTGGGTTTGGAAACACAAAACGGAACGCGTTTTGGTTTTGTTCAGACTTAATTAAATAATTAACGCAGTGAATAAAAGGAAAACGGAACGGTGTTTTGGAATTCAGTGGCTGATTTGCTTAATGTGCATTTCTGATTAGGTGAGAATGTCTTTTACCATCTTGATTGATACATTGTTAGAAATATTCATTAAGATATATGTGGCTAATGATTCTCTATATATACATTTATCAAGATGAAGTTTCAATCAAGATAATATTGAAGATTGAATTTAGAATGCCATTGCTACAACCGAAATTCCACAGGATTTTGGATGCAACTGCTTTATTTAACTCATTTATGAGCAACAGTCTATCTGGAAAGATCACTCTTTCGTGGCGTAATCTGCAAATCCCCATGTGTTGATGAGACATCTTATGCTATATGGAATTGTTCTTTCTTCAATTCTTAAATTCAGGTTGCAAGTTGTTACACTTACCTATCAAATAATTTACCACGTAACACTCTATTTATGTTCAAGGCATGAGAAACGGACCATCTCTTTTACAAGGAGAATAATTTCAAACAACTGGATAGTTCCTTACACTGACTCTGCTACTTACAATTTTCATATGCAGCTTCAAGGCTTATATATATATATTTTATATCCTTAGAAAAATGCAGAGACCATTATTATCAGTTTTCATATGGATTGTGTTGAGACTATTAATAAGTTAACATCAGTGATAAGATTATAAAGCAAGAAAAATTGGGATAGAGATATATACTCCTAAATCTCTAAAGAGATGTTGTCTCCTTATAACCATGAACACTAAGTTCAATATCAGTTAATGCAATTTCCGACATTAGTAAAGAGAGTCAATAAAGATGTAAAGATTATTCATTGGTGGGTAGAACTTGGGGTTTGAAACTTGAATGCATGGAGACCATCTTGCAATATTTACTCCAACGAGTTTATTACAGTACCACCACAACACACCACACTTCTGATGTACTGCCCCTTCTTTAATGCTATATCTTAATGTTTGGTCTCTCTCTCTCTCTCTCATGGACTTGTCGTTTCTTGAAATTCATCCAGTTGTTAAACACACCACCTAGGCCTGATTTTTTTAAATTTTTGGTCATGAACAATTTAATGGAGCAGTTATGACATTGTGTTGCCCTGTAGGCATGTCAAACTATATTTAGACTTTGACATTTTTTTGTACCTTGGTCTCTATTTATGAAATTTCTCTTTTGATATTAATGTTTTATGATCCTATTGATAGCTTCTTGTTCTTCTTTGTTCATTTTAATTTTCATGTGATAATTAATCTTCTTTAGACGCTCTTGAACAGTGATTTGAGAAACAGGGGAACTACTAAACATTATTTAAAACAGCAACATCAAATATAAAGGAGTATCCATCATAAAATATTACTAGAGGAGCTATTGGACACTTAAAACTCTACTGAGCACACACAACATAGGATAATTAATTAAAAGATTTGTTTTTTAATGCAAACCAACAAACAAACTGAGAAAATGAAACTCTCTTCTTTTTCAGACTCTTGGCTTTAGGCGACCTTCATTGGCAAGCTTGAAGGTGTGAGCCTGCTTTGTGGCTGCCTTGGTTGAAGAAAGTCCTGCTACAAAGTGGTCTCTGACTTGAGGGGTTGTGAAAGCGAACCTATTGTTGACCATTGAGTTTAACCAAGACGCTGTGCCTTCACGGTAAAGAGCTCCAATGGCATCAGTACGAGTGTTGGAAAGCGCCTGAAGAAGGTTCATGTGAGGATCAAACCCTGGGATGCTACTTGGAATACTGACTGTACCAAAAGCTCCTCCAACAGTTCCCCACCAGCCAAGCAGACCCCATATCAATGTAGGGTGGTTTCTCCAGTAACTGAAACACAGATGAAAATTGAAATGTGAAAACCATCATATGTCCTACTGTATGTGTTGAAGAAAAGAATGTTTTGTCACTTACTCGCAAGTTCCAGTGATTGGTGGGAAAGGAGCAGGGACGAAAGGAGATCCAGGAGTGCCAGGGTCAATAATAGGAGTTGGTGGGCTTCCTCCAATGATGGGTGTGCCAGGGTCAACAATGGGTGTTGGTGGAGTCACAACGACGGGAGTACTTGGTGGAGGAGATGAGTAATATCCACCAGAAGGAGGACGTGAAGGCGTTGAAGGGTGAGAAGGCGTGGAAGGGTGTGAGGGCGTTGAAGGGTGTGAAGGTGGAGTTCCACAGTTGCAAGGAGGAGTACCGTGTGATGGAGTTGGGGTGTGTGATGGAGTTGGGGTGTGTGATGGAGTTGGAGTGTGAGATGGAGTCGAAGGAGTTGGAGTGTGAGATGGAGTCGAAGGAGTTGGAGTGTGAGATGGAGTTGAAGGAGTTGGGTCGTAAGGTGGACTTCCACAGTTAGAAGGAGGGGTATGTGATGGAGTCGAAGGAGTTGGTGTGTATCCTCCGTGTGATGGAGGAGTTCCTGCATGTCAAGCAAACACAAGGAGTCATGTAAAAGATGCTAAAAATCAAGAATCTTATTACATCAAATAACAAAGTTTGAGAGTTTGAGTCTGATATCTTACCTGCATTTGGGTCGGGAGGAGAGTAGTATGTTTTCGAATCCTCAAACCTTATGGAAGCAACAGAAGCAAACAGCTGCTGTGAGAGTAAAGCAGCAAAGAGTGCCCAAATGGTTAAACTCTTCATCCCTCTCATTTCAAAAAACACACACTGAAATTACAGAGAGAAAGCAGAGGTTATTTTTTTGCAAATGGTGGTAGAATGAAACCGGAAACTAGGGTTTATAAATAGAGGGAAGCAAAGGGTTTTTTTGAAAGTGTTGATAGTAAATACAAACAGGTGGAGGAGTGTGTGGTTAGTTGATGTGTTGCAGGTGCATTTACACTGTCCCATTTAATACCCCTGGTGATTGCAATAACACTTTGAAATTTTGCAAAAAAATTAGAAAATTTTAAAAGAGCTAAATTAATCTTTCATGCAAAGGCATGGACGCGTATGAGAAGCTGTCTCCCATATAGATGGTTTATCTCTCTATCCGTATATATGATTTACTACTTTTCAATCAATGAACTCGGTACGTTGCTTATGTTTTATGGCAGGACATCTTTGTATCTAATATGCAAGCTAGCTCTAGCTCTGATATCATGTGAAGCTAATTATTTCACTCTTGCGTGCTTGAAAAATAATGTAGGGCAAGACTCAAATCAAGAATCTAGGTAGACTAACGTAGACCCTTTTGTTTTGTGCTTCTCTAAGATTAGCTAAGGAGATAATTAAATTAGTGTAGTCACTTGATGGTAAAAGAGAAGTCAAGCTACATTTATTGCACCTATATAAGGTCACTTCTCTCTTCTCGGGTTCGCTTTATGGACAGCAAAACCCAAGATTAGATATAGAAATCATTGGTTTATATAGATAGTGATTTTCAAGTTTATATAGTTAAAGCTATAATTTGGTTTTCACCTAAATATATAGTTCACATTTAAGTGACATTTAAGTTTGAGTAACAATAAGAGTGGTAAATAGTAGATACAGCGAGGCCATTAGTAGCACGTGGAGATGCAGAAGGAGAAGAGGACCCACAAAGAAGAAATAAGCAGAGATGAAAAAAATTGATTATGAAGAAAAGAGAGATAAATTAATGTAATGGTGTAGTAGGTTTTGGTGGGTCTGAGAGTTATAACCAGTTGACTGATGATTCACAAAAATAATGCAGACTCTTTCACTTCTCTTACTGTTTATCTTCTCTGGATTTGCTCCTCTGGCTTCTGCAATTTTATACTATTGTAATGTGAATAATTTGTTAAGCCATGATATTGACTTCTTTTTTTCTATAATGCTGGTCTTTTTCATTTAAGTTATTTGGAGTCTTATCTTTTGTTTTCCATTTAAGATATTTTCTATATTTTTAACAAATAAACTTTAATAAAAATCTCTACTCAACTACTTTTCGAACATCTCAGTTCAAGCCCTGCTATATAACATCAATTGATTTTTGTGTCACTTTCTTTCAACAAAAGACACTGTTTTCCCGCTCATCACATGTCATTTTGATATTAGGAATAGTGATTACTATTCTTTGCAAATAATTTAAATCAGTCCTCAAAATATATTTTTTCAGGACTGGATTGAATTAACGAGCTAATTCCCCAAGCAAATGGCCTAATGACTGGACAGTCCCGGACACAATATATCTTGTAGCGTCCGACAAATTTTGTAATTAAGTCCGTAATTTACCCGTGTAGGCACTTGACACCACGTGAATATTCATATATCCCATGTTACGCTATTGCATTTAATCGTTACCTGTGATGAGAAACGAAACTATCATATCCAGCTTCGAATACCAAAACGAAAATGTTAAACATTGAAATAAATTTGATAGATATAGTTAGGTGGTTTCCACTAATGGTTAGAACATTTCAATCTAAGTTACTCCAAAACTAGTGCAACAACACATACGGACAAGTTTCATTTTAAGCGTTCGAAGCGATCCCACCAACCAAACGCACTAAAAGCCCCGATCCTTTGAAGAATCAAAGTCTCAACTACCAAATATGCCAAAACGTATATATGTGTGTGTGCAAAAGTTATAATTAATTTTTACGAGTAAAACGTTCTTAATATTCTTAATATGTCATATAATTAATAGGGTTCGCTAACCGGTCACTTACACAACAATGTCGTTGATGATGATTGACGACCATCATAACGTTGTATAAGTTTGTTGTCAATGTCAACCATCATCATCATCATCATTTCTTGCGGCTGCTATTCTTATCAAATATTATTCTAATCATAGTTTACAATACAAACTACGTGTTTAACTTTTTAAGATAATCGCATAATTTGAATAATTTAACTAAATTTCGTTCTTGTTTTGTTATTTTTATAAGAACTTATTTTGTTCTGCAAGCCATTTAACGAAACCGACGACGACGTAAAGTAGCATTATGTACGCTTAATGCCGCGACAAGATTAATAAACTTTTTATAATTCTTTTGATATGATAGGACGTTTTTATAGAAGGAATCTTTTAAAAGCGACTTCTTAACTAATTATTCGTTATAACTTAATCCAATTTATCCATCCCTCTATCAAAATTATATAATTTTATCTTAGGTGCATGAACGATACCATGAAAAATAAACTGTCCAAATTTCAAGAATCAATACTGTACACACATATTATCAACCTGGAAATAATGTAACGTTCGAGAGTGATATCATGTAAAGATAAGTTCCCAAAAGTATACACAATGGACTGTCTATATTATGCGATTAGTTGGACGTCTACTCATCTGAATTATGATTAGTTTAAATTGTATGTGATGTATATAATTAATTGAATATACATATCGATTCTCTCTATAACGTAGTTTGCAACGTAACATCGACATAACAGAAGCAGCCGGCCACAGCAGATCTTTAGGGATTCGCGTATTGTTTTTCTTCTTTTTTTCCAACAAGAATCATATAAATCTAATGAGAATTTGGTCAGCAAGTGTGTTCACAAATAGGTATATTAAATTACGTTGTACTATTATTATGAACCAAAAAAAATTAATATATTATGAAATTATTTAAGAGGGAGATTATGGGGATCGATTCATATGTTATAAATTCATTTGCAATCTTGGTTATAGCATATTCCAACTTCCAAGCACATGCATTTGTCTCTCTCTCTCTCGCCCAAATTCAAGAAAATAACAAGAAAAAGAAAACAATTCAAAAGTCAACCTATCAACTTTTTGTTAAGGCAAAATTTTGTTGGGTATATTGAAAATTTAATTAATATATATTTCGATCAAAATTGTTTGTAGATAATACATATTAGTAGATCTATAAACATGAGCTAAATTTTCTGACACTATCTCTATATTTTGGATTTTTCTTTTTTGGGGGTTTTGTATTCCATCAACTAGCCGTTATGAGATATATAACATTTTTATCCTATACTTTTTTGTTAAGGAAAAAAAACTGGGATTTTTAATTCATAACTTTCTGTTTAAAGTAAGAAAATGCCAAAGAGAAGATAAACATTAGAGAAAAGCAACCCATTTCGGTATGGTATTTTCTATTACTTTAATGTGCGAGAGAAACATGAAGCAACCCATCTCGTAATCTCTATAATACTGTGCATGTGTATGCATCTGCATAACATGTTTAGTATCACCGTCCGCTGCAAAAAATATTAGAAAAATATTGTAGCCTGAGCTCTTAAGGAACTGTAACTTGAAAGACCAATCATGTGTCAGAACAAAAGAAGTTTCAGAACAAAGAAAGAAAATTAGAATAATCCCACTGGGTTTTGACCTTAATCAACCATCCACAAAAATCTCCACTTATAAATACTCAGCTCACATTCCAGATTTCTGCAAAGCTTGATTATTAGTAATTGGTTATTCAAGTAAACACACAAAATGGCTCTAGAACCAAACTTTCTTCTCTCATGGGTCTTCTTATGCATAGCTGCAACAATCTCCAGCACACTTTTCTTCTTCCGCAAGAAACCTCACAGATTCACATCAAAGAAGCTGCAGCAGCAGCAGCAGAAGAAAAAGAAGCTTCCTCCTGGAGAAATGGGGCTTCCATGGATAGGCGAAACAATGGAGTTCTACAAAGCTCAGAAAAGCAACAGAGTGTTCGAAGATTTCGTAAATCCAAGAATCATCAAACATGGTAACATCTTCAAGACAAAAATCATGGGATCACCAACGATAGTAGTCAATGGAGCTGAAGCCAATAGGCTAATATTGTCCAACGAGTTTAACTTAGTGGTGAGCTCATGGCCTTCGTCCTCTGTTCAGCTAATGGGGATGAACTGCATCATGGCTAAACAAGGCGAGAAGCATAAGGTCCTTAGAGGGATTGTAGCTAATAGCCTTAGCTACAATGGGTTAGAGTCCCTAGTGCCTAAGCTCTGTGAAACTGTTCGGTTTCATCTTGAAACCGAATGGCTAGGCAAGGAAGAGATTAGCCTCTACCGTTCCACAAAAGCTCTCACTTTCACTGTAGTCTTTGAGTGTTTGTATGGGATCAAAGTGGAGCTTGGGATGTTAGAGATCTTTGAGAGGGTTTTAGAAGGAGTTTTCGCTTTGCCTGTTGAGTTTCCTTGCTCTAGGTTCGCTAGAGCAAAGAAGGCAAGGCTAGAGATAGAGACGTTGCTGGTTAAGAAGGTCAGAGAGAAGAGAAGAGAAATGGAAGAAGAAGAAGTTAGGAGGCCAAGTACAACGCTTTTCTCGAAGCTAGTAGAAGGGTTGATCAAAGGAGAGATAACCGAAGAAGAAGTTGTGGATAATATGGTTTTGCTTGTGTTTGCAGCTCATGACACAACCTCTTACGCCATGGCCATGACTTTCAAGATGTTAGCTCAGCACCCAACTTGCCGCAACACTCTCCTTCAAGGTAACAAACAGAACATTAACGAATCTTGAAATAATCGTTTTTCCTCTAACAGCAAAAGAGAAAATCATACTTAAACTCTCAGATTTCTCTTGATTCATCATTTCAGAACATGTTCAGATAAAAGCAAGTAAAGGGGAAGGAGAATGTCTTACAGTGGAAGATGTGAAGAAGATGAAGTATAGCTGGCAAGTTGTTCGTGAAACAATGCGTTTATCTCCTCCAATCTTTGGTTCTTTCAGAAAAGCAGTTGCTGATATCGACTATGGAGGATTCACAATTCCCAAAGGCTGGAAGGTGATGAAACAACACATCATCTCTCTAGACATCCTTGAGTTCCTAAATCATGCAACACTCTGTTTCTTTCAAGAAATACTAATAATTTTTTTGTTGAGTGCAGATACTTTGGACAACGTATGGAACTCATTACAATCCTGAGATTTTTCAAGATCCAATGAGTTTCAATCCTTCAAGGTTTGATCAGCCAATACAAGCATATACGTATCTTCCGTTTGGAGGAGGACCAAGGCTTTGCGCAGGTCACCAACTAGCAAAAGTCAGCATTCTCGTTTTCTTGCATTTCGTTGTGACACGTTACGATTGGTCCTTAGTCTATCCAGATGAGACAATCAGCATGGATCCTCTCCCTTTTCCGTCTCTTGGAATGCCAATCAAAATCTCTCCCAAGGTGTCATAGAAATTTAGAGCAACGAGAGTGATGTTATCGTTTGTATGTATGCAATATTCAAAAAATCCTTCAAAAGTTCTAGACTTGCATTGAATAGAAAAGAAAAGAAGGAGACTAGATGCTTTCATAACACATTTCTATGTAACTCCCAAAGTGTATAGATTCTATTGAAAAAATGAGAATCATTCTTACAAAATTGTTATGTGTTGTGCATTGAACCAACTAGTCAAAACAATCTTCTGTCTTGGTCATCAGCCATTCTTTATTTTTCTTCTCTCAACTACTCTTCAAAGTTTCCATCATAGTACTAACTTTATTCTCTTCTTTATCTTCCTTGTCTTGGTTTTAGTCCGTCCTTGCTATTACAATCGCTACTATGAAGCAATCTCCTAGATAGCTTGAATCTGTGGACAGAGTGTTCTTTAAACCGGCGAAAGATCCAGACCATTGCAGCTCGAAGTAGAAGGAAAGAGAGAGAGAGGACACATACAAGAAGAGGAATGGAAAAGGTAGGTGAAGACGAGGAGAAGACCATTGAAGAAGCAAGAAACTCGGTTGAGGAGACGAGTAGTGATAAGGAAGATGAAAGGATCAGAGATACCATCACTAAACGGTTTGATCCAGTAGATTACGCAGAAGAAGGCTCCACAGATCCATCTAACTCACAGACGGTCACCTTTGAAGATCATGATGTCAATGACTATGATATGGAGGATGAAGAGGTTCTCCAGCTTTTCAGACGTAATCGCCGGAATGTACCTCAGTTACAAGAAGACACTCCTGCAGAAACAGAACAAGAAAGTGCAGTGTTCCACAGTTTGAACGACAGCAGCGAGATTCCGGAAATACTTGAAGAAGTCAGGTCATCATCAGCTTCAACTGAAGATAACGAGGATTCATCCAGTAACTCAGACCTTGACTCGGGCCTTTTTATGTATTATTTCGACGGGTCCTTACCGGTTTCAGCTCATGCAGAAGAATCTGAAACCCATCAAGATGATTCTCTAGCACCTAAAGATGAGAACCAGGTTCGCAACTCAACCCTAAACAAGCAAAATTTGACACATCTTAGTCCATAAGCAACAGTTTTCTCATATGTTTTAGTAAGGCACTACTATGCCATTACATTATTCAGATGCCTCTACTGTGTCCCAAGCAACCAACTTCATGGAGGAATTGCTGCGGGCTCCTTGAGCTTATCCGAGCTGCTGATCCATAGGAACCAGGTACCAGAAAGAGTTTGACCAACATTAATCCTAATCTGCAATGAATCTTTTTGGTAACTATAATAATCCTAATCTTGCAATGAATGTTATCTTTGCAGAAAAAATAAGGAGTGAAAGCAAAAACACTACACCGAGAGACCAGAGCCAACATATTCATAGAAAACAGGGCATGTGAACATTGTTGTTCTAGTAACCACCGTCACATCATGATTCCTAATAGTAAGTGGCTCATGTGTTCTTCGTTTTTCTTGAGTTTACTACAACCAATGCTTAGGATCTGTAAGCAATCTATTTAGCAAACTAGTTTCTCTTTGTAATTCAGTTTATAGAAAAACAGCTATATGTGATAACAAACCAATATCAAATGCATTCATAGCCTAAAAGCTAAAGATTCATCAATCACCTCAAACAAACAAACAAAAGATATCTTTCTCTGTAAGTCGTAATTATCAAACTCTCTGCTTTCTCTGTTCTCTTCTTGATCTCAGCTCTCTGCTTTCCTCAAACTCTCCGCTTCTTTCTCTGTAAGTCGTAACTATCAAAACTCTCACCTTTATCCGTCAACTCTTTTCTTCAATGAGTTGATGAATATCTTCTTGAATCCTTATCACCTCGCTCTCAAGCTCCACAGCTCTCGCAGATATAGATTCCAAAACCTTCTTCGAACTGCTCCATCTCCATCTCTTCGAGCCTCTGTTTCATGATTCTCGCCGCTTCGACTTCTCTCGATAATCTCTCAACCTTCTCCTACAGTTCCCGATTATCCCGTTTTAAGTCGTGTTTCTTCTTCTCCAGTTCTTCGATTCTCGATAACTGTAGGAGATGGTTGAGAGATTATTGAGATGGTTGAAAGGAGAAGAAGTTGAGATTAAGCCCAGCCCAATTAGAGTATATTTATCTAAGACCCAGCCCCATTTCTAATGTTGGTCGATATTTATCTAAGGCCCAACCCAATTGTTTTATGGTAAATGGTTTAAAGTTAACAGTAATGATAAACCACATACTGTATTCATATCTTCATAACCTATAATGATGTAAGGAAGTCTTACGAGTTTAACTTATAGTCAATTAGTAGTAATATTTAGGGATAACAACTTCATTTAATACTATGCGTCAGCTTCTTCTTCTTTTTTTTGTCAGCCTATATACTTTAGCTAGAAATGTAGGTTTTTTTTGTTCAAAATAATGATTACCAAATTTTTTGTTGGTCCTGTTCGCAAATGAATCGAAAATTCTTCAACTTCTCTATGATTATAATTTGGACAAACAGGGATGGTAATAAAATAATAAATCAATATACCTTCCCTACTCCCGCTATGTAAGGAACAAATAGATCCATAGTGTTGTTTGTATCGTAGGTGAGAAAATACGTGATAATGAATCCTAAAACTAATCTAGTTGTTTTTTTATGGATATTTTGTCTTCTAACGTCTACATTGTAACGCTGCTGTTATCTCATAAGAGTCATAGTAATTAAATTGAAAAGACGTACGTGTTGCTGAAAATATGAAGCTTCATCAAATTATCAGCCGGTTATTAATAATTATAACTGTGTGTAAATGCTAGCTCTAATTACAAACTTGCTCGACTAAAAAGATCGTCTTGATGAACAGAGAAAATAAGCATGAACGTGATTCCTGGACCACGGAAACTCAAATCCAATATGCATGTTCGTCATGACCTTAGATAAATATCGACCGACATTGGGAAATCTTTGTTACATAGCATGTGAGATGAGCTCACCCGAAATAAAAATAAAATGGGCCACGTATCATTAACTTTCTCAATATCATTAATTCTAAATCTCATATGCAAGTGCCTACTACCTCGTGATCCAATTTAATATCAACACGGCTCCAACTAAATAAGTTATATTATAACTACACTCCCTACATCAATACTAGTAACTAGTAAGATTCGTTATAATGTAATATATCGCAATCAATGAATCAACACTTCTCATAACTACGAAACGGCTTAAGTAACCGAGAACTTAGAGATTATAGATTAGTCTTGCTTTTTTGTTTGACAATGATTATAAATTATAATCTCTTAGTAAAGAAAAAGATTTCGAAGAAAAAAAATGCTGAGATCTCTTTCCCCATATATAAAAGCTAAAAATCCATATTAAAAAAAAAAGGTTAAAAATAAGACTAAACAACTGAATTTTTTTTTTGTTTGGAATCGAAAGAAAAGAAGAGCAATCTTGGTGTCATCATCTTCAACCTCCGAACTTCATATCTTGTTTATCTAAGCGTTCGAGAAACGAGGTGAGGACTTTAATGGTTTTGATCTGACATTGTAGAGACATTATGTAACCAGCTGTCTCTTCGAAGAGCGCGTCCACACCAAGCGCCGTTCCTCCCGGAATAATCCTCTGCAACGCAGAGATCTTCTCCTTCACCACTTCTTCGTCTTCTTCTTCTTCTTCTTCACCGGACACACACACGATTGCCTTAGGCTCCGACAATCTCCGTTTTGTTCTACGCTCGAAGCTGGCAGCGCGTGCTTTCACGGCGGCTGAGCGCGAGGAGGAAAGGGAACGTCTAGTGGTTTCGGGAGTGGCTAGAGTTTTCTCCATTGACAGAGAGAGAGAGAGAGAGAGAGAGAGGGGCAGAGGAATGATGTGTGTTTGAGAGAATAATGAAGAAGTAAGAAAAGTGCATGTGTGTATGCGTGTATATATATAGGAGTGATGGTGGATTTAGTGGACAAAATGGTGACTGTTAAATTTAGGCCGGTTCAGTCCGATTTTACTTTGATTGATTGGTGTTTAAGTAACAAAATGAGTTTGAGTTTAGAGACAATGCTATATCGGTTTGGTTTGGTTTCCTACGTTTTCTTTTGTTACATTTTTGGCATTCTTTAGTGAAATGATCGGTTAGGAACGAAGTATTTGTTTGGTTTGTCTCAAAAAATCGATGTAAAACCGAAAATTGATTTTTTTTTTTAAAAAGAATTCTATATTTAGAAGCGAAAAAATGGTAAATGGGCGGTATTGCCATCAAAGCTGGGTCCAGTTGTACGTTCTATTTTATTTATATATTTGATAATCCTCGTGTTTCGGATTGTGGAGATTTATTTTCTTGCTTGGGTTTGCAATTGCATAGATTTGGATCTTGAGGAAGAAGAGACGTAGTTTTTTTCACGCGCCATGTCTACTGGTTTAGACTTTTAGTGGACACGTCGTCACTCACTTAAAGTGGATCATGCTCACATCTAAAATTGGAATTTCTTTTGTTTTTGTTTGATAAATGAGATTTGATCCTTTTTTTTTAATAAGAACTATTTTCTCTTTTTCATAATAAATGTTATTTGGAGAAAATATATCTGCAATGTATTTGGATGTATTAAACTCAAAACACATCCAATTACAATGCAGATATTTTTTTTTTCAAATGACACTTATTATAAAACGGATGAAGTATTAATTACGTAGCAATAATTTAGTATTGCAACACTTGTTAATACAGACCGGTTTAGTTATAGTAAACTGTCATTTTCAATTAATTCGAACTAGCTTAGTATAAACATTGTAGGTTTTAGGATTTTACTTGTTTAGTCATGAATATTCTAAGAAGTGATACTATATGATAAATAGATTCTTTTTAACCAAATGCAAACTCTAGTACTATTAATCGAACAAAATATTGAAACCTAAACAAAATAAATTAGAGTTAGAGAGGAGGACGAACGAATCGTGGAGTAAGTAAAGTAAAGTAAGTAGATATGTAGTACGGACGAAAAGAGACAACACGCGGGAGGAAAGAGCGCGTGAGGATAAGAAAAGGAGAATGATCTCCTGCGACATGTGCATAGGAACAAGGGAGTGAAGAGAGAGGGGCCCAGAGAAAGCCCAAAGAGAAGGAAATGAGAGAGCACATGTGCACTCACATGAAAATCTCCATCTTCGAAGCCCCATCCCCATGTGCCTTCCTCTCTATACATACACCACCGATGACACTGTATGTATACATTGATGGATGAGATCGAGATCAAATAGATACTGCTCTCATAAGAGATAGTGAAGTGGTTCGTACATTTGAGGATCTAATCTACTACTTGCTCATAAGATCCACATGCATATCTATCGGGCATGGTGGCCACGTGTCACTCCCGTGGGTCCCCATACCCAATGTCCTTCATTTTTTCTTTTGTCAACCCCCTTTTGACAAACTAACAAAAATATACTTATATACATGAAACAATATCTTATAAAACTAGTATTTGTTTAAGAATCTGCCAAGAACAAGAAAATGAATAATGACAGAAACATTACTACTACTCCCTCTGTTTTTTATTAGATGATGTTTTAGTATTTATATGTAAAGGTTTTAGTAGTTAATTACAGTACTTAGTAGTATAATTTGTTGAGATGATTAGGAAGATGTAAGAAAAGAAAAGAAAAAGAAAAAGATGATGTTTCCAAGGAGGGGACGAAGAGGGGTTTGGTTTCTCGGGATTGAGATTTACAAAAATCGGGTGCCTTTCGCATTTCACCATCTACCAAACTGACACTTACCCAATTCTAGTATCTATTTATTTATGTGTTTCAATTTACATTAAATATGTTACAAAAATAACACACTGAAATTTAATTTCAGCTTTTTCAGCCAGCTTTCACATTCGTCTTGGAATAATCAATTTCCATGTCCTTTTGTATCTTTCTTTCTTCTCTGTTGTTCTGTTCCTATTATTTTTTAACTTAAGATGATTATTAATACATTGCTACAAAGATAAAGATGAGAAAAAAAGATAGATTCTGATGGGTTTGGTTAAGACAATATATTATGTTGTTTTTCTCAGAGCTGAGAAAGGAGAAGAAAGTATTATTAGGAGTGGTTTGTTTAGCTACAAATACAATTTACACAATTCAGGGTAAGCTTTTCTCTTCCCTTTCTCTAAGGCTGGAGATATGGGCCAAACAAGTGGGCCCATCATGATGGGTGATCTCTAGGACATGCTCACAGTGCCTGTGGTCCCACCTCAAGCCTTATTTGTCTCTTTTCTTAGCCTTACTTGGTTTGCAGTGAGATATAATATCATCTATAATTTTGTACATTAGATTTTTGGTTGCAGTAGTAAAATTTATCCTAGAGTTGTATGATAAGCGATTTAGAAAAGAATCGAATCAAGATGCTGTAGATGTTATGCCGACTTTTTTTTAGCTCCTTCCTCGATTTTTTAATTAATGTTAGGACTTTTATACAAAAGTGAGAGTATAATAAGAAAGCATGTTTAAGAAGAAAATAAGCGAACTTGATTGTTCTATAAACAAAATATATACACTAATTGTTTTGTTTAAAGATTTGATCAAGTGACAATGCAGCTTTCCGTTTATACTGACATTGGAAGAACAAAGTGGTGCCTGTGAAATGGGCTCCCACTATCACATGCGTCGGATGTGCCATGAAACCACCATCATCATCATCATCATCATCATTATGTGCATCCACACTGATCCATCTTCTGTAGCCAGCGGTTCTTTTAAACGTGAGAAAAATCAGAATCTTTCTTGCCCATTCTAAATGCCAGAGCCAGAGTAAAACACCCATTTATTTATCTGTCGGAAATAGAAAAAAAAAAAAACAAAGGGATATGATGAAGAAAAAGAAAAACAAATTTTCTTTCAGAATATAGTTTTGTGTGAAAGACAATTTTCTTTTTATGCAAGAAGTTGAAACATACAATGTTCTGTTCTGTGTGATCAGATTCCCTTATAACGTGGATGACTATTGACTAGTACATCTTTGACATACCGTACCGAACAGCTCCAACTTTCCTGTGAGCAGAACCACCAGGAGCAGCAGCTGCAGCCGCTGCTGCAACTCCTATTCCGGCGGTCGCCTGTAACAGATTTGTATCGATTATGATCCGGTCACTGATGTTTTCGGCTTTGGTCATTCCGGTTCGAGCCATGATAAAAGGGTTGCTATCTATGTTGATGGCTACGTCTGGTGCGTATCTATTACACTGAGATATTTGTCTTGCCTGCTTCTCAGGCTCCATTGCTGTTCTCCTCTCTTGTTGCCTTCCCATGACGGCTGTTGCCGCTGACTGTTGTGGAAATGGGAGATTAGTGCTGCGGATGAATGATCTCGGGTCGTATGCATCTCTGCTGATTCTGCCACCGTCGAAAGGGGCGACTGGGCCCATAAACGTGCTTGGTTTGGCGGCTGCGTGTTAGAGATACGTTTTAGGGTTTATAGAGTTTGGTTTGGAAACATTGCTGTTGGTTTCATGATGAGTGTACCTGAGAGGTTTCTTTGAGGTGCTTGTAATGTTGCATGATGATTAAAAGGAATGTTTTGAGTAGTTTCAGGGCTCGACGTGTTTGTGTTGTTCGTAAATTTCGGTGGTCCTCCTCGTGCAACTGCGGTTGAGTGTATAACTGTTGATCTGAAAGCATAGAAACACAGAGTCAGAAAAATATATTCTTTCTTCCAATTTATCAACTAAAGAAAATATAAATTCAATGAAGTTGACATGAATCTCAAAGAAATTAGTGCTCAACACAAGACAGAGATTGTCACAGTTTTATGATTAAAGCGCTATAACCACTGAGAATTTCAGTCGAGGCTCTGATTATGTCAATGGATATTAGATACAACTAGTCTAACAATTGCTTACCCGGTCAGAAACAGAGGAGATAACGGAAAATAGATCAAGTGACAACAGACATTACAGGGAGAAATAAATGAGGATTTACCTGGGAAGAGAGGCATGTTTCCTCTCTAGAGGTGCCACAGGGCCAGTTTTCCCGCTGTTTTCCTCGAGATGCGCAAACTGTCTTCTAAATTGATCAACAGCACTGAACAGTATAATACATCAATGTCAGGGATTGGGTCAGACTGACATGCAAATATATTTCTCAGAAATGCAATCACATATATAGTAAGACCTTGGGTAGAGGAAACTGGCTTTATCAGCCCCGTTCATGTGGTCTTTTAGCAGTTGAGGATGGTACTCAAGTATCTCCCTTGATATTAGCTCTCTGATATCCTCTTTAGTGACTTTTCTTCTCTCGAACTCAAATTCCATCTTCGTGATGGGTTGACATGAAGGCTCCCTTTCCACTTTTGCCAATCCCTTGAAATACGGATCGGCAAGTGCCTGATATCAGGGAAAAAAGCAGTTTAGTGGGTCACCCCAATAGACCTAGCATATGCATGATACTATCTTCTTAAAGAGAATAAAAAACCAATAAACTGAAACTTGTAGATTTGAGGTAATTAGTCGATATTAGAAGTTGAATAATAACCTCTTCAGCAGTTGGCCGGTCTTTTGGATCAAAGGCAAGAAGCTTCTCCAACAACTTCAAAGACAAAGGATCTGCATTTGGAAATTTCTGAGAAAACGGAATGGGTTGCTTTTTCCTCATGCTTGTTAAGTACCTCCTTGCCTTCTCATTCCTTACCTGTATAGTATCATAAAAGCAGAGTATTCGTCATTGGTCCTTGCTTAAGATTTGCAGAAACTCAATGCACTCTGTTTAACAAAAAGATCAGTACCCGTGAGATAGTGTCCAGTGAAGGTGTCCCTAGCAGATCAGTCATAAGATCCAGCTGGTGAACCACATTCTTTCCAGGGAAAAGAGGTTTTCCCATCAATACTTCCGCAAAAATGCAGCCTATACTCCAGATGTCAATTGCGGGTGTATACTACAAAGCCAAATCCACCAAAAGTTAGCTCGCTGTAATACACCAATTTAAAAAAAAAACCGTTATATAGAGAACAAATGAAATACCTTAGAGTAAAAAGATCCACAAAGCTCTGGAGCTCTATACCATCTTGTAGCAACATAGTCCTGTAAATTTAAGAGAAAGTAAGGTTGAAGAGTATCAGGTCCTTGCAACGTATTGATTAGTACGTAGACCAACTTAGTTTAAGAGAAGAAAAAGACTCTTAGAGAGTTATACGTACTGTCCAGAAGATTGTAGTGGGAGTATCATTGAATGCAACCCTTGCCAATCCAAAATCACAAATCTTAAGTTTACAGTTTGCATTTGCCAATATGTTTTTCGGCTTCAGGTCTCGGTGGTAGACATTAGCTGCAACAACCAAGGTATATAAGATATTATAACACAGACTAAAACCAGGACCAAATTCCAAAAGGCAAACATTTAGCTAGACATTAGGAAACCGAATGAATCTAATCCAGAGCATTAATGTACGAGAGAGACAGAGAGAGAGAGAGAGAGAGACGTAAAGAAAGATGAAAAGATGAAAAAACTGATACACAGAGACCAAAAGAAATGGAGTACCTGTATGAATGTACTTCAGTGCACGCAGTAACTGATACAGGAAAAACTGGTAATGCTCTCTCGTCAGATCATCATTGGCTTTAATAACTTGATGAAGATCCGATTCCATCAGCTCGAACACAACATAAATATCTTTGAACTCTCTCCGCGAAGGAGGAAGCATAATGTGCTTAATTTCAACTATATCTGGATGCCTTAGGAGCCTGAGCAGTTTTATCTCGCGCAGGATCCTCGCAGCATCGGATATATGCTCAAATATATCATGTATCTTCTTTATCGCCACTTTCTCACCCGTAAGGGTGTCTATGGCTGAGCAAACGACTCCATAGCTGCCTTTTCCAATTACTTCTTGGATTTTAAATCTGTTGGCATCGCCATAGTCAGAAAAGAACTCCATCTCCAGATTATTCTGTTACAAAGTAGCAAATTTTTACGTTAGAGAGAACACTCTAACAAATAACACTATTCATAAAAAACAATTGTAGTTTTTAGAAACTAGAACGCATAAGTTCATCAATATGCTACAATCCTAAACTCATGCTTCTCTCAATCAACAAGCTCTCTAATCGTACTCATGAGAAAGACAATAACATAAACTCGCAGACACCACTTAAAAGACTCAGGCAAATGAAATAACCAGACATGATCGAAAGGTTTTGAGTTCAAATTTCACGCAAAGCCAATTTTTTTAACAGAAACACGAACAAAATCTGATTTCAGAGAGAGAGAGAGAGAGAGAGATGATGAGAGCAGATTGAAGCTGATGCTAAAATAGCATCAAAGTAAAAAAATTCGATTAATGTGCCAATCCTGAACAAGAAATGAAATTTCTCCACAAACACATCTTGTATTGAATTGTGGCATTATGCGTTGTTCTTTGACACTTGTAACATTCATCGCACCAAAATATCGGTTCATGAACAGAAATCAGAATTGGCCAAAAACGGCAACATTAAAGACAACAACAAAAAACAAGATTAACCGAACACACTCATAAATATCTCGACGCAAGCCATTGAGATGATAGTAATTGGATCGAATCAAACAGAAGATTTCTACAATGGAAATAAGCAGAAATTCACCTTCTTACGATGATCTTGCTGCATCGTGATGTATCGACGACTCAACGGGTGAAACTGAACAAAACCCCGGAAATTAAAACCCTAAAAGACCGAATTTCCCGGGAAATCAGGTCCGATCTAAAATTTTAGGGGGAATCGAATCGAGGACGAAGAGGAATCAGATCAGCCGCATTGGCCCCATCGACCGCTGCTCCAAATCGCGAGGCTTGAATCCCACCTGCTTCTGCTCCGGCAATCCTTCACCGACAGAGACAGAATCGCAGGCGAATTTCTCATTCACCTCTCCGCCTCGGAAGAAGAAGAAACCCTCTCTCTCTCTCTCTCTCTCTCTCTCTCTCTCTCTCTCACCAAACCCACGAAAACCGAAAAAAAAAAACCCCAGATTAAGCTAAATCGAGCAATTGCTGAAAGGTGAGTGGGAACAGCATTGCTTTAAACGCACGTTTTCGTCGGCAAGGAGAAATCGAGAGGAGATCTGATCACCGACACACACACAAGGATAGAGAAGGAAGAAGGAGGAGAGTGAAAATGAAAGGAGAGAGATAAGGAAGGAATCTAGAGGGATTATATATAGGAGTTGATGATGGTCGCGTTTGGTGAGCTGCTTTTTGCCACTGTCCTCCAAAAACCAATCTCTAGTAAAAAAAAAATCAAAATATCAAAATAGAAATAGCAATTAGTATTCATAAATGTTGTTATAAATTAGAATCTTATTATTGAGCAAATCATTATTAGTATGCTCTATAGTTGATCTTTATTGCCATTCATTCATGTCGTCTTTATCCCAAAACAAATTTAGAATTGTGACTCTCATCAAAACTAGTATTAAACATACTATTATTTATTTTGTCCGAAATTTTTACTATTTTTAGTTGCCAAGTATTTGCTTTTTCAAAAACAAAAATTCATTTGCTTTATTGAATTTATTACTAATAATTATTATCTTTCCTATCTATATATTTCATTCTTTTCTAAATCATTTTGAAGTTTATATATGTATTTCTTTTGAGTTTATGTTACTTTCTATTTGTTATTTTCTTCATTAATATTGTAAATTTCATCTTTTCGATTTTATAAGCCAGTAATAGCCGGAAGACTGTTTTTTAAAGAATATATGATATCATATCAGAAAAAATATTTATTAACTATGACGTTTTCTAATCAGTAGAACATAAAATTCGTTGATAACAACACTAGGTATGTCACTATGACAAATTGTTTGGCAAACATAAGGTTGCGAACCATCTATTTTACGAACCACAACCACCTCATCTCAATTTTTAATTGTGTGTGTCAATTATTTATTCGAACCGGGCTAATTTTTCATTTCATCCACTATCCGGTTGGGAACATAAGAAGCAATTCATGCCAATAATAATTTTCTCCAACTACCTCCATTTTAATGCCACCATTCAAAATCATAGTAACAAATAGATATCATATTACATTAAAATATTTTGATCATATGTAGTTATATATAACAAGCAAACGCCCGATCTGTTCGAATTAATAAGCATATCATCAAGTTCAAAATATTATCAGAGCCATAGTACTTTCGAATTGACAGAAAAAAAAATTATTGTTTATGATTAATAATTTTGAATGTTCTAAAAAACACTTTTTCACTATATCTATTTTCAATCTTTTAACCATAGATTCTTTTTTTCAGTTTTTACTTTACTAAAAATCAAAAATCGTTCTCCTAATCTTATATGAAATCGAATATGTTCCGCAAAATCAATTACTTTAAACTACTCTATACGAATATTTTGCTAAAAACTTGATTTTGTGACCTCTTGAAATGTCAGGTTGAAATGCTGGTTATTAGCTAACGAGACTACCAAATCTTTGTAGTCACTTACCAATAAACCAATTTCATCAAAATATAACATTTGGTCATGATATTTTAAAGAAAAAAAAGTAAAGCAAAATATAAGAAAAACATAAGCAAAACATAAGTAAAAAAATAATATGATGTTCAATTTGTTTTGACTTATGTCATTAACAAGAGAATAAATACCGATTTAGACTTTTCATACTTATAAATAACACTAATAAATGGTCTTGTTTTTAAGAAGAGAATAATGGACTTTAAACAGTGAATTGATGATTTTCCTCTCGTGTTTATGGATTTATTTTGTCTCTCAATTTTGTACCAACACACAACAACGCAAATGGGTTCAGGCCATTTCCCCAATCAAGGTTTTGGCAAAGTCAGCTACGTACATACGTAATGTGTAGATTGTAGATAGCAACAATAGGTTCCAGCCGATGCAAGACGTACAAAGAATAGCAAGCAACCCTAGATTCTATGATATCATAAACATATCTACAGGAGATTGGGGGTTCATATATTTTATATGGAGGGCCGGGGTTTACTCCTATGCATTCAGGAGTTTCTTCTTTAGTATTGAGTTCACTTTTATTTTATTGTAGTTTCATCATTTATTTTATTGTTTAGTTTAATTCTATAAGTATCATTTTTTTATTTAACACTTGTGTATATTACTATATTGTGTTAAGTAAATGCTGTATTAATTTTAGATTTATTTTTGAATTATAGATTTAGTTTAATTGAGTAAAGTAGTCTCTTTGCATACACAAAAAGCATACTCTATACGAATACTTTGTAAAAACTTGATTTTGTGGCATTTTAGAAAGTCATGTTGAAATGCTGACTATTTATATATATCAACGCAGAATACGTTATCTTTACCTGAGATCTGTAAGAAAAAATAAAAATATATATGTTAGAATAATATGCTCACCAAATAATATATATTTAACTTTTAATTATAATTACTTATTTTTGTTATGAGTTTCTTTACGTAAAAACAAAATTATTATGTAGTTTTTCAATTAATACTATATATGTTTATATTATATGTTATGAGTTTGCTCGTGATTGATTTTTTACTTTTAAGTAATACTATATGTTTATATACTTATTCGTAGAGTTTTAAACCTGAATGAAGCAATGAACGACAGAAGAATGAAGACTCGTACGCATATGAATCATCAGTGTTTTAATTTTGTTTTTGTTCTTTCCACTATTGTTACACATATGGTCTTTTCGCTAACGAGACCACCAAATCTTTGTACTAACTTACAAATAAACTAATTTCATCAAAATATAACATTTGGTCATGATATTTAGAAAAAAACAAAAGTAAAGTAAAATATAAGAAAAAAATAAGCAAATTATAAGCAAAACATAAGTAAAAAAAAAAATATAATGTTCAATTTATGTTGACTTATGTCATTAACAAGAGAACACATATCGATTTAGACTTTTCATACCTATAAATAACACTAATAAATGGTCTTGCTTTTAAGAAGAGAATAATGGATTTTAAACCGTGAACTGATGATTTTCCTCTTGCGTTTATGGATTTATTTTGTCTCTCAAATCATCAATCCACTAGTGGAAGATAACTCGGATTATACACAATAAACATATTTACATGATATTTGTAAACTTTAATTTTGCTTGAACCTTATGTAAATTTTAACTTACTATGCGAATAATTAATGTATAGTCATGTTTAAAAGTAAAAACGAAACTATATAAATCATGTTTCGATAAGTGAATCATGTAATATTTGTTAGTATGAGTAAAAGCAACACTTTGAGTATCATATTCGTAAATAATGTAGACGTGGCATTGCAATTCTCTATATTTTTTCAACTGATCTCATCAACATGATTTGTGCTTACGTAGTCTGATCCTTTTTTTATTTAGTCGCATAAGATAAATTATTTTCGCCCAATCATCACGTGGATTAGTTATTGGCTAATCAAACGCATCTCCTTTTTATAATAATAATAAATTTAGTTAAAATAATTACACTCATCTGAGCTGGTTTGACTTTGGATTTACCAAAAGAAGCAGACTGACTAATTATTACATTTTGATCTCTTGTAAAAGTACACACGTATCAGAAGTGACGTGGCACTGAATATCAGCAGAGAAGTGAAGGGACACGTTCAGACACCGAACTCCCTGCGTGTGTGTGCGCGAAATAAAATGGCCTCTGGGCCCATTAGATCTCTGATTCGAGAATTTGTTTCTCTTTTATCTCTCTATACCCCTAATATTCCTACTAAATTACATACTCATGCCACTCCCTTTTTTTTAATGTTTTTGTACACGTCTCTCTTTTTCTTTTTTTTTGGTAACTGATAGTTTTCACTGATCGAAGAAACCAAACGTTTACACAAAACCGAATAGCGACAAAGTTTTTCCAAATACAAAGTGGGCAAATTCGCAATGAGAAAACCCCAAACAGAGAAGACAAATAAATGAATAGAAACCTTTTTCAAAACATTTAAAAAAAAAAACAAACAACACGCTTAATTTAACAACAACAAATATACAGACAGACTAAGATAAACTTTATGTAGGATTTATGAGAAATGAGAACCATAACATTATATCAACAAAAAACTATGGAAATTTCCAGAAAAAAACATCAAATATACACGATTTTTTTTGAGAAATTCAAAAAAGAGCTAAAGAAAAGAAATACCAATCATCAGAGAGTACTATATTATGCATCAGGTGCTTTCTAAATTTCAAATTTTCGTGTTTACCAGGTCTTGGGCCCTACATTTTCTCTCTCTCCCTCTCTCTTTTGTCGCCATTCGCCAACTACACATACTCACTTACTCGGGATGAGGAGACCACCTTTTCACCCATTCCACCTTTTCTATTTCACGAAAGAAGTGTTCTCTTAAAACGAGTATTAATAAAAATATATCTTTAATTTTCATGGGCAAGTTTAGTCTATTTCGTGAACGAAGATGTGGACAATTTAAGATTAAGTAGTGAACCAGTTTAAGTATTATTATTTTATTTTTTTGAAAAACTTAATTCATGTGGTATTTCATATTTTTTGTTGTTGTTAAAATGTATATCATATTTAAGTATTTAGTTTCAGTATATCATATCGTGGACTATATAATTAAATTTTTTAAAATCTGTAAAATAGAAATTATAGAATGAACCAACTTTAAATCTTCATTTGTTTCATGTTGTAGATTAAATTTAAGTATTTAGTTTCAGACTTTCAGTAAAAATATTTAATCATATCGAAAACCAAGTTAACGTTTATACATATAACGGCTTAAGTTTTGTTGACAAATTTAGCTATGTTAATTTTGGAAAAGTTTACTATATGTCGTCGATAAAAAATGAATTAATAAATAGCAAAAAAATTTTGATTTTTTGTATGTTTCATTAATTTGGTTTTACAAGACAAAAATTTAACAATACTAATTTGCAAATTTTAGCATTCGCCAATGAGCCTAATCAATTAAAGGAAAAAAGTATTTCCGACAGAAATAAGGTTCCATGCCTCCACTAAATGGACAAAATAATAATCGAAGAAAGAGTACTGTCCGCATGTTAATTTCTATTTTCGTATGTTTCAAACTTATGAAAATAATTTATATTTCTATTTATAGGCCATGTGTAAATAATTAAATACTCCTTTTGTCGCTACGGTGACCACGGACTTTGTTACGTCTTCTTCGCATGGGTTTCTTTTTTAGTCAACTCAGGAAAACAAAAAAACTCATAACAAGGAGTCATAATTAAAGGTTTTAAAAAACCAAGAAGATGAAACGTTGGTTTAATTATTTTCGGTTTCATATATAAACATAATCACTTGGTTTCTTTTGTAAACAAGCATTATGAAGAAAAAAAAAAGTTAAAAATCGTCTCTACGTCCACTACTACTTTTGCCCTAAAAGGACAGCAACCAAAAACTTGGAAAAAGAGAGAGACATGGTGAAAAATAGATAACAAAGAAAGAAGACACTATGAGCCGTTCTTAAGAGAGAGCAAAGAAATTTCGGATTCTGTTGTGGAAACTTAAGAGTTTTTTTAGGACTCGAACCTGAAAAAAATCTGGGACTCCATTTTTCTCTCTCTCTCTCTCTAGAAGTCTCTTTCTTCTTCAACTTTCTCTCTCTCAACAAATTATCTCGCCGGGCTCTCTCTCTCTTTCTCGTTTCGCATCTGATCTCGCTGATCGTCGTAGATCTGCGTTGATACTGGCCGGCTTGAGTAGGCAGAGTGAAAAAACAAAAAACAGGGTTCTGTTGTGACTTAGTTTGATTTGGTTTGCATCAAGTCTCGTTTAATTTGGTCACATTTCGTGGAGAAATTAGTCCACTTTTCGTCCAATTTTCTGGAGATCTGCGCTGTTGGATCGCTATTTAGGGTTTTGCTGTCACTATAGTTTGATTTGGTCTGCATCAAGTCTCGTCTGGTGGGTCGCATTTCCTCGACTTTTCTGTTCTTCTTTTTTTTTTCCGGGAAATTTTGTTCAGTTAGCTTAATTAAGAAGAAATATCGAAGCACAGCTTTGCTTTAACAAATAATTTATTGCTTTGTGCAGATCATGGTGATCATACACGTATGGGTCATCGTTCTACTGTCGTTCATCCTTGTTCAGGTACAATGCCGCGCCTACCTTATTAAGAAACATTGGTATAGAAATTCTTTTTAAGTAGTTTTAGGGCATCAGTTTTGTAGAAAAAATTAATAGTCTATTACTATTATTATTAAAATAGTATGGGTCTACTTTACTTAAACACACATATATAGATTTACAAAAAATAAATTAACAATAAATCAAAAATATTTAACTTACTAAATAAAAAAATAGGAATAATTGCATTTATTAAAGAATTGGACTAAAAATAAAATTATACCATATAATTTTTTTTCCTTAGTATAATGTAAATTTTTTTTTAAGATTTTGTCAATAATTATTTATAATTAAGGTAAAGTTGTTATGTTTGTTGTTATTTCACTTGACTATCTCATAACAAATATTGAGTCATATGGCTATTTTAATCTACTAAAAGAGAATTGTTAAAAAAGTTTGATTTTAAAAGTTTGGCAACAATTTTGTTGAAAATAAAAAAAATTGAAGTTTTAAAATGTAATTTAGATTATTTATTGTATTTTATTATTTTTGTTATGTGTAAACATATTTACTATTATATTTTTTTATGAATAAATGTATTTTTATTAATTTAGATAAAATATTACAGTTGACACGATTCTTTCAAATATATAAACATAAAAATATATAAATATTAGTTAAACTTAAAAAATCAATCACGAGTAAACTCGTAACATATAGTATATAAATATAGTATAAAATGAAAAATCAAATAACAAAATTTTCTTCTGCGCAAATAAAGTCGTAACAGAAACAAGTAATTGTAATTAACAATTGAATATATATTGTTGGTAAGCATATATTTACAAGCTATTCTAACATATGTGTTTTCTTTTTTTCTTACAGATCTCAGGTGAAGATAAAATCGACTGCATTGATATATATAAACAACCCGCATTCCAACATGAACTTTTAAAGAACCACAAAATTCAGGTTTTTTTTTTAGTTTGTTACATTTGTACTTATTATTATTTCTTTATCTTATCTTTATAATTGAATTTTTGTTTATATTTTCGATGTTCGTAATTTTTTTTTCAACGAAACTAATAAATATATTTTTAAAAATTCAGGAACGACCATCAGAAATTCCAAGATCAATCGAAACAAAAAAGAACAACAAATGGCAGACTTGGGAAGCGCACGTTAGTACGGCCAGATGTCCCGAAGGAACGGTGCCCATACGAAACGACTCGAGTGTCCTAATGCCTACTACTTCTACCGATGCATATTTACATGAGGTATTATGATTTTCTTTTTTTGGTCAAATGAAATATTATTATTTATATGTTATATATACATATCAAATTTCAAGTGGCAACAACTTTTAAGTGACAAAAATATTTGATTCTACAATATTGTTTTACCGCCTACTAATTGTATCAGTAGTATATATTAATCAATGAATCGATTTTTCATATACACTATTATAATATTTTCGTTTTTACTTTTATCAAAGTAATATGTATGAATAAATAAATAATTTTTTTTTGGCCTTATCGAATGTTTATTTGGGTCTTAGTTGATAAATAACACTAATATATTATAGGGTCTTGTTTTAAAGAAGACAATAATGAATTTTTCAATGTTTTCATACAACTTTTGGGTATAGTCTACTTGTACCAACCATTTAGACTGGGCATGAGAATATATTATAGGTGGATTAGCATCTACAAACATCTAAACATTAAACGACATATTTATTGTTCATATTGTGACTTTTATACAGTATGCCGTTGCAATTACAAAAACCCCATCGAAAATTTACGGAGCAAAAGCTACAATAAGTGTCTGGGATCCACTCGTAGAAAAAGGAGACGAGTTAAGCTTATCGCAGATTTGGATTACTTCAGGAAGTTACGAGAAGCACGATATTAACAGCATTGAAGTTGGTTGGCAGGTATGTTCAAAATTTATGTTGGTACTTTACTTATTTTGTTTATTTATATATATTGAATAATACATTAATGTTATTTAAATTTTTCATTTTAGGTTTTACCAAATTTGTATCAAGACAATAAGCCAAGACTATTCATTTATTGGACAGTAAGTATTTGTTTATAATAAATCTGATTATTAATTTTATCTCATTTTGTACACTGAAAACACAAAATTATTATTATCAATCTGAACAATTTCAAAGCTAATTAACTAATATGATAATTTTGTTTTAAAAGGATTAGTATAGATTGTGTATATAATACTATTACTATATCTGCATATTTGAGTGTACAATCTAGTCGTTATTTTTATAAAAATATAGTAAGTTTGAATAAGAAAAATGTACATTTAATTAAACTACCTTAAATCGATAGATAACGTTTTGGTGAATAGAATCTGTTTTTTTTCATTGTATTATTACTATTTTAAATATAGTTGGAGTACCACTAAAGATAGAAAATGATTTATTCAAAAATAAAGTACGAATACCAACTTATTCTAATAGTTTTAAAATATGATTTTAATAGTAATTTTGCTTATGAAAATTAATAACAAAATTCAGTTTAATTTCTTAATTTAAATTATAATATCGAATTTTTAGTTATTCGAACATACGTTTTTAGTTACTCCATATTGTGTTTACAAAAGGTCAATAGAAATTTTCTTAACTATTACTATCTACTCACATTTATTATATAGATAAAAAGCAATTAGTAACTTGTTGACAAAAAAAAGCAATTAGGTACTTCTTCTCAATTATACTCTTAATTTAGTTTAGAGGTTTGTTGGCTAATATTTATTTTAAATAGGAAAATCATTGGTTAACTTTTACGTAGTTCCTCATGCATATATATATATAAAAAAACTCGTGCATTGCTTCTTTTAAAATATTTAAATTAAAATCATGATAGTTAATATAATAATTAACTTTACTAATAAAACTGATATAAAATTTTGTCCAGAGCGACGCATACGATGTTACTGGATGTTATAATCTCCAGTGTTCTGGTTTTATACAAACCAGCAGAACCGTTGTTATTGGAGGTACCATTGCCCCTGTCTCAATATTCGAGGGCAGCCAATTTGAGATCATCATTTCTGTATGGAAGGTTAGTTTATTTATTTCATAAACAAATATTTTAGTTATGAATTTAGTAATATTTAAAAATAATTGATTATATATTATTGTTTATGAAATAAATTTTGTAAGATCCAAAATATGGAAATTGGTGGTTGAGTTTGGGATCCAACCATTCATTGGTTGGATACTGGCCAGCTGAGATTTTCACGAGTTTATCTTCTGCAGACACGGTGCAATGGGGTGGTGAGATCGTGAACACACAGAGTTCCGGCCGGCACACAACAACACAAATGGGTTCTGGTCACTTCCTCGGCGAAGGTTTTGGCAAAGTCAGCTACTTACGCAATGTGGAGATTCTAGAAAACAACAATAGTTTCCAGCCGGTGCAAAACGTACAAGTAAGAGTAAGCAACTCTAGATTCTACGATATTAGAAACAAATCTAGAGAAGATTGGGCTTCGTATATCTTCTATGGAGGACCAGGGTTTACTCCTATGCATTCAGGAGTGTCTTCTTCTTCAGTACTGAGTTCGCTTTTATTTTATTTTAGTTTCATCATTTTTTTACTTGTTTAGTTTAATTATATTTTTTATTTTTTTTTATTTAACACTACTGTATATGTGTAAATTAAATGTTGTGTTAATTTTAGATTTATTTTTGAATAATATATTTACTTTAATTGAGTAAAGTAAAGTTTGGTAACAATGTTACGAAGTTTGCACACAAAAACACACTCAAATCTTGTTCAAAACAAATACTTTAATACAAATATTGAAATATCAAATGTGTAAGAGGAAGAGGTTAGATCATTCAAATTAATTAGGCCTCACCCTCTGCACCAAGAAGCTTTCAATTTTGAACTGTGAGTAATGAGTATACAGAGAATTTAAAAGTAGAATCGGAGGTTGGACACCAAATTACATTTATTGTCTACACTGTCTCAGAAACTGTGATGATAGTCAGATAATGGGGAATCCAGACTGAGAGATGTCGTTAGCGATTTAGATGCTTTTCTCTCGGCTATAATAATTAATCAAGCCACACTCTCGGAACTAACGTTGATCCGTTATCCTTCTTAGTCGTGTAGTAGGTTTTAGTTGGGCTTTAGCTCGTTGGGCTATTCTTTTATTTTTCTGTTATCATGTTATTATTTAATAATTGAGAGTATCGAATAAAAGGTAAAAACTAAAAAAGAAGAAGGAAGAATAACAGTTTCACTCAGTATGTTAAAAATCGGACCGGATACCAATTCGGCAAAAGTTGTTGGATGGCTGGTTCGACCGGTCAAATAGATCGAACTGGATTTATTTAAAAGGCTTACACGAATATGCTATAAGAAACAAACAAAGGTGATCAATTTCTATCAAGATATGCAGCAACATCGTCCAGCTACACACCTTCCATCATTGTAATCCTTCAGGAAGCAGTCATGGAAGCATTCCCAATCACTGTACCTATGTGTACATGGTACATAGCACATATTTTTTTTCGCACTCTCGACCACTGCAACACATGTACAACTTATGTTAAAGAAAATAAAATATATACACAAACGTATATGTCAAAATCGGTTTTGTATTTTGTTTTATTTTTCTTTAAAATATGTTAAAATAAAATATTCAACGGTTTTTTTTTAAAAAACAGTAAAAAATAATTGGACAATAACAACATACCAGACGAAGCCAAAACGTTAGAGTTGGACAATGACTTTGTCAATATCATTACAAGAAAAAAAATCACATAAGCTTTTGTGATGTTCATTATTTTATTTTCTTATTGTTACTTCTGTTGTGAAAAGAGTGTGTTTCAAAAAAATGAAAAAAAAAAGAAGTTTATACTTCTCTAATTCTTAACGAAAAACTTCATTTATATACTTTTACGAGTGAAGAAGATTTACTTTTTTGGCCCATAAATAAAAGATCTCACTTTTCAACATAGTTATTTATTTTTATTTTTACTTTAATTAATTTTCCATATTTGCTAATAACCTTATTCTAAGAAATATCAAGAAATAGCTATACTGTATATTGGCATGTATGGCATGCTTCTATATTATATAGGGTGTCTTTTTTTTTCTGAACAGCAAAATACTTATAATTAATAATAGGGTGTCAAATCATGGAAATATACAGTCAAATCTTTTTTTTTGGTTATCATTAAGGTAATGCTGATGATTTTGAACGATTGGAGATGAGAAAAATGGAGAAAGAATCTTTCAATCAATATCATTTAGTATACCGGATTAAATGCAATATTTGAATGCAGAAATTAATGTTAGAAAAGTTGAAATGACAATTAGGGATGTTATTTTTGGGGTCAACATAGCTGATTCTATATTTTTGGTGCCAAATCATTGAAATACTGCCAAAGGATATTTTTGTAACCATTTTAGTAATACGATACATGTTTTTAACACATACATATGCTAATCAAATAGAAATTTCCTTAAGCAGAAAATGTTACAATCATAATTTTGCAAGCTTTCTTGCAGAATCATAATTTTATTGAAAAAATATACTTCTTCCGTTTTGAACTTTTTTTAGTATCAAAATATCTGTCGTTTTGGATTTCTAATATAACTTTTGTAAGCTAATTTCATATATAACCTTAATTAAATTAATGCAATAGATAAAAGTTAAAGCAATTAAATTGTTAATTGATATTATTTGTAAGGTTAAAATAATCTATTTATTAAAAAAAAATGTTATATGTGATTTTATGTAGAACGATAGTTAAATTAAAATGGAGGGAGTATGAGTTAGTTTTTTTTTGTTTGTGTCTATGCTGACTATCGCATATAACAAATTAATAGAAAATAAGACAAAGTTTGTTTTGATTCATAACTTATCACTTTGGGCCTAATTTCGTACAACTTGTCATTGGTTCGAGCTTAAAGATATTTATTGCCTATTTTTAGTGGGTTTCTTTGTGAGATGGGCTAGGAAATTTAGGGTTGACATTTAAGATGATTCTAAGCTAAGCCGTCTTGCAATGATTGGCTCCGGAATGAGACTGTACCATCTTCTTTATTTCTTCAATCGAGTGAAGCTCTGTTTACAAATATTGACTAATTAGTCATTTGACTCATTTCCTAAGGTTATACTCATAATCATGAAGACCAATTCGATGCAAATATTTAGTATGATATATAAATTATGTGTTATTTACTATACCGATGAATAAAATTCGTGAAAACATCTGACCATAATAAGACATATATATATATATATATAAATTTTGATTTTGCTTAAACAATCAATGTCATAAAGCTGGTTTGGGTTCGTGTCAACGGTTGGGCACTTTGGCCTGACACCAAAAAAAAAGACGATATTATAGACTCCAATAATTAAGTAATTACACTGATTAATTGTTATTACTTCCTAAATACACCCTTTTGGTCTCTCTGCTTCACCCTGAGAAAATAAAATAAAATTCGGTTTCCTTCCAATATTTTTTTTTTTTTTAGTTTCTCTCTCGCTCGTTTGTGTAATTTCCCGGCAACGGAAGGAGGAGGAGGAAGAGTGTAAGCAAGAAATTCCTCTTCTTCTACGAAACATAGCTCCCTTCTCTCCTCTTTGCTTCTCCGATTCTCTTCCTGTTTAGTTTGATCGACTACTCAAAAGCTCCTTTATTCATGGTTTCCTCCATCGCAGGTACCACTACTTTCTCTTTGTTTTTCTTCGCCGGAATTCTTTCAATCGGTTGATTTCCGTTGATACTCATATGAAATTTTGTATTCCCTTTCTTCGTTTTTTGCTCGATTGCTTTATGGTTCATGTAGTTGATTACTTGATTGTGATTGTTCTGGGGTTTTTCTTACTCACCTGTGTGTATGTAAAGCTCATGATGATTTCACCGAGAAAACCATCTTTTGAGTCCTTGAGCTTATGTGTTTGACATGTTTTTTCAGATTTTTTTTTTTTTTTTTTGGGATATTGCGAATTTGTAAGCTTTGAATTCGAGTTTATTGCTCAGATGATTTCTGTCTATGAAGCAGCAAAATTTTCTGAAGTAAAACTTTTTGGAGTTGACTAACCCTGAGAGGTTTAATGGTTTCCTTCGTTTATGGAATATTCCATCTGTTTGTTTTTGTTTGTACGAGGAAACACCTGTAGCTTGTTATATCATGTGTGATTGAGATGTTGTGCTTTATGTTGTGAAATCAGAAATCAAAAACCAGTTTTTTCTTGTTTTTGTTTGCAGTTGGTGACGCCAAAAAGATGGAGCTAGAACCCAAGGAATCACTCTCTGCTGGTACGAAAAGTTACTTTCTTGTTCCTTTTTTTGTGCTTTTTTTTTCTTTCTTTCACGATTTTGGATATATCAAATTTTTGGCTATGTCAAATGTAGACATGCCATACTTGCTGAGTAGATCATCTGAAACTTTTAATGGAGGCAGTGGAGATCGTTCTGCAAGTGATCTGAGCATGTTCTCAAGCTCTTTGCCCACACTTTTTCATGAAAAGCGTATGTCCCTAGCTCCTTTTGAGTGATGAGTTTAACTCTTGATTGATAACACCTTTCTGTTGTTTTGGTTTTGAACAACTTGCAGTGAATATGACTGATTCAGATAGCTGGCTCTCACTTGATGATAACTCACCCAATCTGAACAAACTTGTCATCGGAAACTCTGAGAAGGATTCTTTGGAAGATGTTGAACCAGATTCTCTAGACATCTTGCTCCCCGAGGATGAAAACGAGCTCCTTCCTGGCCTCATTGATGAGCTTAACTTTAACGGTCTGCCTGATGAGCTTGAAGATCTCGAAGAGTGTGATGTTTTTTGCACTGGAGGGGGTATGGAACTGGATGTTGAGTCCCAAGATAACCATGCTGTTGATGCGTCCGGGATGCAGATATCTGACCGTGGTGCTGCAAATGCGTTTGTTCCTCGTAAACGCCCCAATACAACTGGCAGAGTTTCAGTAGAGCATCCAAACGGTGAACATCCTTCAAGGACATTGTTTGTGAGGAATATCAACAGCAGCGTCGAGGATTCTGAGTTAAGCGCTCTCTTTGAGGTATGCACACACTCTCTGTCTGTCTGCTTCAGTATGTTTTTCTTCAAATTGTCGTTAGTACTTTCTTTTGCAAACACTGCTTGAGTCCCACGTTGCATCTATAACTTGGTAATATATTGAGGCATGCTTGCTCTTGCTGACGTGATTTCTATTTGGTCACCAGCCGTTTGGGGAGATCAGAAGTTTGTACACTGCATGCAAAAGCAGGGGTTTCGTAATGATATCCTACTATGATATCCGAGCTGCTCATGCCGCAATGCGTGCACTACAGAACACGCTCTTAAGGAAAAGGACATTGGACATTCACTTTTCCATTCCTAAAGTATGATGAGAGAATTATTCTGGATTTAAAGTCTCAGCTTTCTTATGGCACTTTTGTAATAATCAGTTTACTGCCACATGATAGGAAAATCCGTCAGAGAAGGATATGAATCAAGGAACTCTTGTGATCTTTAACGTGGACACAACAGTATCAAATGATGAGCTACTTCAGCTTTTCGGTGCCTATGGTGAAATAAGAGAGGTGATATATGTTAAATGTGCATATGCTATGCAAAGGTTTATCTTTATGTCTAAGTTATTCGTTTCTTTCCTTGAATTAATTCTTGACTTGTAAAATGCAGATTAGAGAAACCCCGAATAGGAGATTCCACAGGTTCATTGAGTACTATGATGTCAGAGATGCAGAGACAGCCCTGAAAGCACTGAACAGAAGCGAGATAGGTGGAAAATGTATAAAGCTCGAACTTAGCCGTCCTGGAGGGGCCCGTCGAGTGTGAGTTGCCTGCACTTTGTATATTTCAAAGAATTGAGTTACCTCGCATACACAGTGAACTGACACTAATTTGCATGCAGCTCGGTCCCTTCCGCAAGTCAAGATTTGGAAGTTACGAATTTCTTCAATCAAGTAGCGTCACAGGTTACCAATTCTCCACCAGGTAATCTCATATTGATCATTTCTTATACAATTTTTTTGTTTGTTTGTTTTCTCCACTGTTAAGTCATGAATTCATTCGATCTACTTAACAGGTAACTGGCCAATTGGTAGTCCAGTGAAAGGCTCTCCTTCGCATGCGTATCCGAGGCCACATGGTCTAGGAATCGCCAGGCCATTTAACCCCGATAATGTGCCCGGATTGGCTTCGATTCTCCCTGGTCAGCCTTCTAGCTTTCATGGATTTTCACCAGTCAGTAGTGACCAAGGGCTATTAAATCATCCAAACCAAACTATTCTGAATAAAGGACTGATGCACAACGTTCCCTATGGGCAACCTCATTCGTTGCCAGAGCATATAGGAGGGGGAATTTCCAACTCTATGAGGTTTATAGCTACACACTCTGCAGGATTCGGGACTTCGTCTGATAACCGCTATCGTTGGGGAAGCCCTCCTCAGCATATGAATTATCCTGGTTACACTGGAGGTTCGTCGTCGTCATCATCTACTGAACGTCCTTTTGCTGTGAGGCATGGTTTTCCGTTTGCTGAGAGGCAAGGTTCGTTGCTTGGTAAATACCAGCATCATGTGGGCTCTGCTCCATCAAGCATTCATTTTAATACCCAAGTTAGTTGCTACCCGGGATCACCAGAGACATCATCTCGGATACCCCTTGGATTTGGCGATATGGGAATCAACAAAAGCTATATCAATCCTCATGGACAAGCGAACCTTGGTGTGAGTCTACAAGGAAACCATAATGAACGAGACTTCACTGGCTTTGGCGTGTCCTCTATGCCTAGTGTTCCATTTGGTGGGATTAGAGGCTTACAATCAGTAAGACATGAACCTTTTGCTGATCACAGTAGGAGCCTACACCTTGAGACTCAGAATCGAAGTCAACTCGTCGATGGTGGGCGGTATCATATTGACTTGGATAGAATTGCTACTGGAGATGATAGCCGGACTACAGTAATCATTAAAAACATCCCAAACAAGTAAGTCTTTTGTTGAATCTCAATTTAAGATCTTTGGGTAGAGTTTATCTCTCAAATGCTTTGTTTTGTAAGGTACACTTACAAGATGCTGGTAGCTGAAATTGATGAAAAGCACAAGGGAGATTATGACTTTCTGTGCTTACCCATAGACTTTAAGGTAATATACTATTAAGAGAGTGAACTCTTGATACTCTTGTATGACATGAGAACTTAACTGACGATCTTGCTTTCTTCTTGATACAGAATAAGTGCAACATGGGTCACGCTTTTATCAACATGGTCTCTCCACTGCACATTGTTCCCTTCCAACAGGTTTTTAACCTTCTTTTTTCTCGTCACTATTGTTTTATGAATCTGATCTTTCCTGATATGTTGCTGCCTGTTTCTGCAGACTTTCAATGGTAAAATATGGGAAAAATTCAACAGTGGGAAAGTTGCTTCATTGGCATACGCAGAGATCCAAGGAAAGTCTGCTCTTGCTTCATACATGCAGAATCCAAGTCCTACGAAGGACGAAAAACATTTGTTTCCAGAAGTCTCCCACCACCATGATGATGGTCAAGACTCCGATGATCAGGTAAACTATTAAATCCAGAATCTTGCTTGCCTTGCAAATGCATATGAAGTCTCTTCAAATATCGCTTCCACCATTTTTCACCTTCCATATATGGATCTTACAGGAGCAACTCTTTTCAAGCATTTGGAACATAACCGCGCCTGATTCAGATTGGTCTTACACAATGGATCTCATCGAGAATCCGAGGGAGAATGTTAACTCCAAGAACATAGCAGAAGAGTCCTCTTAAACCCCCAACTAAAACCAGTAGCTGGGAACTCTAACCCACCATCAAAGGTAAGTGTACAGATCAGGCGCTGATATGGAAGAAGCATATGTACAGTATCGTCCAAGGCTTGTTTTTCCTCGGAACAGAGTAACCGTTTTTTAGGGATTACTTCACACGGAAAAAAATAAAATAAATCTAAAAACATCCCTTTTAGTAGTACATTACGTTAAATACTTTATTCAAAACTGCTCCTTATCTGTAATGTGTATATATATCATCCTCTTGCGTGTACATCCTCATGTCCATGTGAAAGACATGATCAGTGTTTAATTAGTTGTTTCATTACAACAGACTTGTTATAAGTCTCTGTCTCAATTAGTTACCATTAGGTCCATTACTATTACAAAACCGTTACACGTCTATCTCTGTGTAGTAGACATTTCTCCATGGCATCAATGGCGGATCAGTCTCTTCTTCAACCTCTCCTAGCCAATCCCAACACAAATGGCTCAGCATCGCGATCAGATTCTTGCATTCTTTTACGGCTGATCTCTGTAATTATCGTCGGAGCAATCTCCTTGTGGGCAAACCACGAGGCATCAAAAGGTTTCTCCATAACTATCATCAATGAAGCTAAAGATTCTCCTTCCGGTAAAAGATTCGCCCTTTTCTTCGAATTGGATGATACCGCGGTGCGGATCTTGCTCGATACGAGCTTCTTTGTGGAGAGATTTCTCTACGAGAGTGTTCCTCATCGTCTCCGGAAGCCTGTAAACCACGTGACCGTCAGATTCTGTGGAAACAGCAGTGATGGAGTCGAGAAGGTCACGGTAACTTCCGGTGCAAGTCATGGAGAGTATGTGATCAGATTAAGCTCATCTCAAATGGAAAGAAGTGACTTTGGTAACGCCGTTAAATCAGCATTGCGACGTTCTATGGTTAGGATTTGGTTATGGGGAGACAAGTCAGGAGCCTTGCCGGAGCTTGTCACCGGAATAGTGGAGTATTTGGCCGTGGAGGGAAGAGAACGGCGTCGTTTTGATGAGTTAGGTGGGTATTGGAAGGATAAGGAGTCTGTGTCTGTGGTTAGGTTCTTGTGTTACTGTGAAAGACGTAGCGAGGGGTTCATCAGACGGTTGAACCATGGGATGAGATTTGGGTGGGATGATCGGACGGTGTATCTAGCTTCGAATGGTGCGTGTGATTCACGCAAGGTTGTGTTGCGTAAGCGAATTAGCGACGACAGTGGATTTGATAATTGAGAGACGAACATGATTGGTTTATCGTGCTGTCGTATTGTAGCACACATGGCTCCACGTCATTATTCATGTACTATAGTATAATTCAACACCCTTTTTGTGGAAATGATTTTTTTTTGTTCTATCAGATATTGTAATATAATGGATTTTATATGTTTGTTAGATTTGTTAATTATTGGAGTCCAATTTTGGTGGCTAGATACTTTTCGAAATTGGGCCAAGGGCCTTGTTCAACACTAGTCAAGTCTTAAATTTTAAATTGCAGTATAATCAATGTTTTAGGAGTATTACAAAAGCACTTGAATTGAATTTTTTTTTTGTAGTGTTTACCATTTCGTTGGTCCACAATAAACTGCTTATAAAACGAAAGATTATATATTACTAAAAAAACATGGTATAATGAGAATATATTAGCTAATCAAATTTCTTTTTTCCAATGTATAACTAAATACATGTTTTGGCTAATTGCGTTGGTTCATGCCGTTTAACCAGATTTTTTAATTGTTTTAAATTGATGTTTGGTATGGTTTAAACCGGTTAAACGGATTTTCTTCTAAGAACCTTATAACATTTTACTTCTTTAACCTTTTTATATATAGTCGTCCACAACGGCCACATTTTTAAATTAACCCAAGAGCGAAGAAAAGAATGGCGACTCAGACGACCGTGGCTCCTTCGTCGGTTGCTCCTTCTTCCCATACAGAGGCACAAATTGTCATAATTTTGAAAATCTGAACAAATTTCTACACTCACATTTATGATTTCTCCGTTCTTGGTGGATCGTACGAGACTTTGACTCCGTATTCAGGCAGATCCGATCGCCGGAAATTCGCTACTTTAGCGTTCGTTTTTTTTCTTTCTGATCGGAGATGAAGGCATTTGACGGAGCTTTGCGACATTATAGCAGAGAATCCGAAGCAATTCTCAGGGAATTTGGCTTGGATATGCGGCCGTTGTCCGCAAACGGAATCGGCAAACCCAGAATCAACGGACAATCGTGCGATTTAGCCAAGGGAGTGGAGCCTCTAACCCAGCAAGCGGCTTATTTTGAGGACGAATCCATCGAGAAGCAAGATATTGCCTTTAGATTGATTACTCATATTTTGGAGAAACCCAAAATTGATTCCAAACTTCAGCATCAGGTGAGATTTCTTGGTGAAGCAATCGTTAGTACTGTAATGTTTTCGCCTGTTTTCATGAGGGTTGGTGTTTACTTTGCCGTGGAGTATGGATTTCTTAGAAAAGATGATGATTTTTATGTTCCTGCTTTCTGTTTTACAGTCAAGAAAGCTGAGACTGGAATGAAACAAGGCCCAGGTTGGACAATGTTGGGGTTGTCGTGGACACAAATGGTCAGCCTATAGGCAGGAGACGGAAACCTTTTGGCTGTTACTGCTTTGTCAAAGGTGTTTGTTTGTTTATCTCGATAAATTTCACTTGTCTCTCTCTCTCTCGAGTATATATTGTTGATGAAACCATCGTGAATTATATCTGTCGACTCTTTCATTGTGAGTGCCTTACGAAGAACAGATTAAAGACCTTTTGAGGAAGCAGAGATACAGAGAAGCCATCTCCCTTGGCTGGTCTTTGCTGGTATGTTTTTTTTTTTTGCCTTCTTCTCCTGGCTGTTTACTCTAGAGTTGTTTCTAAAATTTGGCTGTTTAATCAGTCATATTTCATTATATCTGTTACTAGAGGCATTGGCTAACTTTTAGTGAAGCTGATTTATGATGTCTCAAGCTTAGTCCAACTGCACTCTGCTTAACTAGGATTCTTACTTGCTTTCAGGTTCCAAGAAACAGGTTTTAATTACTGCATCAAATTACAGAGAGCCTGTTATCACAAGGTTTCTTGAGGAATGACTTTACAACTTGCGTGAGTGGTGCAGGAGGAGTTGGAGGCTCCTTTAAATGAATCTGGACATTTACGGACACTGGCATTCCTTTATGCAAGTAAGGGGATGAGCGCAAAGGACAGAAGAGCTTTCGCCAGGTGGGAATCAGGGTTAGCATGACATTTGTGTGTGAGTCGGATATTGATCTCTTCTCCTTCTTTTTTAGAAACATTTTACCAAGTGTTTCTTAGGTTTATACAGTATTGATGAACAATGGCTTAGTTGAAGTTTGGGATGACTAAAGTAATCCAAGAAGTCTGCTTTGTGGTTAGGATAACATATTTTTTTCTGTGCATATATTCTCATGTCTCTAATGTGCTGTACATCATTATAATAGTCTCTGCTCCATAATTGCTGTAAAAGATTTGCAGTATTCGGATTTTATTGAGTGGCTTGGATATGACATTACTGTACAATGGTTAATAAGCAGTAAACTTTTTTATTGATGTAAGGGTATGTGTTTCTTAATCTTATTGCAGGTACCTCCAATGGTTGATTGAAGAAAGAGACTACAATGATCCACAGCTGCATACAACATATGCTCTCTCACTTGCCAAATCAAGCATATAAAAACAAGCAAGTTGGCCTGTGAAGAGCTGTTTGGGTCTCTGCTTTCTAGAATTGCCAAGATTGCAGTAGCTAGAGGAGGGCAGCCACTTGGTGTGTTGCTCATCCGACTTAAACCACTGTGCGCAGGTAATTTTGTTTCGCTTTAACTCATACGAGCAACAAGTTCTACTCTATTGATGGGTATTTTCATCGCGTCTTGTGGTCCATAGAATTATAAAACACATCATGTCATAAGTCTGGAGAGATTTTATAACTCTTTCTGACTTTTTGACTCTTCTCTGTTGGAACAGCGTGATACTTTGGGAGCAATCAGGGGGATATGCTTGAGAGCGTATTCAAGACTAGTTGTGAGATTATTGAATCTGGCTGGGCCAAGGACCGAGCTCCAGTGGACACCTTCATTATGGGATTAGCTTCAAGTGTTCGTGAAAGAAATGATTATGAAGAACAGGTAACACTAAAATTTCCCTTAACATGGACAAAATCATTTTTAACTTGCTTATAGCAATGTAATATCAACATTCCAATAAGGCTCATCATTTGGTGTTCAGACTGATAGAGGAATGCAAGTGCCTGTTGTACAGCTTAATGTGATACGTCTGCTTTTAAGCTATGTTATCTCAGGAAAAAAAACTAAAAAGGATATGTTTTCTAGCCTCTTTCTTTTATTTTTATTTTTGTATTTATTTACATTAAAGTTTGAATTAGTTTAAAACTGATTATATTTATATTAGTTGTAAAACTAACTGGACATAGTATCCAGTCACTTGAATTCATTTGGTCGTTAGAGATTACATATGTTCAATTTGTTTCCATAACTAATGTAAATTAATCAGTTTTTATTAGGAAAAAATGATAATAGTAATAATAATCTATACTAAATAAAATAAGCTGTTTGGGGCTCCTCAAGCTATCCACCTCAGCTCTAAACACTACTCTAAAATGAAGCCACATCAGCTCTAAACAATACTGTAAAAAGAAGCCACATCAGCAATCTAAGTCAAACTCTTCTTATACAGTTCAAAAATGTTATTATAGATTTACTAACTAATAATTAAATTTCAAAATTTCCCAAAACTTATAATGAGAGAAGAAGTCTAATCGTTTAATCTGCCTCAACAACTCACGTATGTTAAATCCTTCGTTTTAACATCTTCGTTTAACATCCTAAACTAATGAATCTCATTAAATAAAATAAGTTCCTCTTCCTCTTTCAGTCGCTCAATCGTCATGGACAAGACAGAATCCCTTGAAGCACTCCCACCCAAATCATATGATTCAAAGAAGACCGAGAGAGTAATAACAAAGTTAAAACGTCAACGGAGAATCAAGTTCAGAGAATTAAAACCCTACCAAAAGAGATGAAAGCTGGAAAAAAACTAGGCAGAGTCGCAGAGATCAGAGAATCAAGCAAAGCTATGGTGATGAATGTTTTTGATTTTCATGCACCATATCATTAGTGTGGCAAATAGATGAGTTGTTGAAACATTGTCCGAAATATTCTCTGATCGAATCACCCCACCTAGATCAGAGAATCTTTGTCGTTTTGTTTGAGATGTATTTATGTTTAGATGGAACGATGATGATGACGAACCACAATCAAACTCTTTTAAAAAGGATAAAGTCGCTGGTCGAGTTGATTAAACACCCATGGAGGTCATCTGGGCGATGTCGGTTTGGTGGTCGGCCAAAAATCGTTTATCAGTTGGAACTTAAGGTTTGCTCTTCTGTAATATTCTGATTGAAGCTTTGTTCATTTTCTTCAGGCTTATGTTTTTGCATACGAACCTTTACTATTTCTCTGTTTTGGCTGGCCAATTTGTCTTCTAGCATAAAGATGGGAGTTTGATTTGGTCGAGACATATATATACACTTCTCTGATTTGGGTTTTGATATATAGTGATTCGTCATTTTTTTGCTAGAGTATGTTCAATAAATATATAGTTCACATCATGACATTAGCAAGAGACATGGATGTCAATCTTCGCTGTTGGATTTTTTATCATTGCCTTTCTTAATATTTTTCCAATCCTTATGATTAAGGCTGGGAGTAGTGTAATGAGCTGCTATGTTTTTAACTGTGTTGAATTGAATAACGTGCATTTAGGATTTACACACTGTTTTCTGAGCTTTAATTAGAAACATTCATGAATGTTGGTTTTAACTTTTAACTATCATGTCTTAGGTTGTTTTTGCTATCTGAACCAGTTCCAGAAGACTGAGGTCTTACCCCAAGTTCATTTCTTCTACGAATAGTGGTCTGGTACTATTAGAAAACTTTAACACGATTAGAGTATTTATTTCATTATTGTTCAATAATTATATTTATTTGGATTTCTCCCTATGAATGCATAGTTGCTACAGATTTAATATTTTTTGTTAAAAAGTGTAGACAAACGGTGGGAACACCCTACCGACTCTGATTCGGAAATACCTTCTTGATGAGTGTGCAATACCCTTCTCTTGTCTTTTCCAGTGTCACGGTTTAATAGTATTATATGTTCATTTGGTGTCTCAGACCCAATATAGAAGGCCGACATGCTCATACTAATTTGTTCGTGGAAGTAATTTTCTTTAGTGTCACGACTCGATAACAGTGATCGGGTAAGGTTTGGCAATAAAGAAGATCAGGCGGTTAGATGCAAATTGGGCATTGAAGATTTAGTATGGCTGGTCCAATGAGGACAAGCTATCTCTATGCTGGTGAATGGTTACCTAGAAAACAAAAGCGT